ACAATTTTTATTTAATAAATCGCTCAAATGATTCAATTAATATATAATTTTTGTATTTGTTTTTAAAAGTGAAAAAATTGCTCATTACTTTAAATTTCTATTAATTTTTCTATTGCAAATGAGTGCGATGCAGTCGCGGAAAAGTGACAAGGGGTGGAAATAATTCGCGTCTCACACGCATCTCTAGTTAAGATGTTTGCAAAGTTTTTGAAACCGAATCCAGCCGTAAGCAGCTCGGATTCGCCTCTCCATACCTTTTGAGCAACACAAGCGATTGAAAATAATGCGCGACACAGAAGAGAAATTATTATATGGATCGGTATGGCGCAGTTCGTTCTTTCACACACGTGGAGCAGTGATTGTGCTTTCCTATCACTCCTCCCACCCGGCTAAATTCCTTTGTGCTGCTGTTGCAGTTTCTAAATCTAGGTATCCGAGCACGTGAAATTCCTAGCACAACTTTTCCTCCCTGTCGGCGAGATCACTCGGGTCAGGTTGACCGACGTAATAAATTAAACCGCAGCTAATCGAAAGTTGTTTGCGGCAATTAACACTTGCATAACTATAAAAAAAAAAAAACACGATGCACAGTAGTTAATCTCATTTATTGCGAATCTTTACGGTTTTGGTTGGAAACCCATTTTATTTTCAAACAAATTTTTTTCCTTCTCGACTTTAGGGTGGGTTTTAGGATTTATCAGTGGCACAAAAGGCTCAGGAATTTTATTGATTTATTTCATTTCCATTTATTAAACATAAAAATAATAATTTTTAATCTGGGTAATACATAATTAATAGCAAATATTATTTTAAAGGACAGTTTTTTTTATCTATCCGAAAAGATAAACATGAAAAATAGAAAAGCGCACGGACGAGGAAGTGGATTGAAATTCGTGCATTCCGCTGCTTGGGCGGGATCTCGTTTTGTGTCGTGTATTTCAAACATTGTTCTGGCTTATGAAAAATTAGCTGCAAATGACAACGTTAACGGAACCGCCCGCGCTCTCGGCGCGGAAAATGCCATCAGCGCTACAGTAATCGAAATATTTTTCATCGCCTTTACCGTTTTCCTTCATAGCGAATAATGTGACGAACAGCTCGTCGGCTGCTTGAATTTGAGTGTGAAAGACATCGTAGAAGGAAGGCAGACATCAGATAAGAAGAAGAGCCACGTTGCTCGGAGCCGATCAGAATTTTAAATAGCGCTTAATTTATTCTTACATTCTTCTTGAAATTATTAATCGCAACAATTACTTTACAAGATAAAGTTTGTAATGATTACAATTTATTTCCTCAATTTCAGTGGGCATTTTGAAAGGTTCGTGCTAAACAAAATCCATTAATAAATATTTTCCCTTAATAATTTATAATTATTCAGATATTATTAGATTTTCCTTAATTATTTTAAAATAAGCAAACCAGACCCACTTACCCAGTGATAATTTTCCTTCTAACAATTTTCCACTTATGAAAATCAACCAGTTTTTTCTTTTGCATAAGTTTCGATGCATTTATTTTTTGTCCATTTAAAAGATTTGGTTGTAAACTAATTTTATAGATGTATTTCAAGGCAATCTCAAATATAATACAAAATATTTCAAATAAATTCCAGAAAACAAACTTAATTTAATTTAATTACACAGAAAAATTTGAGCGCACACAAAATGAAAAAAGAAACTTTTAAATATTTTAAGTGGATTTATATTCACGACTAAAATCTGGCCACAGAACAAAGCAGGGATAATTTTATTCATAGGCTCATTCATTCATTTCTCCATCCATTGTTCACATCAGAGAAAGAGGAGAAGGAAATACAAAAGAGATGATGCGTGATAGAAAAGGAGCCGCGTTTCGGCGATTTACAGTTAATCCTTTGCAATTAAACCGAATACAATTAATTGGTTTGTTATTTCCAGTGTGAGAAAGTTCGCAACGATTTGAAAGAACATCGAAAGTTTTTTTCTCTCTCCATTTTGTACTTTGGCTGCTTGCATAAAAATTATTCGCTTCGATATTACATATTTTTTTGCAGACGGATAATTTGAATTATTCAGAATCAAGATTGTGTGCGTCTCTATACCAAATAATTTAAGAGGTGAAAGTTGTAACACCGGTTGGCCGGCCGGCTGTTCAAAGTGGGCGGTGATCTGCTCTTGGTGCGTAAAACATTTAATTGCCATTCAGATCAGTCTTTTCCTGGTTGAATCTGAATCAAGGCGTCAATATTTAATTCATAATATTGTTGGACAAATTCCAAAAATTGACCAGTTTCTCCAAATCTCTCCTGATACTTCTTATTAATTAAAGATTTAAGCATTGTTTCATTATGTTATCATAGATTTAATTTCTTCTTTTTGGGCCCATTTTTTAAGGCTTATATTTTGAGATTTTCGCTATTTTCAGAATTTTTGCCATGATTTTAATCTGATTCAAGAGTAAAGACTTAAGTAGACGTTTTGCCATGATTTGCATTTAAATGAGAAAGCTCTGATTTTATACTAAACGGTGAAATTGTCGTCTCGCGATCGGTGCATATAAAATGCACCAGATTGCATCAGCGTGTCACTTGTGATGTGCCCACTCGCGATGAAACGCTGCCAGCACAAATTACGAAGCGTTTCATATTATTGTCCACGCATAATTCCACACTTAAACTGCGCCTTCACTCGTCCAGTCATCATCTAGAAAAAAAACTCACTTTCCTTCACATTTTTTTATTATCTCCGTGGGCCGATCCGGCGAGGAAAGTTTCTGTACATGTAGGGTCACTTTTGCTCTTAAGAACAATTTGTGTGATGATGGCCACAATTGAGACGCCGGGAGATAAATATGGAAGAGGTACCATTGGAAAGTGTATATTTGCTGGCCGGGTTCTTAGGTGGTAATGTGACTAGAATTGGAGAAAATATTTTAAAAGTTGTTCCGACTCGGAGAGCTTAAAAAGTTATTTTTAAATTGATACAAAACGTAAGGAAAACTATGGATTTGAAAAAAATTTGAAATGTCTCGTGAAAGGAAAAATAGAATATTTCCATTAATCTCCCAGTAAATTTGAGTAAAACATTGCAGGAACATTGAAACATTTAGCGGCAAATTTGGTCTTTTTGATTTATCTATAAAAAGCAATTTTCTTTATTTAAAATAACTTGTATTCGAATATTATTTAATTATTGTATCAATATGGACAATTTCACAAGAATAATAATTGCAGAAGCAAGTGTGCACTTATTACTCCATTAGTGAATTTCACACCTTGGAGTCATGCAAGGTGTGCAGCAAATTATTCCATTTGATTTCATATAAAATATTGCATTTCAAAACCAGCCAATTAAGCTTCCAGCCGAGGACGTTCAGTTCTCTAAGTCAGACAAACAATATCAAGTTGTAAAAATATATAATTTTTTTTTCTGAAATAATTTATAGGAGACTAATCAAGACGTTTAAAGTTGAACATTTAATTATAATGAGAGTGACCTTTTTATTATTTTTTCCTTGCCGGTCGGTTACTCTGGAAGAAGAAAAAAAAACATGCATTGCAACTTTTTATTTCAAATTACGCAACGCTATCAATTAGCTTGACTTTTTATCAAGGATGAATCAATTCGCGTGGAAAAAAATCAAGAAGAAAGGAAAGGATGATGTCAGAGTTTCTTTTCTATTTGAACGCATGACCAGCAGGAAAAGTTGAAAAATAATTTTCGTCTCTCGTTCGGAATTGAAAAAGAACGTAGTGTGTCAGGTGCATTCCATCCTGCTCAGCAAGTATTTATATTTTTTTTTTCGCGAAAGTCAGCAAATATTCATGCGGGCCCGCATTTCTCCATTATTTTTTTAGTCACTGGATTTAATTTTTAATTATAAAACCTTATTTATTCTCCCAGTCATTAAAAAAGATTTCAAATTCAAAAAGGGAGAAGAAGGAAAAAGGTATCATAATTGCAAAGGTCTGCTATAAAACGCTTGAATTAAAAAAGCGACACGGCCGCCGCTGTGAAAAACATCGCAAACGCATTAAAATTACTGCCACAAATGAGTCAAATACTGTTTGCAGAGGAAGGGGACATTGCTTGTTGGGCCCTCTTTGAGGGTAGATTGGTTAATTTAAATTCAAAACGCACATAAATAATTTTTCCTTTCAGCAAATTTATAAATATTTTTCCACTTTAATTTTGCTTATTGATCAGTTTGAATGTAAAAGTGATGCATTTGGGCAGAGAATTCCTGACTATGTCAATAAAATTTATTTGCAATTAAATTTCCAATTTATAAACAAATATTTACGTAGTATTTATAAATAATTAATTCTAATTTGCGTAAAGAAATTGACACTCGAGGAGTTGATCATGAAAATGAAGATATCGGGCTTTTCCTCGTTGTTAAAATTGTTTTTATTCAAAAACAAAACTACTCGACCAGTTTCAGTCACGGTCTGCGACCCTAATTCATGAGCAAGAAAAATGCAAAAAATCAGCAAAATTAAAAAAAAAAATTATAGCAACTTAAACTAACTTTTACAATGAAGAAGAGCCCGATCTCTTGATTTCCAATTAATTCTAAATTTAATTTCATAATATTTCGTAAATTCAGGCACTTTCAATTTTTTTTCACGTGTCCAGTTCATTCCTCCGGCCTGAAAGATAGTTTTCCAACCGTCAATTAATTTAGCAGAGTGCAGGTCTTAAAAGCAAAACTCCGCATGCAGCGTTTTAATTCACCTGCGCCTGTTGCCACGGACGGGTTGAACAAACTCTGGCCCCGCGAGCGAAGAGCAGCTCCCTGTGGCTGGTTACATTTATTATGTGTTAGGGTCGCAAACCGTGCTTTTACGATGCAGGACAAGTTATTTGCTGCTATAACTATGAATTTAGCCACGAGTAGAAAATATTTATTTAGTCCAAAAACAAAAATAATCAGCAGTCCCAATGAACCTTGATGCAGTTTAATTAAGTGCAATTGTGAGATTGATTTGGAGTGAATAAAGCAAGTGCATTTTGCTGCAGTGAAAGGACAGACGCAAGTGCATGAAAGGGCGTGACCGAGGGCGGAAACCACGCGTGCAAAGGTATTTCCTCTTTCAATATATATACAGTAGAGAGTACATTTCAAACACAAATAAACGCTCTCTCTGCGTTGAAAACAAAGATGCAGATACAACGAAAACGCGTTCCAAGATCAAACTTTAACCTTCAGCCAAGGCTATGAAAATGATTTAAAAATATTGTAAATTATTGTGGGAAAAAAAATCAAAATTTTGTAAAATATATTAACTTTTTCCAATTCCGATAAAATTTTAAAATGCTTTTCACTTCCTAATTGACAAGTTAGCAAATTGTTACTGGATTTAAAAGTGACCAATTTGAAACTTGAACTGAGAGTTCTGCCGTTGGCTTTTCGAACAGGAAATATTTGCACGTTCGTCTCTCCGCCTTGTCGTTTGAAAGGGTCCTATTATAGACGGGTTGGTTGTTTAAAGGATGCACGTTTCGCAGACCAATTGCCAAAAAAACACCTCACCAAAGGCAAAGTGCTGGTGTCGATTCCACGCACGCCCTCATGATGATGAAGGCCTTCAACTTGAGCTTTTCGTGTTTAGCTCGTTTCTTACACAAGGCGCTGTTCGACACGTAATTAGAAGTAGATTATCTTTGTCTCATTGTCAAATGTTACATGTTTCTTGAATTTCGGTTTTCAGTCTTAAATATAATACGGATAACATAAAAAACAAACACAATTACAATAATTAAATTTTGAAACTTGATAAAATTATGGTGATTTGAATTTAAAATCACCATGATTCAACCCTCGATCGTGAAATTCTACCACAAAATTGATGAAATTAATTTTATAAAAAAATTAACAATGAAGTGATCAGACTTTTCCTCGTTGAAAGGAATGTTTTTATGGAAACATTGGAAACATTTCCATGATCATCTCAAATGTCAATTCCTTCAAACAAATAAAAAAATGAGAAGTTTTTAATCATTAACTCTATTGCCTGTTAAGTAATTGACATCAAAACCTCTTCTTTTTGCCCTCTATTTAATCCTTTGCAAGTTGAGACATTCTAAAATAATGATAATAATATGTATAAACAAGATATTTATTTCTCTCACTTTGATATGAAACCTCGCCGTCCTGCTTGAATAGTTATATGCGTTATCTGATCAAATTGGACTTAACCCTTTCTTGTGATAAATAACATAAATTAATACCAAAGATTGTTCAAGAATAATATTAAATTCATATTAATCATATCATTACTTATGAAGTAATTTTTTTTATTATTGTTGTTTAATTTCCCACATTGTTATTTAATGTACATATAAAGAGAAATTTTGGAGTTGTTATTATTATTGTATTAAAAAGCGAAACAACGTTTAGAATTCACAAAGAAGTCGAAGTAGGCAAAAACAAAGACCTCCTCTCGTGGCCGATCATTTTTTTCTTTCTCCATTGTGGCCCACGAGAGCTAATAACAATTTATCAAGGCGCTTTAATTTCTGCCTCACGACTGCTTTGGCTTGGTAAGATCCTGAATTATTTATCTGGGGGCCTCTGGTTCTCTTCTCTCTCTTCTACCTTCCAAGGCCACAACCAGACGAGTAGTGCTTTGGTCACTGGTGTTGGCGAGTGACGGAGTCGAGAAAAGAAAAAATTGTGGAAGAAAACGAGAGTTTGTCTTGCACAACCAGGAAGATGCGCGAGCCAAACTTTTTTACCCACCGGGGTAATTAGTGCTCACGAAATGAGCTGGAATTTTCCCAAGACAAGCGTAGAAATTATTTTTGTAATTATATTGTTGTTGTTCTTATTGTTTATTTATTAATATTAAACAAAAATAAACAGGAACAGAAAAATTAAATAATTCCCTAATCTCGGCGATAGATATTTGAAGCGTGAAAAGCGCAGGGGTAAAATTTTCTTGGAAGAATTTGTCAGGGGCAAATAAACACATTCGGTCTACGTGGAATGAGGGAAGTAATGTCTGATATGCAAATTTATTGCAGCCGCAAATGTAACGTAAATAAATATAAATAAACGCTGCTTAACAGGCCAAAGCAAGTGAGGAATAGGAATGAGGTGTGTGGGAAAAAAGTCACGCTTCACGGCTGCTGAATTCGTTCAAAATATTCGTGCAGGCGGAAGCTTCTCAGCAACGCAGATTCACAATAGCCGCGCGCGCAATAAATTCAGCAAAGATCGGCCGAGAGATGAATGGGCCTCTTTATCTCAAACCAAACGACCTCAAGGTTAGTTTCGTAGAAAGAAAATTACAATGGTCACCACACACGGAGTGATTTTCCTCCAAATTCTGTGACAAAATGAGGGAGAAAATGGGTTCCATCAATTTGTGCTCGTTGAGTGGCAACCGCGGAAAGTGCGTCGTTTTTTTAGCGGACAAAGAGGAAGGGTTTATTTCACCGAACAAAATCGCTTCTAATTTTTTAGGCCAGGATATAGGAGCTCTATTACACGAAATTGAGTTGTTTGATGGGATTTTACACGCCTAGGTGGGCCATTTTTTAAATAGGTTTTGGCATTGTCAAATTTCTTCTCAGGTTTAATAGTAATTTTTAATTTTTACATTTATATATAAATAAAATTGAATGTTTTAAAGTATTTTCAGACCAGAAATATTTAAATTTACAGAAAAAAACAAAAATGATTGATTTTAACCAAAATCCCCCTTTTTTTTAATTCGAAACCTCTACACTTGATACGTCCATTAGCACCCTAATTGAAGCTCCTTCCTGCTTTTTCAGACCAATTTGAACGCAAAGTTCCATTAGTTTCCCTACGTTCTTCCTCTTTTTTTTATACCATCAGCTCCTTTTTTACAAATTTAATTGGCAGTGTCCGGTTTCTGTCCTTGGTTTTCGCTCAGTCGCGTTCGCCATTGTCTTTTATGCGCGCCGCCGCGTGCAGAAGCGGCAGAGAGACATCTGCTTTTCGCTCTTGGCCTTCAACCTGCTGCTTCTTTTTGTGTTACCTGATCAAAAAATTACACCGCGACCGAGCAATGTAAATCGGCTTTATCGAATTAATCAGTCGCAGTATTCACCACAAAACTTATATCATCGGAAATAAAGTGCAAAAAAGTCAAATCAACAATTTGTGGGGAAATTCGCCTCTAATTCAAATACAATTCAATTTTTTTTTTTTTAAATTTAATTTTAAAGTTTAAAATGGAAATTGAACATGATTCTATGAAAAATATTCTCATGAATATGCTTAAGCAATTTATAATCCTTCACTGCCGCTGTTCATTCGAGTGTGTTGTTATAATTAGGTGGTTTTTTTTCTGTTTCGAACAGACGCAGGCGCTTGGGATGAGCGACACGGGGAGCTGCGGAGGCGGCAGCCAGCCCAGTGAGGGCAGCACGGCCTCCGTCAAGGAGGACCACAGCATCATCACAGTGGACCAAAGCGGCGCTAATGGAGACATCGAACGCCTCACCACTGTCGTCATCTCCACCTCCGACCCCCGCAGGTGAGCAAATTAACTAATTTTTATCATTTCTGACATCCTTGATTGACAAATTTATTTTTGAGATCAATTAGTTCCTCTCTTTGACTTGTCATGAAGGATAAAAAAAATGTATTTGCGAAATACATCAATTTAAATTTTATTTAATTAAGAATATTTTCTCATCGCAAGCTTTATTAAATTTTAATGCAAAATAAATATTACTGTGCTTTTCAATGAGCTCATTTGTCAGAATTAATTAAGGGTGCTAAATTTTTGCACCTATAGGCCACTAAGGGTAGTTTGATCATAATTTTAAAATAAATAGTTTAGCTGTTTTAATTGCTAAGAATTAATTTTGAATCAGTTCAAAATTAATGGCAATTCATTTGATTAAAATTAAATTTTACAGTAAAAAATTACTTCAAAGAGGAAAAGTTTTTTTTTTAGTAGTTGCGCATATTTAAATAAAATTGATCGCAATTATTTTTAATCCTCGTAAATCTCTGAATGAAGCAACTCGCAAAACCAATTTTGAAACAGGTGAAAAAAATGTAGCCAAATATGGAATCAGGTGCAAAAGATAATCTAATTCGCCGAGGCCATTAAGGCGAGAGGTGTCGTTTGGCCTTTTTGTCTTTTTCTCTTTCACATGCGCGCGCGGCGCAACAACTTTCTCGTTGCGTCATTTTGCTTCTTGCAAGAAAATGCTCACCGCTTTTACTTGCAGCAATGAACTGTTTTTGCATCTCACTTCAGAGTTGCCCCAACCGCAATTTGCTCGGATTTTCGTGCATAAACAAAATTTCATCAACAAAGGGATCAATTTCAATTACAACTTCAATCTTATTGTTCTGTATAACTTAAGTCTGAAGTAACATGTCGGGTCTAAAAATGACGCCTGAAAGGTTTCTCACTCAAGTGATAAACCTTTAAAATTCCAGGTCAAAGCAAATTGTCAATTTAGCGCTAATTTTTTGGTAAATGGGTAATTAATTAGATTAATAAACGTTTATCTTGGGTCTGATCAAATTCTTTTTTAGTTCTGACGAGGAAAAATAAATGTATAAAAAGATTTTGGCTGAAAGATTTTTAGTAAAATTTATTTTTATTAAATTATGATAATGAATATTAAATATTAAATAAATTCTCTTATTAAAATTTGGAATTTTATACTTTTTTTAACTGAAACAGAATAATTGCTCAATCTTTTCGTTCTTTTATTTTCATGCACCAGTGCAGCTTTTAATGCAACTTCAATTGATAAATTGATACTTTCTGGTACATTGCAAAAGATTAAATTCCGCGACTTAACTCTTATTACACCGGCAGTTGCGATTCATCTTAAGAGACAGGCTCTGATTTGCATTTAGAAATCGGCGACGGCAAAAGATAATAAATAAATCTCGACTTCCTCCTTTTCAACCTCTTAGGTTACGCAAATGATTCCAATTTAATTTGCGTTAATTCACTGCAGGATTATTTAATCCATCCTCATAAGTTTTTGACGAACTGCAATAAAAAAATTCAGTTGCCCCTTGGGTTGGCAGGATGTTTCTTTGTTGGCCGCATCCCCTTCGCGCCCCTCGCAATTTCGGCCACAAAAAATAAACACGACAGTAACAAAATCCCCTTTTTCTTGAGCAACAACTGCCGCTTGTAAAATTTTTATGCTCTCTGTTTTGAAACCTGTACCTTTGGTTTTCTTGCGAAAGGAAAATTTTCCATTCTCCTCCCACGGGAATCGTAAATTTCTCAACTGTCCGTCAAAATAAAATAAAATTGGGAGATGTATTGTTATGCGCGGTGCTTGCATGCCTGAGACTGCGGGCGGAGGATCAGCTTACCTGAAATATTTTGTCAAGGGTTAGACAACACACGCACCTGCAGCTTTCTGGGGGGTCTTTTTCTTTCCCATATCCTGTCTAGCGAAACCTCAGTGACCCAATTACGATTTTTATTCAAATATTTTTGCATTAATTTTTTCCCTCTGAATTTTTCACAGCAATGGCATAGACAACATGGCTTTCCGGCCAGAGAATGACAGCGAGAAGCAAGCGATTCCTGCCGAGGCAGTCAACCTGGAGCTGGTGAACATGGCGCCCTTTGGAGAGGTGAAGGAGAAGAGCAACGGACACTCGCTCACCGAGATTCCCATTAAGAATGGAAAGTCGGAGGACTCGGCGTTCAGCAGCGATCCGTACGACGAGTACTTTGTCCCTGTCAACGAGCACCGAAAATATATTAGGTGCCCTTTTTTTAAGTAAATTAACACACTTTAACCTTATAAAAGTTTTGATTTTTATTTTAATAATGTTTTTTATTTTTCAAGAGGGGAGAAATTATACGTGACGAAAGACAGGCGGGAAAAGAAGAGCTGCAAAAAACCTATCTGCTGGGGCATGACCCTGACCTTGCTGGCGGCGGCGATCTTTGTTGTCGTTTTAATTTCCAGTAAGTACATATTTGATTTGATCAATAAGTTTTGTTGGGTTCTCTGGAGCCCCACGCTGGAAGCTCTGAATCCAGTGTGAGAGGCTATGAGTTCAAATCCCAGTGACTCTTGTGGATTTTCAAATGATGATAATTAAACCAATCAGACATTCGAAGCCTGACTCATTGTGAGGTTAACTTAAATCTGAAAAGATATCCACTTTTAATTTGAATTCAAATTTTTTTTTTATTTTAAATCTGAATTAAATAAATATATTTACTTATAGCTGGTCAAATGAATCAAGATGAATTAGGAACTAAGGAAAAATTGAACACTGGCAGTATTGGCGGTGCCGGTTCAAGACCTTCTCAAACTCAGTCAACAGTCATTCCAGCAACTGCACAGCCATTTGGTAAATTGGAAATTTTTATCTTTACACTGAATTTTAAAGTCAATTTTAGTTCCGAGAGCATTGGAAGGAATGTTGTCAATTGACAGCATGGACTTTGTTGACGATTTTTACAAACCTGAATCAGCAAAGTATAAGGAATTGGCTGCAAATATTGAGGATGAGGTAATTTTCATTATTTATTAAATTTGATTAGTATTAAAATTTATAAAAATCTAGATTAAAAATGCCTTGTTCGACCACCAAATGATGAACTTTGGTTCCTCTGACATCACTGTCAAAGTGCAGCAATTCATGTGAGTCTTGCAAAATTTTTGCAACTCCTGATTATTTAATTGCTTTTTAATTAGGCCCGGGAGCATTGTGGTGCGGTACAGAGTGGCGTGGGAACCTAAACCGGGCGTCCAAACTTCCACAGACCCGATTAACAAGGATCTCATGCAGACCCGCATGGCCGAATATTTACGCAAAAACGCTGGATATCTTTACACCTACAAGATCCATTTACCCTCTGTCCAGTCATCATGTAAGAATATTTTTGTTAAAATGTAAATATGAAATTTCTTAAATTGTGTGTTTTTAGTAATTATGAATGAGTGCACAATGAACAATGGTGGCTGTTCTCATGAGTGCCATTTTGATTACAAAATTACTCTCAAGACAATGTGCACATGCCCTCTAGACCAAGTTTTGGGATCAGACAAAGTCACTTGCCGCTTTGAAAAAGGTACAAAATAACATTGTAGTTAAAATTAAAAATATTATATTAAATTTATTACTTTTTTTAACAGCGGTGGGCCCAATCGACACGAATGAGTACACTGGACTCAACGAACACTCTTCTACTGCCGAGCCAGAAACAAAATCTGATCATGACCATTCCCATAATCACAATGACCAACATGATCACTCTGAAGCTGAGCCTGAACCCTCTAGCGAACCCGAACCCTCTAGTGAACCTGAACCTTCAAGTGAGCCAGCTCATAACAGCCATGACCATAGTAGCAATGAGGGCCATGACCATAGCCACCATGATCATCATGATCACCACATTCAAGTACACACCGTGGAAGGTTCAAGATCTGAACCAGAGCCTTCTTCAGAACCTGAGCCGTCTTCAGAACCTGAGCCTTCAAAACCAGAACCCTCTTCAGAGCCTGAGCCGTCTTCAGAACCTGAACCTTCAAAACCGGAACCCTCTTCAGAGCCTGAGCCTTCTTCAAAGCCGGAACCCTCTTCAGAACCTGAGCCGTCTTCAGAGCCTGAGCCGTCTTCAAAACCGGAACCCTCTTCAGAACCTGAGCCGTCTTCAGAGCCTGAACCTTCGTCAAAACCGGAACCATCTTCTGAACCTGAGCCATCTAATGAGTACTCAGGTCACCAGCATCTACACCATCACACGTCCGAGTCTTCAAGTTCAGAGCCCGAACCATCCACCAAGGACAATGAACACTTTAAGGTTGAACCCGAACCTTCTAGCAAACACGAATCTAATCCGGAGCCGACATCTGGTGAGGAAGAAGTGAAAATTTTCGAAAAGGTTAAGGCCGAACCCGAGCCAAGCGCCGAACCTGAGCCAAGTGCTGAACCCGAACCTAGCGCTGAACCTGAAACTTTCTCAGGTCATGATCACACGCACCATGCTGAGCATCAACAAAATTCAGAAAAGTCTGAACCAGAGCCTAAAGCCGACGATGCTGAGAAAAAGGAGAGTATTAATGAGGGGAGAGGATTTGGTGTTTTCATGGATCACTCCTTTGCCAAAGTAGACATCAGCAACGGAAGTGATTGGAATGAAGACCACCATGAAAACGTGCATGATATTTCCAAGGACTTTGAGGTTATTCAGCATAAAAATACCTACCTGAGCTCAAGCACGACTGAAAAGATGCAAGAGAGTGTTGATGAAACCCAAGAAAATGAAAAGCCGGTTGAAGAATCTGAAAGTTTTAAAAATGAACATCACCACGAGGAACCAATGGTCCTTGAGTTGAAGCCTATGATTGCAGTGGAAGAGGAGAAACACGGTGAAGAGAAACATATGGAGACTGAGTCGAAGGAGGAGACATTGGCGCATAATAATCAAGAGGTGGAGGATTATCCTGAACCAAAAATTGAAGCCGATAATGTTTCCAAACATGCCCCTGAAGAACTGGAGGTACACAGCCAGGTGCATGAACAGCATCCTGCTCTCTGGACGGGTGCGATTTATGCCAAAAATTACGAGAGTGACGAAAACTCCACTGAACCTGAGGAGGTGAACACTGAGACCATCTCTGGAGTTGACACGGAAAAGCCTGAAATTGAAAATGAGACTGGTGAGGAGCAGAAAATTGAGATGATTAGTTTGTCATCCACAGAGGCACCTTCTACGACCCCTCACGTCGCTTCCCTTGAGCACAGTCCTACATCTGAGCCAGAAATAATTAAAAGCGACGAGTATGACGCCAACAAGAACGATTTACTTTCAATCAGTGAGGACGAAACAAGCATTGTAAAGGAACCTCGGTCACCAATGCTGGACGACGGACTTGAATCTGTCTTTCTAGGCCGTGAGCAGATCACCGTCTCCTCAACCACTGAGCCAAGCGCAGAGAATGTTGAGATCAACGATTTGTTCTCAAACGACAAAGAGCACGAGGTGTCTGAGTCACCGAAGGCCACAGAATTAGAACAGTCCAAGCAAGAATCGCGCAAGTTGAATGTGGCTGAGCCTACCAACGAGTTCTTGGAGGTGAAGCAGCAAAAGCAGTCCAAAAAGCAAAAGGAGAAGGAGTTGGCCGAGTCAGTTGAGTTGTTCAACGCAGATTTCATGGAGAAGCTGAAGAAGTTGGGCAAAGAAAAATATGAGAAGGAGGATGAAAAGGAAAAGAAGAAGATCATTGAAATAATTGATACGGACACTCCAGCAGAGGGTGAAAAGTCCGAGGATGTGGAGGAATTTTCTCCAACTACTATGAGGATGGACGAGACTGGGGAGGGCAAAATTGACGTCCGGATGAATATGCATGACTTGTTGTCTACAGAGCGAAATGACAAGAGCATGGAGGTCAGCGAGTTTGCCACAACCATCAAGGACGAAGTTGAGGACACCACTGACTTAGCCATCGAGGGAAATAAACCTGAGAATAGCAGCAGTTCAGAAGAACCGGCAGAGGTTCGACTGATTGACGAGAGCATCAACTCGACGGAAATCGAACCAGAAGTAGCTACTGAAGCCATATCTACGGAAAAAGATGTCACTGACGAGCCTGCAGAGGTCAACACGGAGATACCTTCCTCAACAACTACAACTGTCGTCCCGCAGGTTAAAGAGTCACCACCTGTGCATGAGAAACATGAGGTGCAGCCATCCTCTGAGGCGCCCACTTTCTCTCGCTGCTCAGCCGGACAATTTGAGTGCGTGAACGGAACCTCCACTAACGGGCCATGCATCAGTCTGTCCGCCAAGTGTGACTCCTTCAATGACTGCTCGGACGCTTCCGATGAAATCGGCTGCATTGAGGATAAGTGCCCTGGAAACTTCCAAGTAAGCATCTCTGAATCCAATAATTTCAATTTTTTTATTTTTTAGCTTTTCACAATACAGCTGTGACAATTATTTATAATATGTTTAATATTTATTTTGTAATTGTGGGCTTAAATTGGATGCAATGAACAATCAATTTTTTTCTCTTCCATGCCCAGAATTTAGTAAAATCGTAAAATGTGATTAATTCGACCAAAATATTTTGGGGTTCTACTTAAGTTTTAGCTTTAAAGCTATCTGTATAAGTACTATTTTTCCCAAACCACCAAAATCGAATTGGATTTCATATTTGTATTTTAGAGTAGGAATTTATTTATTTAATTCTCCAATATTTTTATTCTAGTGCAAAAGTGGGCAGTGTCTTAAGAGGCATCTTGTCTGCAATGGAATAGTTGATTGCTCAGGAGATGGCAGTGATGAAACTGATTGTGGTGAGCTATTTTTAGTCAATTAGTCCTATAAGGTCAGTTTTAATAATAAAACTTTTTTAACTCTGTTGTCGTTTCTATTTACTGTTTATTGTAGTCCCAATTTACCAAAATTTGACGTTTATTAAGTACAATAAGGGCACAGTAATTATTAATAAATCATTAAAACCTTTGCAGATGAATGGAAGTGCATATTTGATGAAATGAGGTGTCCGTCGGGCAGGTGCATCCCTTTGCTGTGGCAGTGCGATGGAAAGGCGCACTGCGAAAACCACTTTGACGAGCAAAACTGCCAAGGTAATAAACATTTTAATGAGCTTCCTTTTGCTGTTCTACTTCCAAGCTTTTGTTTTTCACAGACACCTGTGGCAACGATGAGTACAGGTGTGGTGAGGGCAGGTGCATTCCGCAGGCCTGGAGGTGCAACGGAAAGGCAGATTGCATGGAGGGAGACGACGAAAAACTTTGTGGTAATTATTTCATTTTTTTTATGATTTTAAAAATTATTCTAAAGAAGAGTGCTCAGAATTTGATTGAAAATATTAATAAAAACCTTTTTAGACTGCTCTCTGGACCAGTTTAAGTGCAAGGCAGGCGGGTGTGTGATGAAGTCACAGATTTGTGATGGAGAACCACAGTGTCCTGACAAGAGCGACGAATGGGACTGTCTGAAGATTGCTAAATATGAAAATGAGACAAGGCTGCAGGTCAGAACCAATGAGGAAAAATGGCTGGGTGTGTGCATGGACAACTGGGACAGTAACTGGAGTGACGCTGCCTGTCAAATGCTGGGCTTCAGGTGTGTATTTTTCCCTACAGTTTTAATAAAAATCACTATCTTATTAAAAAATCTCTTACAGTCATTCAGTTTTCACAAACTATCTGACCCTGTATGCCGAAAACACTGACCGACTGCTGATGTTAAAACCCTCTGCTGGAAATGCCTCTCAGGCCGTCTCCATTCTTGGTGCTCTGGAAAAAGCCCCTCTTGAGTCTTGCTCCTCTAATAGGACAGTTGAAATTTCCTGCCATAGCTTCAGTAAGTATTCAACTTTCCTTGCCTGTGGATTAAATAAATTTGATTTGTTTTCAACAGCTTGTGGAAGGTCACAGAACGGTGCTGGTCTAAATGCTAGGCTGGTAGGGGGCCACAGAGCTTCGGAGGCGCAGTGGCCCACTGTGGCCTTAATGTTCAACACCAAGCTGAATACAGGATGCACTGCCAGCATTGTCAGCCCTATCTGGCTCCTAGTCTCCCTCAGTTGTCTGACAAACAAGTAATTTGGAATTTTTTCCTTTCAAATTTTGTAAAATTCCTTTTCCTATATTTTAGAGACGCAACTCTGAATTCTGAAAACTGGAAACTCTTTGCCGGTGGGACGACATTCAGTTCTACGGAGCAGGACCCAATGATGCAAGTTCGCAATGTGAGCAGGATTGTTGGCCACCCGCAATTCCAGTACAACCGCTTCCTGTACGAACAAGACGTTGCCCTGGTCAGAGTGGACATGCCTCTTTTACTTGACGAGCAACTCGTCAGTGCTGTTTGCCTCAGCAGCAAGAGTGTTGAGCCCAAGCAGCCCCTCTGTGTTACTGCTGGCTGGGGCTACAGCTCCAGAATTCCAAGTGAGTATTATATCAAAATTTCAATGTTTAAACTGACTAAAACTCTAAAGACAGAAGAAAAATGAAAGCTGGAAATTGGATTTTCGGTAGAAAATTTTTGGATTTTGGTGCTTTATTTCTTAACTTAAAAAAGAGAACACTTTTAAACCTTCATTCATTTTTAGGAGACGGTACTCTGCGCCAGTACTTGCATTATCTACCCGTGCCAACAATTGATGTGAGCAACTGCAACTCAACCAAGCATTACAACGGCCAGATTTCTGAGGGCCACATTTGCGCTGGCTACACCGATGCCGAAAGATCGCCATGTGATGTATGATTTGCAAAAGGAAATTTTTCTGAATATTTTACTTATCTTTTTATTATAGAATGACGAAGGAGCGCCTTTGATGTGTGTCAACGAGGAGGGCATTTGGGAGCTGCAGGGGCTGCTGACGTACCACAGCCACTGCGGCCGAGGTCTTCACCCCTCTATCTTTATCTCAGTAAGCCCGTTGCGGCAGTGGATCGACCACACAGTTGGCTCCGACTTTGCCCACGCCGCTGCCTCAAGCAGCTAAGAGAGATTCCAAATTCAATAATGGACTGCTAGCTGTGTTTATTATTAAATTTAGATGTGATCTTCTGGTTAATAATCAAATTTTTTCAGAAATTTGGTTAGCAAAATTGAAAACTGCAACTCCCGAGTGGTTGCTAATGGCTCTAGTTTACTTTGAATTTCTTCTGAAAGCTATCCAAGTCAAAGTAAGATTTCCGAGACGATTTATTTGTATATAAACTGCAATAGGCTTAAGTATAAAATTATATGTTGTTAACAAGAAGCATACTCTTGCTGAAAATGAACTTCTTGGGCATTAAGCAACACCTTTCAAGATGCTTTTTGGTCAGTTTAATTTTGTCCGACCACAGAATGCCTCTTGTCAACAATATATAAATAACGAAAGGAACATGTGTCAAATAAATGTAGAAGAAAAATGTAATTTTTGAAATCTTTAAGCAACATCTTGAAGACGTAATTACTCTTTAGTTGTCTTAAGTTTTTTCAGCAATTTTTGCATGTTTTTGAGAGGCTGATTTATATGACTCGGTGAGAATTTTGTGTGAGAGAAAGAGGTTTGAAAAAAAAAATACAAGTCGAATGTGCTCATCATATCTTATTAGTATAATGGTCCATCAGCCTGTTTTTATACGAAATCACTGATATTTGAATGTCATATATTATCTCAATTTTATTATTTGAATATCGTCGCATAGTTTTATAAATCCTTTGATCTGCTATGAATGAAGAACTGTAGTAAATCTCCAGTATTTAGAAATCTCTGACTTTTGTGTATGTAAAAATTGGAAATAAAAAACTAACAGAGTAAACATCTTGAAATTATAATTTTGATTTTTAATAAGTGTTCCTGCATGATTAATTTATTTATTTATTTCATTTATTGCTACATACATATCGGATCAAATTAAAAATCAAAATAATTATCTTTTATTACTTTGATTGCTAAATAATTTTTATTTATTATTTAAAAATGGTGATTATGTGTCCAAACTTTTACATCACAATCAATTTTTGAAACAATTTATTTGAAAAGAAAACGAAATTGTTGGACAAAACGACACCACCAATTGCAAGAATTTTGCTAAAAAGACCAAAAAGACCCCAATCCGCCGCAGTGAGCAATTTTTCCATTGTTTTTAAAATTGGAATAAATTTATTCCAAGAAAGATTAAATCAGCTGCAGAAAATTTGCAAGACAAATAAGTATTTATTCCTTCAAATAATCACAAAGACGAATAAACACGTTTCTGATTCCTGCATTTACATGCGCTTTTCCCGCGTTTTTTTAAATAGTATTTCAAGTGGCCAATCATCGCCTACGAATCCGAGATTGCCTCAGCCAATCACAGAACGTTTCGCTACACTTGCCATTCTTGCAGCTGAACGTAATGGTTGGTTGTCGTCAAGTGCGACTCGAGAATTCCCAAAAGTGCCGAATTCAGGTGAGTTTGCCGACTTAGTCAGGTCGAATTTGCCCGGTAGACCCTGGCCGAAGGTCTCGGGCTTGGAAAGAAAACTTTTTTAGAGCCGTTCGAGCGGCTGGGCGGCCGAAAATCGGTCGGCGAAGCAGTTGACAGGGGCCTCGCCATGGCTGCACCTTTTCGCACGCTGATTGATGGCAATCGATTCGAGCGAGTCGTTCGCGCGAATCATGTCTGGAGCGCGACCTTGCGACGGCACACTCGCACCCTTCCACCTTTGCAAGGGTGGAAGGCCCGGCCTTCGAGGCCCGACCGAGCCCAACGGCCGAATTCCAAGGGGGGCCACGCGAGTGACTCACGGGCCTGGAATTTTTTCAAAGCTCGAAAATTCGAAGGAAACGAAGGAATTTTTCCAACTCTGACGAACCGTTGCGAGAAATTCGCGTTCTGGTCGGTTCAAATAGGTTTGGAAGCGTTCACGAATTTTCCTCCGACTGCTGACATTGCGTATCGCGCTGCAATCATGTTGGTTTATGCGAGGCACGACTGCATTTCTCATAAACAAAGCAATTATTACCACGAATCACTCTTTGCACAACCGGAATAATGTCGTCGTGACCACGCTGCAGGAAGTTGATAACAAATTATATTATCAAATTTTAACAATAATGGAATATTATTTTAAAAATATATAAAGCGTTGGAAATTTTCTGTTGAAATAGAAAATGTTCACCCACAATGCAAATTATTGAGTTGAAATTTGAAAAATTAATTTTTTTCAGTTTTATATAATATTGCAGAGAAAATGAATCCGAGTTGATAATTTTACTGCAGGGAATAGAAATACGAGTTCAATGTCCTGGCCTTCGGAAGCACCCGTTTTGTTCCAGCTGCACCATAATGAGCTTCTATATTTAATAAGTGTGGTTTTATTATTTTTTATAGTTTTGCCAACGTTGCTTATCTTTTTGCGACGTTTTAGAGACATATTAAAATTAATCAATTTGATTTAATTATAAAATTAATTAAATGTGAAGGATTGTTTTATATATTTTGAAGCAGTTTTCAATATCAATAAATTAATTCTGCGTAGGTTTGAAAATAAAATATTTATATGCAAAGAGGATTTCGTGACGTCACTTTCTCCAGTGCAATTAAAAGTGACACGCACAGCTGATATTTGCGCACTTATGAAATGCACACAACGTGATTGCTCGGCGCAATTATCAAGCAGGTGCAAAAAGAATGGCTGAACAATTTGAACGAAAAGGGTGAGTCGGTTTTTGTGATTCTTTCGGCCCATAGTAACAAGGGAGCGAGAGGGATTCTCGGTCGGGTTTGCAGGAACGAATTCTGACAGAGTCTGACTGAAAATGAGAGTAAAAAGGTGCAGCGAGTGCTGCGTAGTGTGTGTGGTGCGTGTGTAATGTCATTGGCTGTAGATCAATAGAGGGGATCCTGCTGGCCGTGAGTGTGGTGTTTTGGAGACGTCCGTGCCAAGGGCCGGCTGGCTCCTTGCCATTGGAATTTTAAATTCTTTCTATTTATTTTGGAGAAACAATAATTTACAAATTTGTTAAAAAAAAATCTTTTTTTTAAGCGACAATGTTTGTAATTATAATGGGAGAATAACAAATTGAAGCCAGATGAATATGATCGGTTGATTTAATTAAAATGTGCCAATTTTTATTTAGCTTTGAGCAAAAATGGTTTAATTGATACAGTAAAACACGTTGGTTTTTTTCAAACTGATCTAATTTATGGATTTAAAAAATAATAAAAAGTTTAATAGCGACTTAAATAAAATAATTGTTAAAAATGATCTAAATTTGGATTTTTCTAGAATTTCCAATTACATTTTATCGATGTCAAATGTTATATTCACGTCAGTTGGGAGTTAATTTTTAATGATTAAAAAGGGCGTTTCTGTTTATTACAAAAATCCTTTTTAAGTCGGCAGCTGATATCAAATAATTTCCTGTGGCAATTTTAATTGTTCAGATAGGTTTTTATGTGGATTTTCTCTAGCAAGAGAACTGTTGATATTTATTATCGCTTTACATGAATTGTGAATTTCAACGATTACGGGCTTAAAGAAAATCGCATAGCAAATAATTTGGATACGATTAGGCTGAATTTTTTATAGAAGACCGAGGAGATTATCATGGATATGAACAAATAGGGCTTTCTCCTCGTTGCTGAAATTGCTTTTTATTCAAAAACCATCAAAAACAAAGAACCAGTTTAGGTCACGGTCTGAGATTCCATTTTGTGAACAACAAAAATACCAAAGAAATCATCAAAATTGAAAAAGAAGACTCATTTTTATTTAAAAAGTTAAATTAATTTAATTAAAACTTATATTTTGCTGATTTTTTTGTATTTTTCTTGCTCATGAATTAGGGTTGCAGACCGTGACCATTTGTTTTTTTATTTTTTATTAAAAAACAGTTTTGGCAATGAGGATAAAGCCCGATCTTTTCATTTCCACGATTAGGCCATGATATAGTCAATGGATATAGAATAAACTAACGCTTTGCATTTTTTTATTATTGTTATTTGTGACAATCATTGCAACAATATCAAGACAATCAAAATATTTTACCTATTTTAGTTCATTTGTCCAGTTTTTAACATCCCAATTTTGAAAATAATTTGCTTGAAAATAGTAATTTTGTGTAAAAACAGCTTCAAAGCAAGAAAGACCCCATCCGTCGCGTTGAATGTGTCCTTCTATCTGAAAATTCGGTAAATTTTGGAAAAATATCGCCTAATATTCCTCTTATTGCCACTTAATTACGAAATTATTTGTTTCAATCGAAATTTGTTGTATAAATCTTCATTTATTTTTTCCAACAAAAATTATTCTTGTGGCAATTTCATATTTTTGGTGGCTCCAGACTTCTTTTTATTGTCAGAGCCATTGCTTACGGCCCGCGCGTGAGAAGGTCCCGGTCGCTTGCAAGAGAGAGACGAGCAGCCAGCGCTTGGTTGGTGGCTCGGCTCGCTTGCTCGCAGTTCACATCGCTCTGCAAAGGCCAGCTGACGAGCCAAGTCGCTTCGCTAGCGTTTGCGTGTCCACGCGAATGGAAACCATTTTCTCGGCCCTCGGCTTCTTCTGAGGAAGACTGGCGTTGCTCTCCGTCTGGTGAGTCCCGCGAGGGGCCCTTGAGTCCCATTGGCAAGTCCCCCGCCCCCAATCGCCAACAGGGGGCTTCAAGGTTATCCGCCCGTCGCCCCCCAAAATTCCTCGCTCGGGGCCATTAATTGATTCTTCGGGGCTACTTGAGACCGCTTGGTGGGTCCCAATCTTGTCTGGGCTGCGATCGGGGCCTCGAAGGCCCTCGACTTGAGGTGTTTACATTCGATCCGTCTCGGGTTCGATAATCTCGCAGCTAAAATGGCTGCAGAGAAGGAAGTGGGGTCCCTCCTCGGGCGCCCCCTTTCCTCCGCTTCGATTTCAATTAAATTTCGAAACTGGCCCTGTAAATCAAGAAAGGGGCTTTGCTTGTTCCTCAATCCGCGGAGGAGTTTCGGGCATATTGCAATTAGTGAGGCAGGGTGAAATTAACTTGGCCGTGCTCGTCGACTCCATTTTGTTACTTGGCTTATTTTTTTCGGCCTTGAGCCGTGTGTTGCCTCGATCGGGGCAACGATCGGTGGCCCCGGGCCTTTCTAGGCAAACCTGACTAAACGCCTGTGGGTCTGGGGGCGAAAGACGATTATCGGCCCGAGAGTCCATTTTTAAATGGCCAAGCTCGCGAGGAGGAGCAAGGCCATGCTCAGTTGGGGGCACTGGCACGGCTGCCAGAGGGCGTTTGTGTTTGTGTCTTCAGATGGCACCGACCAACCCTGTCTGCACTGATAAACCGATCCATAAATAATCTCACCCTTTAAAATTATCAATCGTCTACAGAATTATTTTCAATAGGACGTTATTAAAATAAATTTCAGTTATCAAAGTCGCATATTTTACAAATCAAAGTAAAACTGGCCGAGATCAATATATTTTTTGCGCACCTTCTCGAAAAATGCGCATGACTCAAAATAATAATTACTTATTCAGCGTTCATGAACCTCGTCGATTTTTTTCTCAATGTATTCTGAAATAATTGTTCGTTTATTACAAATTTTATAATTATGTCATTAAAATTACACAGTCCTAATAAAAATTTTGCTATTATTATTTTTTGCAGACGCAGGTGTGAATCGTGGAATGTTGTGTGCAGGGTGTTGCGAGCCGAGCTTCTATGGCCGAGCAACCTAGCAGATCGTGGAGCAGCGGGGGGTCAGCAGCTATTTCATCTTGGTCTGGCGGCGGCAGTGGGGCGGCAGCAGCCTCCTCCTCGTCCTCTTCAACTCATCACCCTCAGCAGCACGGCGCTCCCGTGACGGAGCACAGCCGCAAGCGCGGCCTAGCCGAAAAGCAGGCGGCCGCAACAGCCGTCAGGAAAGCAGAAGACCCCGCTGGCGGTAAGAGGGGCCGCCCCTCGGCTGCCCCCTCGTCCGCCTCCAAGCGCAGCTCCAGCAGGACTGTGCCCGCCCTGTCTGCAGACCAAACTACTGTCCACTCAGGTAATTGCTAAATTTTATGCCCGTGATGACGTCTGACCTCTTGTGAATTATTCTAGGCGATAACAGGAACGCTACAAACCCCAAGAGCAGCAGGTCTAAGAAGACTTCCAATCCACAGTCCTCAAAATTGTCAGGAGGTAATACTTCGATTTTATACGTTAACGCTTAATTTGCATATTGAAATTAATGGCGTCAACCACCAACATTTCATTTATAAAAATTCTTGTTTATATTTGTATAATTTAAAGTTAAAAAATATTGATTTTTTTTAAATTTAATGATGAAATGTAATATTTTAACAAAACCTTCATTTGAAAGCAGCTGTACAAAATTTGTATAGTTACCTGAATTCTCTAGCAAACACCACTTCTTATGCTTGTCACGACCTAGGGCTTAATTTTGGTGTTATGTTATTGTTGCAGGAAAGCCAAGCACCGGCGCAATCCCAAAAGTCAAGCGTTCCAGTCAAGCCACATCCACAAGCACCTCAGAAGTTCAGAGCACAAGCAGCGAACGAGGCAGGCGCGCAGTTACGATTGCCAGCAGTGCTGCCACCAATTCTACAGTCTTACAGTACGTCTCTTTTTAAAGTCTTAAGTTTGTTTTTTTTAATTATTTTATTACAAAGTTAGTAAAATTTTACCCGCGGAACTATACTAGTTTTGGGCGGAAACAAGCCTATTAATTTTTTCTCCAGAATATTCTTTTGTAAATAATTTCATATTTCCGTTTATTGGAAAAAAAACACTCCTGTTGATAATAGAAATATTTGAAATCTAGAAGTAGAGATGCATACTAGTGGATGAGTAATTTAACATTTTTCGTTTTTTTTTCTTTTGCAGACGCAAATTGCAGAGTGACTCGAACCGCAAGCGAGGCCTGTCTACACAGTCGTCCAGCTCAACCTCCTCACTTACCTCTCAGCCAGCTAACAAGAAAGCTGCCACCAGCAGCGCTCAGCCTTCAACGTCGACTGCAAGTTCAGCGACCTCACCTAAGAAGTATCCACTGAGGAACCAGGTTCGTCTGCTCCCTGGCAGCCAAGAGCCAGTTCCACTAGAAGTCCCATTGCCTCCACCTGAATACTACCCACCACCTGTGCGCCGCCGCTCGTACTCGGCAGGCTCGCCAAAGCCAAGGAACAGCAGCCGGGGCCGATCTAGGGCCTCGATTGCGTCGCCCTACCATCTCACCGACTCGCAGCAGTTGGGCAAAAACTCAACCAGAGGCGCAGGCGTCAGTGCCACAGCCCCCCAACATCAGGCGGCGGGCTCCAAGGACAACCTGAGGCGCAGCTCGAGAAGCAAAACCACCACGGGGTCCTGTGCTAGCAGCAGGTTAGTTAATCTTGTGATGCAACTTGGCATTCTTATTTTTAAAATGGTTCAATCATCAAAAGAATCAACTTGCCAGTTGAACAAATGATTCAATTAAGATCAAAAGATTAAACAATTTTCGTTCCAGCGGTAAAAGTTAAATCAACTTCATTTTTAGTGACACAGATAAAAAAAAAATGATATGTCAACTTGCTAAATGCTGCTTAATGCATTTATAGTTGAATATTTTTTTTAAATTTTCTCTAAAAAACGGCCGTCCACTTGCTATGTTATTATTGCATTTATAAAAAAAAAAATCAATCATCTGAAAACCCCGGTGGTTGAAAATTGTTTAAATCAACAATCAAAATTTTTCATTTTGGCTTGTAGACTTTCTTGCACATTTGCTAGGTTTTTTCAACCTGGCAACATGGCACAGCAAATAAATGAGCCCAGCGCACCGATTAATACAATTTTGTACACGTTTTCACTCTGTCTTCACTTCTCGGCACAGTGATAGTCCTTGTAATTCCCGAGAGATAAGAGGAAGGAATATGAGGAATCCTATAAATCCTACATCGGCCAAAATTGTACCAAGGAATCTAGATGCGACATTTTTATCAATTTACATGTTCCCTCCCGCTGCTTGCCTGCTACGCGCAGACAAGTGTAAACAAGTCAGAGCAGGATGAGGGCCAAGTTGCAAGAGAAAGAGATTTGTCGAATTTTTAAGACTCGCATTTTGAATGTTTGGCATCAAATTATAGACTTCATATTTTCAACATTGATAGCATCAATAGGTCTGATGCTAATTTTATTAAATAAAAAAAAAAAAAAAAAAATGGATCATTTTTGAGAAGGAACTTTTTAAATTAATTAAGGCAGTGATTCTTAATTTTAAATCTAAGAACCAATTAAATAATAAAATTTAAAGAAAAAGTAAAATGTTGCTATCAAGTTCCTCTGGTTTGGCAAATGTGGAAATAAAAAGCGACAAGCAAGTAAATAATTAAGATAAAATTTAATTAATAAAATTAGTCAAAAGTTTTATTCGTAAGAAGAAATTGATACTTGAGGAGATGATCATGGAAATGAATGAATCGGGCTTTTTCCTCGTTGCAGAAATTGTTTTTTTTTTATTCTCAAACAAATTGGCTCCAATTTGTTTTTGAATAAAAAAAACAATTTTGTGTAATGAGGAAAAAAAGCCCGATTCAATGATTTCCAAGTTTTTATTCAATATTTTTTGTGAATTTATCGTGTAAATGTTGTATTGGAAGGAGAAAAGTATGACATTATAATTGGTGCTGAAGAATTATTTTGTATACATTACATTTGAAAGTTTTCTTTCTCTATTTTTCTCATTGTTCCTTTCTTTGTTTCAGTGGCCGACGTTCGTCGCGCGGGGGCACAAAACTGCCTCTGGCCTCGTCCTCGCAGTCGACATCGTCGGTTGCTCCAGGCCCTTCGTCTTTCTCGGCGAGCAGCTCCACACATCCAGCAGCCAACGAACCTGCTGCAGCCATCATGAACGCATCCTCTGGAGGCGATGGGTGGGAAGGCTTGGCTGAAGCGGCCGCCTCTTCGTCGTCTGCCGCGGCGACTAGAGTGACGCCGCCGCCACCTCTGCCTCCACTTCTGTTGGCCTCTTCAAGTGGCGGGCCCTCTCTGCTGGCCACGGCGGCCACTGCAGGGTCAGCCCAACAAGGAGGTGCTGCCTCGGCTAGTAGCGCTGCTTCTGCCGCGGCCACTGCGGCCGCGGCTGCAGACAGCGAGAGCGACGACAGCGAGGTGGGCCTCAGCTGCACAAGCCCCTCAGCCATGCTCCTGCAGTCAAACTCAAGCGGCAGCAGCAGCCAATTGCTGGCGCGAACCGCGAGCTCAGTACGGAACCTTCGGATCAAATTTTTATTGCCTTCTTTTTTTTACTATTTAAATAATTTTGCACTTTGCTTGTGGTGTTAGTTTTTATATTGCACCAACTTTTCCTTTGGGGATATTTTTATGCTCCAAATTAAGAGCTCTGAAGTTGAATTTTATAGCTATAATCAAATCTATATTTTCATTTTATTATGAAAGACTCAACATATTCTTTGTAAATAAGAAAAAAATTGTCAATGAATTATTTCTTTTGAACTCGTAATTCTTTCACTTTGCAGAACATAGATTAATTGCTTCTGTAAAAATTCTATGTTAAAATTGTGTTGGTGCAAGGTTGTTTTAAAGATCCATAATTTTTTTTATTATTTAGAGAGTAAAAATTTTTAACATTAATTTTTTTCTTTTAGTATCTTAATGTAATCTCAACTGCCGCGACTAATTTTATTTATCTACTATATTATTTATCTTGGTGTCTATTTATGGGTTGGCTTTGCTGAAATTTAACAAGCCTTCCGAAAAAGGTCCTGCCTGCAATTTCCTGCTCTGCCTGTTAAGCATGCATATCTTTGTTCTCCCACTTCCTTTAGGATTAATTAAATAACGAGTTGTTAGGAACCGAGTCAAACCTGTACCAAGATGCCATTTTGGCAATCTGCAGCAAAAATATAAGCTTTGACCCACCATGCAATTTAAATTAGATTAGATTGGGCCAGGTTAGGCTTTTTAATCACCCTTATTGAACCTTACTTTTTTCATTAGTACATCGTACAATATTTAAATCAATGTTCGCGCATCACAACAATTGGAGAAATTGTCGGGTACAATTAATCAGAGCTCAAATAACAATCACAAATATGTTAGATTGTTGTGATGCAGGAACCTTGTTTTGAATCAATCATAATTGTTGCAGAAAGTTGGCCTCTTCTCCAATTCAATATTTTTTCAAATTTCATCACTGCATTCTCTGGTAGAAAATTATTATGTTTCAATGGTGGCTGCCTAGGTGTCATTAGCTGTCATCAGCCTTTGACCTTTGCTTTATTTATGAAATGACTAAAGTTGAATCACCCGTTGTAGAGCAACGTCCCAATTCTCAACTGCGCCCTTGCTCATTTCTGTCTCTGTGTTTTTGTAGGTTGGACGTCTGCAGGCGTTGCTCGAGTCCCGAGGTCTGCCACCGCACCTGTTCGGTGCACTCGGCCCCAGGATGCAGCACCTGCTGCACAGAAGCATGGGCGGCAGTGGGGCCTCAAGTGGCTCCTCCTCCAAGGTGCAACAGCTGCTCACTGGACTTGCTAGCCTTGACGAAACCGTCCAGCTCTCAGCCGTCATTGAGATGTGTCAAATGCTGGTCATGGGCAACGAGGACACTCTTGCTGGCTTCCCTATCAAACAGGTTGTGCCTGCACTCATCAATCTGCTCTCCATGGAACACAATTTCGACATGGCAAGTTTATTTATTTATTTGTTTTTTTGTAGAAATCTCCCGGGATAGCATTTCTACATATTTATCCTAGGAGGACATATGAAGAATATCTTTCATTAATTATCCTGTAAATACCTGTCAAAATAGCATTTATTCATGTCTTTATCCGCTTCATCATAGCACAATGAAATTAATGAATTTATTAAATTTCAGATGAACCATGCTTGCCGTGCTCTGACCTACATGATGGAGGCGTTGCCCCGATCTTCGGTGGTGGTGGTGGATGCTGTGCCTTGCTTCCTTGAAAAGCTGCAGGTGATTCAGTGCATGGACGTTGCTGAGCAGAGCCTGACTGCCCTCGAGATGCTGTCCCGGCGCCACGGCAAGGCTATCTTGCAGGCTCGGGGAGTCTCTTCTTGCCTCACCTACCTCGACTTCTTCAGCATCAATGCCCAGCGTGCTGCCCTTGCCACCACAGCCAACTGCTGCATGAACCTTCACCCAGACGAGTTCCACCTTGTCTCGGACAGCCTCCCTGTACTTGCCTCTCGTCTGACTCAACAGGTATAAATAAGTTTGTTTACTTTTATTTATCAGAAACATCTTTGCATATTATGCTGTTTATCAAAATTTAAAATTGATCCTCAAATTAAAATGAATCAATCCAATTTCAGGACAAAAGAAGCATTGAAAGTGTGTGCCTAGCATTCAGCCGCCTAGTGGACAGTTTCCAGCTGGATGCTAACCGACTGCAGACTATTGCGAGTCCAGAACTGTTGGCCAATCTGCAGCGCATATTGGTGGTGTCACCCCAGATAATCTCAACAGGCACCTTCATCACGGTGCTACGAATGCTGTCAGTGATGTGTGCTAACTGTCCATCACTGGCCCGTGAGCTACTGCGCCACAACGTGGCTGATACATTACTCTTCCTGTTGACTGGCAATGCGACCACTGTGTCAAACAATGAAGACGTTGACTTGGTCTCCCGCAGCCCTCAAGAGCTCTACGAGATAACTTGTCTGATTGGCGAGCTAATGCCACGCCTTCCAACAGATGGTTTGTTTGCTGTGGACGCCCTGATTGAGCGTCCGGTGCCCGTGGCTCAGGACGCTGTAACCTGGCAGTGGCGCGATGACCGAGAGCTGTGGCACTCGTACAGCTCTATGGATTCTAGAATCATTGAGGCATCTCATCAGGCTGGCGAGGACGAGATTAGTCTCCCCACCCTTGGACGCACCTACACTATTGACTTTCACTCCATGCAGCAGATCAATGAAGATACTGGCACCACAAGACCTGTCCTCCGCAGGGTTCTGCCAATTGGTGGCCTCACCTTGTCCGGATCATCAGGGTCTGCTGAAGAAAAGATGGACGCAGAGTCGGAGGAAGATAAAGAGTTAGCAGCTGGCTTTGTCAGATCGCTGTTTTCCGTGCTGTACGAGGTATACTCCTCGTCGGCTGGACCGGCGGTGCGCTGCAAGTGCCTGAAGGCCCTTCTCAGGATGGTGCACTTTGCATCCGCTGATTTGCTGAAGGAGGTGTTACGCAACCAAGTTGTCTCCAGCCATCTGGCCGGCATGCTGGCCTCACAAGACCTCAGAATAGTGGTTGGCGCTCTGCAGATGGCCTACACACTGATGGAAAAACTGCCAGCTGAGTTTGGAATCCATTTCCGTCGAGAGGGTGTTATGCACCAGATAAAACACCTGTCAGACACTCCACTGCCACAAACTCCAGGAGCCCCTTCTTCGTCGACTACCAACAGCCCTGCTGGCGACAAACTTAGGATCAATCCTCCTCCTGCTGAGCTGCAGAGCGCTGCTGCTAGAAACCTGCAGGAGCCTCTTGAATCTGATGCCCAGTCCTCCAGTCACATGTGAGTTTTAAAATATTTAATTTACATTAAAATCTGATGGGTGTTCTTGTAGTAGAGTTATAGGAGATGCGCTCAAAAGGAAGAGGAATGGTGGAAAGCGCTGTGCCAGCACTACGTCAAGTAGGAAGACTAGACCTGATGAAGTGGCTTCCTCAAGTGCCAGTATGCCTTCTGCATCCTTCCAACCAAACTTGCCCTCAGGATATTTCAAAGGTATCAAACCTGTAATCTCTTTTTTTACACAATGTTATTTTATCATCAACGGCGGCAGTGATTTTTAAAAATTATTTACAAGAAGTTATTTTATAATTTAGTATTAATAGTATAATAAATTTAAATTAATTTTTCAGTGAAACCTTTTGCTGGAAACTCACCTAGCAGTTCCAGTAGCAACAGAACAGGCACCCCAAGCAGTGTGGCTTCCAGTAGCAGCAACAGCAGCCCAGATCCGTTTGCTCTGCTGGGAGCTACAGCTTCTGCTTCTGGGGGAGCCAGCAGTGGTGGAACTCCAAATCGCTCCCGATTCTCTGGAGCGAAGGCTACTTTCTTTGCTAGTCTCAACCCTGCCAAGTGGGGCCGTTCATCAGCCACCTCCTCTTCTTCAGCCACAGCTTCGAGCGCTGTGTCCGCCTCGGCCTTTGGTGTCACTCACAATGGCCATGCGTCTGAGCACCGTCTCAAGGAACTGTCCCATCTGAACAAATCTTGCAGTGTGGGTGGAATTGCTGCCGGCAACAAGGAAAAGGCGCGCGCCTGGGTCCGAGACCAGGCCCAGAAGTTCGTCACACTCTACTTTGACAACGATGAATCAAATGGTGCCCACCCTGCCCTCAATGTCCTCTCCAGACTTACTCAAGCTATTGATCGTCTCCAGTCACAGGTAAGAATACCTTGTTATGAAGTTGCTGGATTTTTTTTTTAAATTGAAGCATAGCTCAATCATTGTTAATATTAGGCTTGGAAAAAAAGGACGATCAACTTTTTCTTTGCTTTTTTTTCAAAGCATCATTGGTTTTGGAAAATAGTTAGTAATAAAATATCCCTGTTATCTAGCCTTGGCAGGGCGACGTGGCATTGGCGGATCTGAAGGATATCGTGCTAACATCAGACATTTCGCCGTTTGAGGTCAATCACAGTGGGCTGATTGGCGCGCTGCTGCACTATCTGACGTTTGATCCAAACCAGGAGGCGTCGGCTGCGCCCCTGCAGTCATCAGGCTCACAGAACAACAACAACAACATCGAGTTGGAGACCAGTGAGGACTCGCTCGATCAAAAGCCACACCCACCCAGAGATCTCAAACTCCGAGTGTTCCTGAACGTCTTTGCCAACTGTCCTGTGAGTAAAAATCGTTTTGCTTGTCGCAATCATAATGGTAAAATCTTACAGTTGAATTGAATTTTGTTTGTCATTGCAGAAAGACGCCGAGTTGCTTGACATAGCCACAAGCACGGGTTCTATTGCTGCCTTCTCCGCGCTGGTCGCCAAACTGGGTGGCTGCATTGCCCAGCTTGAGCAGTTCCCTGTCAAGGTGCACGACCTGCCAACTGGAACTAGTGGTGGCAGGACTGGAGGAACAAGTGCTCTGAAGTTCTTCAACACGCACCAACTCAAGGTTGGTTGGAAATAATTTTTTCCTTAGATGGAGCTTCTAGCAAGTAATGCTACGACAAATGCTAATATTTCTATTTTTTGTATTAGTGCAATTTGCAACGCCACCCCTCATGCAACACCCTGAAGCAGTGGAAGGGCGGCACTGTGAAAATAGACCCTTTGGCCTTGGTGCAAGCAATTGAGAGGTACCTGGTTGTGAGAGGCTACGGCCGTCTTCGGGACAAGGATACAGTGGACTCCGATGATGAGACCGAGGAAGACATCGACGACACTCTAGCAGCAGTTGTCATCAGCCAGAACAACGCACGCCATAAGCTTCAGTTCCTGATTGGCGACAACCCTTTGCCATACAACATGACCGTCTACCAGGCTGTCAGACAGTTCAGTGTCAACGCAGGCGCCTTTGGAAATGACCAGTCTGAGACAGACACAGACTCCGAGGTGCCTCTTGGAAATACAGGGCTCTGGGTGCAGACCCACACCATCTACTACCGCCCCGCCCCTGAGGACGGACCGGCTGTGCCTTCCTCCAGTCGCTCAGGCACACAACCCCTTGCCAGCACTTCATCAGGCGCCCCCTCTTCATCAGGACACCACAGAAAGGGCAAGAGCTCTTCGAAAAGCAGCTCAAGGTATGATCATTTTTCATTTATTAAACGTGATTTAAAGCCTACAAAATTGGTTCGATGATCATGTCATCCTGTGGCTTTTATCTATTTAAAAATTTATCTCCCTCTCTTATCAAATCATTTTTGAAACTAATTTTCTTCATTATTTACCTATTTCATTTTTTTGATTCAACAGACGCAGCAAAGAGTCTAGTGTCAGAATGCCTGCGTGCCCATTGAGCCAATTCCTACTGCCTCGGCTTCCTGAAAATGTGACCATCAACGACGCCTCTCTGGATGTGCTGTGTCTTCTGCGTGTGCTACACGCCCTCAGCCGCTACTGGGGCTCCCTCTATCAGCTGCCTTTCTGCAAGCCACTGCTTACCCAGCAAGAATTCGTCAGCAACAAGATCTCAGCCAAAGCATCTCGCCAGCTTCAGGATCCATTGGTCATCATGACTGGAAACCTGCCTGCCTGGCTTCAACAGGTACATTTTCGTTTAAATATATAAATGCAATTTTTATTTACAAGAAACCTAAAAATTCTAACTTTTGATTTTAAAATCAGGTTGCTTCTGCCTGTCCGTTCCTGTTCCCATTTGAGGTTCGCCAACTGCTTTTCTATGCCACCTCTTTTGATCGTGATCGCGCTCTTCAACGACTCCTCGAAGCTTCTCCTGAACTGAACTCTGCAGAGGCTCATGAAAGGGTCACCCCAAGACTGGACAGACGTAAGAGGACCGTCTCTAGATCTGACATTCTTCGTCAGGCAGAGCAGGTTGTGCAAGACTTGGCTACTTCTAGGGCTCTCCTCGAAGTTCAGTATGAGAATGAGGTACGTGAAAATCCAGTTTATCAATAATATTTGCTTCACTTTATGTATTTTTTCAAACTTCTAAACAATTTTATTTTACAGGTTGGCACTGGTTTGGGCCCAACCCTTGAGTTCTACGCTTTAGTGTCGCGCGAATTGCAGCGGGCTGACCTGGAGCTGTGGCTTGGTGAGGCTGTGCCTGGCGGAGTGGACGGCCAGACTCAATACGTTCACTCTGTGACTGGTCTGTTCCCAATGCCGTTGGGCAAAAACGCCAAGGTGGTGCAGTTGGCGCGCGTCAAGGCCAAGTTCCGCTTCCTCGGTCGGCTGATGGCCAAGGCGGTGATGGATTCGCGCATGTTGGACATGCCTTTCAGCCAGACGCTGTACCGTGTGCTGCTTGGTGAGCAGAACATGCTTAGTCTGCCCGATTTGGTGCACGTCAGCCCTTCGGTGCACGCCACCCTGGCGCGTCTGCAGCCGCTGGCTCGGCAGCACATCAACATTGAGCGTGACCAAGCCCTTGGTGTCGTCCAGAAGAAAGAGGCCCAAGATAAACTGGCGCTCGACGGCTGTCCCGTCGCTGACCTCGGTCTCGACTTCACCCTCCCTGGTTACCCCAACGTTGAGCTCAAGAAGGGTGGAAAAGACCTTGCCGTCACCATCCACAACCTAGACCTTTACATCAAGGTAATTATTTTTATTGATTGAAAGAATTTCAAGTTTGTAAATAATTTTGGATAGTTATAAATAACGTTATTTGTGTTTGTCATTTCAGCTGGTTTGCCATTGGTTCCTGGTTGAGGGCATTGCCAAACAGGTGGAGGCGCTGCGCGACGGCTTCGAGGCAGTCTTCCCGCTGGAACATCTGCGCTTATTCTACCCTGAAGAGTTGGAGGCTGTTTTCTGCGGCTCCCCGATGGGTCCCACTGGTGCCATTGCTTGGGACATCAAGACCCTGATGGAGTGCTGCAGACCAGACCACGGCTACACACCCGACTCTCGGGCCATCAGGTTCCTCTTTGAGGTTCTCTCGAGCTACAACCAGGAGGAGCAGCGCAAGTTCCTGCAATTCGTAACTGGATCTCCCCGCCTTCCCGTTGGAGGTATTTCATTTTAACCACCATCTCAATCTTCGTATCTCAAACTAATTTCAATTTTCAGGTTTCAAAAGTCTGAATCCGCCACTGACTGTCGTGCGCAAAACTCTGGAGCCCAACATGGACCCTGATGATTTCCTGCCTTCCGTCATGACCTGCGTCAACTACCTGAAGTTGCCTGATTATTCGTCCATCGAAGTGATGAGGGCCAAGCTCCAAGTAGCTGCCCAAGAGGGACAGCACTCTTTCCACCTTTCTTAGACTGGGTACGACAATTTTGCTAAACAAACGATTTTGGTTTTAATTTTTCTTTTCGACTATTCCAGACGGAAGATTAAAAAGACTTTCCATTTGTACTCCGAGGTCAACTCTAGCTTCCTATCACCTCCTAGTCTAGATCCTCTCACCGTGGATTAAACAAGGTCATCCACTTTTCCTTTTCCGACTTCGCCCAGCTCCATTATCTCCCCTCATCACCAAGCCAAGCACCCCTTCTGTCTTTCCGTTGGTTTCCGTCTGGTTTAATTATTTCCTCTGAAGACAAGAGTAGCCTGACGGACAGTGTGATACAATTAGTTAAGTGTGGTTGCTGTTGAAAAATGAACCGTGAAACAAAAAAAGCCACAGAACTGGAGTAATATTTCATTTTCACAAAATGCTTTCTGTCTCTGTGTTTTGCAAAGGAAACCTCTGATTCTGAGTTCGGCCAACCCATCAAAGAAGGGTTGGTGTAGATTTAAAATTTCTCATCAGTCTTATCATAAATAAAATGACATGTAATTAATGAGTGTGTTTTTGATTGTGACGCTTCGCTAAAATAAAGATTCAATTCAAAAGCGATGTGTGTGTGCAAACGGCAATTTGAAAAGTATAAGTGTCGATCTAGCAGTAAGAAGAGATTCTGAGAGGCGGCTCAAGGCGCCCTGCAGGGGTCGAGCCAATGCAGAATAGGGGCTGCTTGCACAACTGTCGGCAAATAAGAACTCCTTGTCCCTGAATTTGGCCGCTGACGCTGAGCGCCTCGTATGTAAAAAAAAAATATGTGAAGAATCATCATCTGCTTTTCTAAATTGTGATATAATCCGTGTACCAATAATGATGATTTGTTTCTCAAATAAAATTTAACTTCAATAAGCCAATAAATTAAAATGAGCTTCATTTCTTTGTGCCGTGCCATTTAAGTAAAGGAAGATTTAAGTCCAATTAAAAGAGATTGGGAATGATATTGAATTGGAGAAAATAATTAATTGGCATTTGTGCTACTGAAGTATATTTGGGTTTTTTCTGTCAAAATTGTACATTATCTTTGTTCCTGGTTGGAATTTGAACGTCAGCTCTTTTCAGACTTTCTTTTCACGGAATTTAAAAAAATTATTAATACCAACAATAGTGATAAAATTTGTATTAAAAAAATTAAGATAAAATAAAAAAATTCTAATTAATTAAAATTTATAAAAAAATTATATCTTTGCTTCTTCTAGGCATTATATATTTTCCATTCATAACAAGATTACATTTTACATCAACTTCAATTGAATTTTTGTTTCAACGTTTCAACATTACAAATATATTTTCATTTCCATAAATACGTTAATCAGCAACTTGAACATTATAACAGTAAATTGAGATCATTGGTTCCACCAAAAAAATTACAACATTATTACCACAAGTACAATATTATTCACTTCATCTTGTCAAAAGTTTCTCCGTTATTGATTTATTTGCTCTCTCCCTGCCTCAAAAAGGTTTTAGGGGTGCTTCATTCCCCCGCTTCTGGCACGTTACTTGTACTTTCCATTGGCTTGGTCAAATCACCGCCGCAATCTATGGTGTACTTGGACAGGGATGCTCCAAATTGGGTTAATATGACCAAGTATGTGGTCACAACCCCGATAAACTGCAATCAATCAAAATCAGGCGTTGCATCAAATAAACTAAATTTGGCATACCGAGTATAAGAGTGAAAAGTCAAGCGGCATCACTCCAGCAGCAGTGAATTGCACTTTTCTGTGAGATAACTGCAGTGCAAACGTCTTCAACTGTAAATTTTCATTTAAAAATATAATAATAAGTATAATTTCTATAATAGCCTCACCTCGTCCGAATCTTTGGTGTCTAAAGAATGATTTAGCAATCTGTAGATTTCTGACAGCACAAGTTCGTTCTGGAAAACAGTAATAAAAATAATCAATTAAATAGTTGACGCGTAAATTGAAAGAAAAAAAAAACTAAATATTTTAAATATCAACAAACAAATTTCACAATAAATTTTCTTAGAAAACGCTGTCGCGCAAACTGATAAAATAAATAAATTGTGAATCTTAATTATAACCTTCCAAGATGTAAATTGAAAGTTGAACTCCATTCATAAGAAAAACATTAAATTAAAAAAAGGAAAAATATAAACTTTTGCCTTTTTGACTGTGCGTGTACAATAGAAGACGACTGCGTAAACGGTGCCGATGTGAATGGGGCAGAGCACCAGCGCCGAAATCGCCCTTTCCATCTCGGTGGCGTCCTGCAAGACGTCGTCACTGTCGTGGGCGCGCATCGACTTGATGGCCGTGAAGGTCCAGATGATGACGATTTTGAGCCGCAACAGCAGAGCCAAAAGCTGCGCTGTGATGTCGACCAAGAGACGGACGCCGAAGAGCGCGTTGATTCGGTTCGCCAGGTCGCACAGCTCGGCGTGCGAGCGCCGCAAACTCCGCACCGACTCTGCGTAGGTGATAATCCACACATTCTCAAAAATCATGTGCGACCGTTGCTTTGGCAAGCCCCATCTAAAGCAAGCAGTTTAAACATTTACTGGATTTTACGTGGTTTTGCTGAAACTATGCGAGAAAAACTTGGCTTTAAAGAATACAATTTTTTTTTTTAATTTTGACTCTTAATTTTGATATTAATTTTAAAACACAAAAATTTTACTTTTTTGTCATTTTTGTGTCAGAAAAAAATGAAGAACTTAATTAAAACCCGGAAAATTAGGGCAAACAGAGCAACAAAACTGGCCTGAATCCTGAATCGCAATTTCGCCCAACTCCAGATTTCATCAGCACATCACGATCGCGATCCACGCCAGTTGTTTTGCTCTGTTTGCCCTAATTTTCCGGTTATTAATGAAGTTTTTCAATTAATCTGACACTAAAAGGTACAATTTTTGTGTCGTTTAATTTACAATTAATTTCTTGATGAAAAGTAAAAATGCATTGCATTCTTTAAAGCGCCAAGTTTTTCTCGCACAGTTTCAGTAAAATCATGTATAAAAATCTCTTAAAAATTAAACCCTGAAACTTCTTTACACTTTACAACACTAATTAGGAAAAAAAAGCACACTAACAACAATTTGCAGAATTTCTGGATTTTTTTTTTTAAATTACTTTTAAGGAACTAAATTAATATTTTGCAAATTCTTTCTTTAATAAATGATATATACAAATTTTAATATATTTTTACAATTCATCTCAAATTATACGCACTTGTCAACGATAACCTTTCCGCACTGAGTGAGCGAATTGTTGGGCGCGTGTTTGCGAAGCCTGTTGAGCCGAGCGCGGATCGCGTTGAAGCTCATCTCCAGCATCGAGCAAAAGGTGAACAGCTGCAGCTCCATGAAAAAGTTGAAAATGAATTTGAGGTGGAATGGAATGTTCATCAGGTTGGACAGCAGCTCGGTGTTGGAGCGCGAAAACACGGGCGTCAACGTAGCAAACAACCGGATCAGCGCGAAAATTACAGCGAACCGGAAAGCGTCGTTGCTATGCAGACTCGTGGGGGTGCCGCAAACCCTGCGGTTCACCACTTTCAGCTGGTGGTAAATCTTCTCGAATCTGAAACGGCAGAGCAATTTTTATATCAAATTGAGTGCAGGAAAACAGAGAGCAATAAAAGCTGCGGAGAGTGGAGATTCAATTAGCGCCGGGGTTGCGTACAAATGTTCGGAATATTTCAACCCTCGCGTCCCTTTGATGTTTAGAATTATTTGCTCTCTCAATTTAATTTGATTTACAATTTCCTGATTTTCTCTCCATTCACTTTCGGTGCATATGTCCCTGTGCTGCTTCACTTAGCGACTGTAGCAGGAGCGAGAAATAAGTAATCCTCTTTCGGCAAAATTCATACGACCAGAAAACACAAAGTACACAAAAGCGGTGATGCCCGCACGGTGCGTCCAGCACGTTGAATTTAATTTCTGCAATTTTCTAGTAAAATATAAGATATTGCACGTGAAACGTATAAATTTAATGGTATTTGAATTTAAAATATTTCTAAATTAATTAGTTTAGTTAAAAATTAAGCACAGAACTTTTTAAAAACATTTTGCTAAAAAAAAAATTTGATCTGAGATTTTCCTTCCAATTCTATGATTAATAACAAAATTATGCTGAAAATTTGATTCACTGAAATTTTTTTGCCGGATTTTGACTTCAGAGTCAGTGTTTTCAGTGTTTTATTATTTAATTTTTGTGTATTGATTTTAAAGATGAAAGATGTTGAGTTTTCGTTGTATTATTTGAGCGGAAATTAAATAAATATAAATAAATAGGTGCATCAAAAATAATTTGGATTTACGGAATATTAAATAATTGTAATGCCTTTTTCATTGCGATTTCTTTAATCAATGGGAAATTTTTGTCAATTTCCGAAAACAAAAAGTTTATATTATATTTATTGAGTCAAAGGAACTTTTATAAAAAGGGCACCACAAGGGGCATAATTGCAGCTTCTTTTCCCCAAATTGAATGGGAATGTGATAGAGTCCCTGACAAGTATGTTTTTGCTGCAACTTGCACTTACCTATGGGCCTTCTAGAATGTCTATCAAAAGTTAATGCTCAATTTTTCAAGGGAGGGTAGTTTCCATTTAAATAAATGTAAAAAATTGTGTAAAGTAGGCAACAAAAGCGTCCGCTGTGTATATATTTTGCCTACTTTCAATTTCTCCAAAAACGACAAAAATTAAACAAGGAAAATTTGGCTAAAATTAATTGTGTGCACCGATTTTCATTGAAATCGGGGCGAGTGTGTACCTGTCTGCGTGTTTGTAGGTGAGAATGTGCATGATGATGTAGCTGATGACCCGGGCGATGCGGGCGATCAGGTCGAACATGTACGCGATGGAGAGCGAAACGTCCGTGTTGGGGTTGAGAAGCGGCTCGAGACCTGATTTGTACAGCAGGTGCAGACAGGACGAGGTGATGACACAGAAGATGGACAGCGAGTACAGCCTGGAGCGCAGGGTCGGTCGCGAGGTGATGCCGAGGACGCAGGAGAGCCGCTTGACGAACACTTGCTCCATGGCTCGGCACTTGTTGCTCTCTGCCGAGAGACCCGCCGAGGGACGAGCTGATTTTTGGAGCCGCCACCGTCGCCTCCACAAAGGCCCTGCGTCGAGTTAATGGAGAGGGCTCTTTGTGTTCTATTAACTTGTCGCAACTACCGAACCGTTAAATGGGGGTGTAATTAATCCCCAAGCAAGTTCTGACAGGTTTCTGCATCATTCGATTTTTGTGTAGATCGTGTTACTACTGCGCCAAAATCTTTGCTCCTTTATTAAGAAACTTTTTACTTCAAAGCGCGCTTCAAACATCAAAGGATTACTTCGGAAAAAGAGGAGTTAATTAATTAATTACTAAGCGCGAACAAATAAACAAAGCGAAATGCCATGGTCATCACCACTTTCAACCTGTATGGCTTCCAGTTTGCAATTTGCTTTTCCAACTTGAAATACACTCTCAAGTCACGCTGCAAAAAAATTACCTTCCAAATCCATCTCAATAGAGTTGATACACCGCTTGTCCTTTCCCAGGAGGTTCACAAAGGAATTAAGCAAGCTTTCTTTCACGCCGCCTTTCACTGCCAAATCATTTGTCCTTGTTGTCGCCAAAATTGAACCAAATGAAGGAATCAAATTTCATTCGATTACAGAGGTTAATTGGACACAATATCACACTGCCAGTTTATTCAAACCAGAAGCAACAAATTTATTTTTGTTCATTTTGTGACTTGGTATTTATTTTGCTGCGAATTAATAGAATTATTTTTTTTCTTTTTTTTTTAAAATTTTCTTTCCTAATTAAAGAAATCCTGATATTTTCTATATAAATATTATGAAAAATTTAATTTTCATTTGGAAAAGTGACAATAGTTCTCTGGTATCAGAGGAGTTTAGTTTAGAATTTGAGTTCAGAGAACCTCAAACAGATTTAATGGCGTTCCATTTCACGCACAGATTAATCAGCGCTGATCTTTATTTGAACGGATCATTCAAAATTCCAAAGCCTCCATTACGCAGTGAATTCAAAGCATGTGATCTCTATCAGCAAACACAACGACAATTCAAAGTGAATTCGCGACTCAGTAATTACATCAAATAAAATGTTTTTTTATTTTCTCTACTGCTCATAACTGAATTTTGCTTTTTATTTGAAGTTAATTTAAATTACAGCAACTGCATAGTTTAAGGCTTCTGCAATTATTTCAGTCTAATTTAATTTTATAAATTTCCTTGCTCAGCTCTTGAGTTCAGATGAATTTTCTCCTCTTTTTCTATTCTTCGTCAATTTAACGGAAATTAATTGAATTAAGTTGAAAGTGTTTGTTTTCATTGTAATTGAAAGGTCTGGACTTGAAAAACAAATATGCTTTTTAAGAAAACACGGAAATTGATTTACGACCCGTGCTTTTGACATTGAGAGAGAGAGAAGCTGCTGGAGCTGGATAGCAGCCAAAAGCTCCTGACCGCATCAACATTGGCTGCTGCCAATGTAGCAGGGAAACGAGCTAGCAAGCTCTCGATAGCAATCAGGCGAAGCCTGAAAGAGTCTGAAACAGTCAACTGTTTAAACCAAAACAGTAATCACTTTAAAAAAATACTAACCGTCGTATGCGTCGTACTCCTCTTTCATGTGATCGAGCAGGATCACCAACATACGCGGCCCCATGTTGGGCAGCGTTCGAATTGAGGACATGATGTCATTGGAGAGGGCGTCCATTTCATCTCCGTCATGGGGCTCTGGTCGATGAATGCAGAGCATGGTGGCTGCCATCAGTTGGTCAAGGACTGCTGTCTTCAGGGCAGCTTTTGACGCACCATCTGAAACATCACATAATTGTTTTGCTTTAAAAATTGCCAGATATTAATTAAACATCTTCGTAAGTTAGATTTTCCACTGAATTAAATTTTACAACAGTGCACATTATATTTTTGTCACAAATTACATACTTAGCAAAGAAAGAAAAAAAGAAATTATAGATATTTCCCCAGCAATTTTAGCACATTTAATATTGAAATTTACTTACGGCCTCCTCGAAATCTCACTGGGTGCCCATTCCAGCGGCCCATGAGAGCAACCACAGCCTCTGTCAGAAGGCCGGACATGCCCTGTCGGTTGCCATCTCGGTGGAAAATCACCACACAGTTAAGACGGCGACCCATAACGCGACCATTTTTAATATGAAAATCACCCATATTGCAGAAGAAAATTTTTGGGTTTCACTCAGAAGCTCTGGAAAAAGAACAATCAATAATATAAAAAAAATCTAGGATATTACAAATAAATTGATTGAATTTTTTTTTAATTTTGATGATCAAGTGAGAAAACATCATTCTTAAAACAAGAATCAAAATTTCATTGAACTGAAATTAAGGTTTTCTAATTGACAGTCAAATCAAGTATTTTTACAACAATAGGAGCCATTTTTGGCAATTATTGAAAATTTAACAAACCATATTGTTGTAAAGACTTGATTTGACAATGTCAATAAGGAGTCCTTAATTATTGCAATACATATCAAATTAATAATTAAGATGTGCAAAATCTGGAATTTTGATGTTTCAAAATTTATCAAAAAATGATCCCTCTGAATTTTAAAAGTTTGCAGCATAAATGAATTCAATTCGGCAGCAAATAATAGACCATTTTTTTTTTTTAATTTGATGTGAAGAAAGAGACGACACAATGCGAAATTTCGGGTGGCTTTTAAAGTCATCAAAAGAAAGGACAAATTGTATTATAAAACCCTAAAAATTGGCCGCCGGAATCGTTGGGTCTGAAGGCCCTCCTGGGGGCCCGACTGCAAGTCCTACACAAGCGCGAACGTACTTTTCAGAGCACATGGCCCATGCACTTTTCCCGCGGGCCCCGATTCGCGATCGTTTGAACGGCTCATGGGGGCCGCGGCCCGCCGGGCTCGCGCCCAGTGCGCCCGATTACCCATTCCGTGCCCCCGGCCGGCCAGGGCCTCGTGGTGGGCCGTCGAAAATGTCAATTTTGGCGCAAAAATGGCCTCGCGTTCGGGTGGTTCTTCAAACGGATTTTTTTGGAACACAACAACGGGGGCCCGGGCTCGTGTTTTGCAAAGCGAATGCTTTAATTATCATATAACAACACGTCTTTAATTATTTCCGAAGGGATTTTGGGCTTACCGAAACGGAAAGAGGCCGATGAATGACGATTACATTGTGTGCACAACAATTTGCTACAGAATGTCGTTATTGCCGTTGGTGACGCTGAGCTGACGTGGCGTGGCAGGAAGGGGCCGAAGGGGGAGTGGCACTTCCTCCCGTGGGGGCGCGAAACGCGGTATGCGCAGTATGCGCACTACAATTTTGAGCTATTTTTTTATAATTCAATTGGGTTTTTTAAATCAATTTATTTAGTCGGCTCCGCGGACATATTTGGCCAATCTGACACTCGTCGCTCCGCGTTTTGGGGCAAGTTGCCAGTTGGGGGAAGTGGCTGATCCGTATTTTTTTCCAATTTATTCAGGAAAAGCAAAAAACTGAATCGACGAACTGAATCTGTGAAATGTGTCTGATTTCAGAAACCCCTCTTTTTTAATGAGAGTTTCAGAAGATTATCGAGAATAATTTACTGTAATTAATTCTTCAATAAAACATTTTTGACGATTAAACACTGGGATGCAATTTATTCTAAAGTGAACTGAAAATCTTTTTAATTATTTTGCACAAAGAGAGAATAAATAATTTTAAAATACATTATGTTTTGAAATGTAACATTATAATCATCCAGATTTCTTGTCAACGGTTAAATAAAATTTCTATTCTTTGTCTTGAAAATGGTGCAGGAAAAAAATAAAATTTTAATTCAGAAAAGACTTCTGCAGTAACTTGGTGAAGGGCAGCGTTGCAGGTGATAATTTCCGATTGTTGTGGTCGATGGCCATGGTCTCAGCAGAGGCGGGCGATCCTGCATTCAGCAATGAAGCCTCAAATTTGATTTTTTTTTTCATTCAACCCATGCAATATCCATTAAAGAGAGCCTTGTTCATTAAGTAGAGTTGCAGAGCGCAAAATTCAGTTTAAGTCTTAATTAATGTAGACTGAAATATTTAATAGCGGCGAATTAAGTGCGCGTCTGCTAAAGCATTAGATTCGCGGCGCATTTTTATTAATCAGAGGGCGCAACTTTGGAACAAATTTCCATCATTCAAGATTTAATTAAGCGTACGCAGTCAATGATGAGCAAAGTTTCAACTGCAAAGCCACAACTCTTTAAATACAGCTTATGGTTGCACAGCAAAAAATCACTATCGCCCTTTTATTTCACGTACAAATTATAAGGAAACATAATTAAATAAATTATACTCAGATTCCAACCACAAATGGCCACAAAAGCAGAAATTATGCAGGGCAGTGGTCTGGCGCCTTTGCACTAGAGGGCCTCAAACAGAAACGAGATTCCGCCGGAGAAAAGGAGGAAATTTCGTAACGATTAAGTTTAAAATTTTGAGAAGAAGAAATTTAAAGAGAAAAAAAAGGGAAATCAAGAAAATAGCCAGTTGAATCAGAGGCCCCGCGCCTCAGCTGATCGGCGGCGAGCGCAAGTTCTCTCGGCGCTCGCTCAGCAGTCGAATTGATTATACGGAGCGGCTGCCGTGCGCGCCACTCAAATTTATTCTAAGTAAGGTGATTGGACTATTAAAAAATTAGAAAAGTAAAAAATTAAGAACAGCATGGTAGAAAATTAACGAAATAAAATTTCAGGTTCTTTTTTTGCTGCGTGAAAAATTCTCAAAGTATGGTACTACAATTTATAATGAAGTCTAACAATTTAATTAGAAATATTTACTTGCAGCAGATAAATAGAATTTGTCCTTAGCGAAAGCTACGTAGACCTGCGTTTTAAAAATATTTGACATGGTGTTGACCCTTTGAAAAAAATTTATTAATCTGTGTTATGGTTAAATTTTGTGTTTTCATAGGCATTGTTCACTATATAAAAAGATAAAATAGCGGCAAAAATTTATATTTAACAAATGAAAGTGTTCCTCAAGAATTTTTCATTCCTCGACTAACTAAACCATCTGGCTGTGACTTTGTTGCAATCGGGAAACTTCATGAAGATTAACAATAACTCTACTTTTTTCTATATATATTCAGCAATATTTAGAATGCAACAAAATATTAAATGCTAAAGAAAGCTAGATTTGTGGTCTTGTGAGCAGGGGTGCGTGTCTAATAGTAAACTGCACGGCGGTTGCCAAGCGACGGACGCTTCACGTCATTTCAGGTAAATCGAGTAACTCGCTTCCCACGCACAACATGGTCTTGCCGCGGAAAAGAGGCTCGGGTAATTATTATTGAACAATATATTTTCTTTTGTCACGGAATCAAAATCTAGTTTCGAGCCACGACATCGGCATAAATTTTTGCCCTTCCATGAAGAAAATCTCGGGCAGGCAGAATGCGCGGCGTCCACTACTGCCGAAAAAACCGGCAAAAAAGAAGAAACCAGCGCCGATCCAGGAGCAAAAAGGTGAAAACTATGGTCTTCCGCCAGGATTTTGTTACTTGAAGGTGCAGTTAATCAGTAGAAAAGAAATTTCATACTTATATTTACTTATTTTCGGTCTAGGACTTGTTAAATAGACCACTGCCTCCTCCTGTTAAGAAGAGGAGGCGGATTTGCAAACCACTCGTCCGGTCAGAGGCGCCGCTGAAATTTAGATCGGCGCCGCTGCCAGAGTGGCCCGAAGAGCAGCTCGCAAATCAGAGACTGCGTTTGCAAGACGCTCTGACGCTTTTGAGCCAGGACGAGATGGAGAGGCTGTCGCAATTATTGGAGAAAGAACCACAGCAGAAATTAGCAGAGGGCTTCAAAAGAAAATTGGAAAATTTGTTGCCAAGGAAGCTTGTTAAAGGCATGATTTTTTTCGCATATTTTCGTATGGTGATCATAATTGGAAATGAAGAGATCCGGCTTTTTCCTCGTTGCAGAAAATTGTTTTTTATTAAAAAAATGGCTCTTTATTTTTGAATAAAAAAAATTTCTGCAACTAGATAAAAGCCCGATCTCTTCATTTTCATGATCATCTCCTTGAGTGTCAACTTCTTCAAACAAAATGATAATTATTGTTTACATTAAAACTGGGTTTTAAGATGTCAATTCCAAAATTTATTCCATTTTAGGTTGGGATTACTGAATTTTGGAAAATTAACATGGATTTTTATGAAATTTTTTTGAATATTTTGAATATTTTTTTTTAAATATTTTTTTTTAAATTGCGTGATTTGATTACAATTGATTAAAGTCTCAACAAATCAGGGCCAAATCTCTCCCCTCTTGAGTTCGAAAAATGAAATAAAGAAAATATCAATAACAAAATTTACATTTTTGTTAAGGGAAATTTTACATGAATCTTTCTCAGTGACATGAGCTCCTCGTTAATCCCCAAAATTTAGGATCCGCAACTTTTTTTCGTTCAATTTCTCTCCTAAAATTGATCTAAAGTATAAATAACGAATTCAGGCCGCGAAAGCATGATTTCCGAATTGGCCAGTGCAGCCCGAGCCCAAATGGAAAAGGGCGCTCGGCTGTCGACGCTACGCTATCGGCTGCTGGACGCGGAGTGGCGCGCGCAGCACGACGTGCCTTGCTACCCGTGGCCCTGGCCCCTTCTGATGGTTCGAGCACCGACGCCGTGGCACTGCAGTTTTCTGCTCGGACGCCAATTTTGCCGGCACAACCTCTTCACCCCGCACACGGTGCTGCGGAAATTGCAGGCGCTCTATGAGCAGCGCTTCGAACAGGCCCTTTTCGTTGCGCAGGAGCAGGTGCGTCAGGAAGCGCCGCTGACGCCCCAGCAGCTGCAGGCGCGCGTCCAGCAACTCTGTGCCAACGCCAAACTGCTTCTGCTCAAAGAGTGAGTCGAATTCACATTCATTTTGGTCGCGAATTAAGGTGATTTTTTTTATTTGGGGTTTTGGCCAAAACTGAAAAAATGCTCAAAATGCTGCAATGGATTTGAACTTATTTAAATTGTAAGAATTGCGCAGAACTATTTTGTGTTAATGTTTCAAGTTTAAAAAAAAAAAAATTAAAAAAATAGTAAAAATCTACGTTTTTCTTCCTTCTAATACTCATAGCTTTTGGTTTTACAAAGTGAATTATTTATTTCTAGTTAGCTTTTGATTCGGAAAATGTCGAAGTATCCAAAAAACTCTACTGGAATTTAATCACCCTCAGAGAAAAAGCATTTTTGAATGGCTCGTTAATATCTCAACAAACTTTGATTTCTCAAAGGGTGATAAAATTCCGGTAAAGATAAAATTTTGTTCATGCTTTCACATCATGCAAATCAAAATATTAGTTCACTCGGAAAAATCGCAACTATCAAAAGTTAAGAAATTAAGAAGGTAAAAAAACGTAGATTACTTTGGCACCCTGAAAAGAAGCGATGGGGCCAAAAGAATATATTTTCATATTTTAAACATTCATACAAAATATTGCAACTCTTAATTATCTGAATCATTAAGAATCTATTACAGCAATTATTTCCAGTTTTGGCAAAAACCCGAAAAAAATTAAACGATTTCCTCAGGTGGCTGCCGGCGTGCGCGGACGTTTTGAACGATCAGCGTGACGAGTGGAGACACTTGGCTCCTTTGAGGCGCGGAGAGACGCTGCGCCACGTCAAGCGCTTTTTTGGCTGCGTCGCCGCTCTCATGTCGCGCCAGTTGCGGTCGCTCACCTTGCGCTCTGTGAGACACCTAACAGAACTTTTTCTTTTTTACAACGTAAGACTAAACGCTAATTAATGGTTGAAACACTTATCAAACGCAATTCCCTCAAAATATTTTTAAATCTATTCAAATTCGTAAATAATGGCAAATCGTCAAAAGCGCTTAAGCGAAAATAAATTAGAGATGATGAGGACTAAAATGAATTAAATAAGAGCGGAAGCACTAAAATGAAAATAAATTAGACTACGAGGACTAAAATGTTTGAAATGTAGGTTTTTTTCCATTGTTAAATTCGTCTGCGGCGCAGTACACAAGCAGGTCCGGACCTAGTTTTGTGCTGCGCCGCAGACGTATTATCTTTTCTGAGGCGAACTCAATTAAAAAAATTCCTATTTAAGTCTTTGGTTTTTAATCATGCTTGTGTTTGACTAAAACATAAATAAATTAGACGACGAGAACAAAAATGAATTAAAGACAAGCAGAACTATAAAATTTTAAATTAGACGAGCAGGACTAAAAAGAATTAAATAGGGGGAGAAGTACTAAAAAAATATTAATTGGACGAAAAGGACAAAAGTGAATTAAATTAGTGGAGCAGCACAAAATAAAAAAAGAATTTGACGAATAGACTTAAAAAAAATTAAAAGGGACCAGCAGGACTAAAATGAAAATAAATTAGATGACGAGGACTAAAATTAATTAAATTAGACGAGCAGTACTATAAAATTATAAATTAGACAAAGAGGACTAATATGAATTAAATTAGACGAGCAGGACTTAAATAATTTTTATAATACAATGAGTGCCAAATTTTTGCCGCAGAGGTGATCGGCGCGGTTTATTTCAATTGCCTCAGGAAAAATGATGATGTGAAAAATGAATTCATTTTTATTAATGTGACTTTCTAAACAATAATAAAAATAAACTTCTCATCCTTAATGGACGTCAACGCGTTATGTTACGGGAAAAGGCGCGGAGTTGTTCATTTTTATTAATGTTTCGAGATCGAGTCGCATTAATAAAAATGTATATCCATTTTTCACTTGATAATTTTTAGATTTTTAATTATATTTTGCAAAGCTGACTCAATTTTTTGTTTTATTAACAAATAACTTTGTTTTAAAAGAATGGCAATGACTTCACGCCTCCCTTTGATGACCTCGGCATGCTGAAACCGTGCCTGCTGATGCTTCATCTGAGCACCGCCGAAGGCCTTGTGAAGACGCAACCGTCTCGAGAGCAAGTCGTCGAGGTCGCCCAGTCCTGTCTGCTTTCCGTTCTGGACACTGCGAGGCAACTTCCGCGTCTGGAGCAAATCCTGCTCGGCGACGAGGACGCCGGTTTCCTGAGCGCAGTCGACGCACAAGACGAGGAGGCGGCCGCCCTTTTGCAGGCAGCTCTCAGGGCTGTGGAGGCGAACATGGCGGGACCTGAGACGTACCTGAACATCTACGCGCCCTACCTGAATTTGCTGGACGGTGGGGCGGAGAGGGCGCTCGAAGAGTTCCGAGAGCAGGGCCCGACCTTGAAGGAATGGGCAAGGTACATTGAGCGCCTGCAGAGCCTCAAGGTCGAGGTCGCGGCTCTGCAAAGGACGGCGGCCCTCAACATGGTCGTTCTTGAATGCGGCGCTTTGAACGACCTTTTGTGGCAGCGGTTGGAAGAGTTGAGGAACAAAATACTCGACCACCATATTGCAAAAAGCCGAGCGCACAACAGAAGGTGAGGAGCCAAATTTTTAAATTTTAAAAAAATATTTCGAAAAATGATTGAAATATGAGACATGCTAGATTTTTTAAATTAAAAATTAAGCCTAATTTTAAGTCTAATTTTCCATTAAATTACACTTCCTAAAAGGCTCTTTTTACTATCCTGACAGATTTAATCAAAATATATAATTAAAATTTAGGCAATACAAATGCTAAATTAGGTTTGAAATATACCTGTTGTAATTTCTGTTAAAAGAAGCTGATGGGGAAAATTTTCATGGTCTAAGATAATATAAAAAAAATTGCTCTTGATCAGTAATTAAAAATAATGTTGTAAATTTCTTTCCTTCTATTTTGAAATGCTGATGTATTCAATTTTCAAACATAATCTTAGGATCTGCAATGAGTTTGACGAAATGTCTGACCGTGCGGCTGTCCTTCCGGAGGACACGGCAGGTCTAGTAACCCTGACGCAGTACCTGACGCACTGCCAAGACGTGCGCATGCACGAGCTGCGAAAAATGATAAGGACCGCCGCGGCGAATTTATCCTTTCTGGTAAGAAATATTATATTATTATTTTAACTATAAACTCGAATTTGAAAATGATCAAAGGTGAGCTACGCGATTTTCCCAGCCGAGGACGTGCAGCTGAACGCGCGCGTTTTTCTGTGGCCGCGGGACATGGAGGCTGTTTTTGCAATCAGTTGGCAGCGCCTGGCCCACAAAAGAGAGGTGGTCGAGGCAACTCTGAGGGAGCGGAAAAGCACCTTCGAGGCCGGTCTCGTCCAGCACCAGCAAAGACTTTTCGAATTGCAGCGCAAAGACCCGCCTATACTGACAGTGGACGAGATGCGGGACAGCGTCCAGGCAGTCAATGCGCTCGTTCAAGCGCTCGAGAGAGACAAAGGCCTGGCCCAAGTAACAAAATATTTTGAATTTTTTTAAGTTTAATTCAAATTTTATTTCGATTGAAAAGGCAATCAACGAGGAAGAGGCGTTGCTGAACTGGCTGCCGGCACCATTCGCCGAACTCTACCAAATGCTTGAAGTGGTGCAACCTTTCCAGCTCTTGTGGACGACGGTGCTCGATTTTCACCAGAGCTACGACAAATGGTACTACGGTAGGAAATCAACTATTACTATTCAGGTGGGAAGATTTAACCCTGAAAAACAGGTGCTTTCAAGGAGCTTGACGCGAGCCAAGTGGAAGCGAAGGCGCGCAACATGCACGCCAGTTTGGTCAGCGTCGCAGCCGCGCTGAGCAAGGCGCCGGGCTCGAAACGCATTGCCGAGCTCACCCGCAGCAAACTGGACCATTTCATCAATCTCCTGCCACTCTTGCACTGCGTTTGCACGCAAGGACTTTGCGCCCGCCACTGGGAGCAGGTTCTTAAAATAAACTATAAATTTTATTCGAAAATTGAAATCCTTGTTGAAAAAATCATTAAAAAAATCACAGTTAAAAATTTTCATAATGAAATTCATCTTAAATTTCAATCGAAATCCTAATAGTTTTAAAAAAAATACATTTTTTTTTTTTTTAATAAAACTTGATTATTTTTGAAAATTACTTTTTTCTTCCTCCGATTTAATTTAATCGTTTCATGTTTTTTTTTTGCGGTCTCAGATGAGTGCAGCGGTTGGAGAGACCCTGGACCCTGCCGAGGTTACCACCTTGTCGCAGGTGGTGCAGTTTGGTCTGATGGACCACGTTGCCCTCTTCCAAGAAGTGTCCGAGTGCGCGAGAAGAGAAATGGCCCTGCACGAACGGCTGCTTGCAATGAAAGACGAGTGGAGAGAAATCGAGCTGCCTTGCGTGCCGTACAGAGACGCTGGGGTGGCCACCCTCGGTCCCTTGGACCACATTCAGCTCATGCTGGACGATCACATCTTGCGGTAGAAATCAACTTTCTCCATTGAAATTTCATTTCATGGTGCAAATTTCAGGGCCCAGACCATGCACAGCTCGCCGTTCGTTCGTGCATTTGAAGAGGAAATGCAGGCGTGGGAGGACAAATTGATATCCATGCAGGACATCATTGATGCGTGGCTCACAGTAGGAATTATAAACAAATTAAAAAATGAAAAAATTTATTGATTTTTCTCGTTTTAGTGCCAAGCGCTGTGGCTTTATCTGGAGCCCATCTTCAGCTCTGACGATATCATGAGACAAATGCCATTGGAAGGCGCTAAATTTGCACAAGTGGATCAGTCTTGGAGGCGAATAATGCAACATACACAAAGTAATTTGACAGTGCTGGTCGCCACGGACATGCCTGACATGCTTCCGATTCTGCGCGATTGCAACAAAGCCCTGGAGCAAATTCAAAAGGGACTGAACGAATATTTGGAGAAGAAACGCAACTTCTTCCCCAGGTAAAATTTCTTCCTTTGAAAAAAAAAATACTCAATTTATTTTCAGATTTTACTTCTTGTCAAACGACGAATTGCTAGAAGTGCTGTCAGAAACCAAAGACCCATGCAAAGTGAAATTGGAAAAATGCTTCGACGGTGCTGTGGGAATCGAGTTGGGCGCCGAAGGAGAAATCGTTAACGTGGAATCGGCGGAAGGCGAGAAATTGGCTCTGAGCGGCCGGCTCGTCCCTTCGGAGGCGAAAGGAAACGTGGAGAAGTGGCTGGCACAGCTGGAGGACGTGCTGGTCCGCTCGCTTCGAGACACGTGCCGCGAGGCTGTGGCTGCGTACCAGCGTCAACCGCGAGCCCAGTGGGCCCTGCAGTGGCCAGGCCAAGCCGTGTCCGTGGCCGCCTCAATCCACTGGACCACGGAGGCAGCAGCGGCTCTTAGGAACAACGAATTAAAAGTAACTCTTTGTTGGCTAAAATTGAGATTAGTTTTTTTTCTATTTTTTTTTCTAATTTTTAATTATATAAAAAATTTAAAAACATTCGTTGAATTAAAATAAATTTAAAATTTCAAAGGCATTTCTTGAAAAGAGCCGGAGCCAGATCGACGATCTTTTAGGTCTGATCAATTTGGAGCAGCCAATGAAAACCAGGCGCTGCCTCACAAATCTCTTGACAAGCGACCTGCACAACGCCGAGAGCCTCGGAGCTTTTCCCGAAGGCGTCACCGTGCAGGATTACGCATGGGCCAGTCTTGTTCGCCATTACTGGAGGGAAGATTCGGTGGTGGTTTCGCTAGTGGGTTGCGACCTAGGATACGGCTTTGAATATCTTGGCTGCCCTGAGCGAATCGTCGCGTCCCCTGTTATCGACAGCTGCCTCAGGTTGATTTCACAATTGAATTTTTACATATTTTTAATTCATAAAATTAATTTCAGAGCAATGGTGGTTGCCTTAAGAGGAGGATTTGGGGTTTGTTTAGAGGCGTCACCTTCTTGCGGGAAAACTGAAATTTGCCGAGAAGCGGCGCGGATGGTCGCGAGGCCCTTTGTAGTTTTCGCCTGTAATGAAACTATCGCGCTTGATCAAATTTTAAAATTTGTCAAGGTATTGAAGAAATTTTACAATTATTATAATTAATTAATCTTGCAATTTCAGGGAACTGTAAAAGCAGGCGCTTGGCTTTGTTTGAAAAACGTGGAGAGACTGAGTGCGCCGCTCGTTTCTGGACTAACCAACGACTTCAGAAAGCTGAAAATTGCCGCCGGAAAAATTTCAGCGCCGAATTTTTCGTGCGCTCTTTTGGCAACTTCGTTGACAAAATTGCCCAAACCTTTGACCTCTCAATTCAGACCTGTCGCTCTCGCTGAATTAGACGAATTGATAATCTGCGAAATTTTCCTGCGGTCGCACGGTTTACGTCTGTGGCAAGAGTAAGTCTAGTAATTTAATTAATCAAGCATATAAAATATAATTTATCAAAAAATAAGGCTGGCTTGGAAATTGAATGAATTCTTCGTGAAAATCAGAGACTTGATTTCGGCTCAACCACAATACGACATGACATTCAGAGCGACAAAATTAGTTCTCTCAGCGATGGTGGAAAAATTAAAAAATGCTGAATTTGACACAAAAATGCTAAAAGTGATAATAGAAAGTCACTTTAGAGCGCGTCTATCTGCATGCGTATGAATAATTTAAATATACTCCAGTGAGTTTTTTAATAACTCTAATATTTTTTTTTACTCTTAAGGATGCCGCTATGTTTGAATTGGTTCTCGCTGAAGTCTTTGAAATAATCGAAAAAGTAGCTATTTCAACGGACGTCCATTTTGCAGAAATAGTCAAAATTGAAGCAGAATCACGAGGGCTTCTCGCATCGCGAAATTTAATCAACAAAAGTATTCAATTAAAGGAATCAATAGAAAATTGGCCCGCAGTCATTCTTATGGGCGAAACACTAACAGGAAAGACGACTTGCCTGCAGGTATAGAATCGCGAATCATAATTAAACCAAATTATAAACTTAAATTTAGGTTTCAGCCGCCGCTGTAGCAAGAGCGTGCGAGGGCCAGCGGAGCGTTGCGATGAAAGCAATTAATCCGAAAGCCTTGACTCTAGGACGCCTCCTTGGTCAGTTTGGATCAACGGGTGAATGGCACGACGGTAATTTTGTTTTTGAATTTTTTTAATTAAAATTCAAGAGCAATGATTTTAGGAGTTTTGTCGACTACATTCCGAGAGTTTGCATTGTCGAGCAGCGAAACGGAGAATAAGTGGATCATTCTGGATGGGCCTCTGGAGAGTTTTTGGTCCGACAATTTGAACTCGGCTCTGGACGAAACCAAAAAACTTTGCCTCACCTCCGGCGAAATGATCAGGGTAACAATTAAAATGAGATTATATATGAGAAATATTAACTCTAATGGAAAATAATTCAGAATTCGCCGTACTTGAAACTGGTGGTGGAGTGTGACGATTTGGCCTCTTGTTCGCCATCCCTGATAAGTAGGTGTGCGGTGGTGCACTTTGAAGCCCGCCAAGGAAGCTGGCACAATTTGAAAGAGCCCTTTGTTAAGTCCGACTTAAGGCAGCGCCTGTGCATGGACGAGCAGTTCGAATTGATTGCAGAGCTCATCGACTGGCTGCTGCCACCACTCATAACACTCACCCTGTCACTAGAGTCGATGCTTTTACCCACAGATCTCATCCTGTTCAACGCAAGTCAAAATTAATTAGCTCATGAAGAGGTGAAATTGATTAATTTTGCTGTTCGCAGTGCTTCAAGAAACTTTACATGGGCATGCTAGGCGAGGAAACGCAGTTTTCATCTTTATGGCTTCAAAATGCGCTAATCTTCTCTCTTATTTGGGGTCTCGGTTCCTGCCTGACAAGTACAATTTTTTTATTTTGATTAAAAAAAAAAAAATTATTTGAAATTACAGTGACTGGGAGAGAGACTTTCGACGTGTTTTTCCGGAGCCTTCTAAACGGCGAAAATAAAATTTACCCTCGACCGAAAAGTTTCAAACTGACTCCGCAGCAATTAGTGCCGGAAAAGGGCCTCGTTTTCGACTGGGCCTTGGACAAGAAAAACAACGCAACTTGGCTTTCTTGGGTCGAAACGCTTCCGAAAACGCAAACATCGGTAAGAAAAACCTTAAAAAAAATTAACTGATTAACATTTTAGCTCTCTCAGAAAATTGTGGCCTGGCAAGGGGTGGCGGTGCAGAAGCACTTTTCGATGTCCAACGTGTCCCGCGGCGAGCCTCTGCTGCTGGTCGGGACGCGCGGCTGCGGAAAGACGGGCGCCGCTCTCGACTTTCTGCAGAGTTTGCCGCCAGAAGAATATCTCGTGAACGCGACCTTTCTCTCTGGAGGCAGCTGCGCCCAGCAGTTGCAGAGGACCATCGTCGGACGGCTGGACAGACGGCGCAAGGGCGTGTTTGGGCCGCCGATGGGCCGCCGCTGCCTCCTGTACGTGGACGGTCTTGCTGCGGGACACACAGGACCGGCAGAGTTGCTGAGGCAGTGGTTGGGACACGGCCACTGGTACGACCATGACAACTCCAAACTCGAACTCGTCGACATTGTATTAATTTTTTTTTAATTTGGTTTTATAATTAAAATTTCTGTCCAGGCTTTGCTTTCGACTTGTAATGACGCAAAATCGCTTCCAAGGAGGCTTCTCGGACAACTGCTTTTGATCGGTTTGACGGACATTCCCGATTATGCTTTGGAAAAAATCTTTGCGACGAGTTTGGAAAATCACTTTTCTAAAGGATTCACATCCAATGTCACCCGAGCAGTGAAAGTGATAAATTTAATTGAATTAAAGGATGATTTTACAAAAAATGTGTATTTTCCCTGCAGAGCATAGTTCAAGCCACGGTTGAATTCAACAAGTGCGCTCAAAAAAGTCTTGTGGAAAAAAGCACTTTGTGGCACTTTTTAGGCTTGGCGGAGGCGCTTTCGCAGGCGCTACCATCGCAATTCAACGACGCCGATAAACTTAGCAGGTTGTGGATTCACGAATTGTCGAGAACGTACATGGATTTGTTGCCGAGTGAAAATCAGAGGTAAAAAATTTAAAAAAGTAGCTGAAAAAAATTACTTGTTTAAAAAATTATAGGCAGATAATGCTGGACAACATCAAAGGACTGTGCTGCAAATTCATGGGAAAGCCGATGGATTCGATTTTAAGGCGCTTATTAAACGAAGGGGAAAATGCAATTTCGCTAGACCATCTGGACAGGCTACATTTTGGCAATTTCATGGAACCTGACGCCAACCCTAAGATTTACGACGAGGAAAGTTGCTGATTTGGCTTTCAGCCGAAATTAATAACAATGACGTAATGATTAATAGATTTGCGACGAAGCAGCGTTGAGAGAAAAAGTCATATTTTATCTGCGTGAGCAAGTTTCATGCCACGGATCGAGACCGGTGCTCACAAAGTACCTCTTGCAACACACAACAAGGGTGTGCAGGGCGCTCCAAAGACCGACTTCGGGGCACGCTCTGCTCATCGGAGAGCCCGGAAGTGGTCGCACCTTTGTAGCGAAAATTGCAGCAGCAATTGCTGGCTTAGCGGTTTTCAATGTACTTTTTTTAGTCTTTGAAATAATAAATTTAAGGTTGTTTTAATAGATTTCACCGAGTGGAGAGTATGGCTTGGACGAATGGAAGTGTGATTTGAAAAAAGTGCTGCGGAGATGCGGCCCCGAAGACAAACCCACAGTGCTTTTGTTGCGCGAAAATCTCCTGGAGCCTGATTATCGACTTGAAGATTTGAGCCAAATAGTGGCGGCGGCCGAAATTCCCACGCTCTGGGAACCCGAGGAGAGGCTCGAGTTGTCCGAGGGCATGAATCACCTGGCAAAAGTCAAAGTAGAATTTTAACGAGACGATTTCCAATTTTAATTTATATTATTTCCAAGGGACGCAAACTTGAAGGTACCAGTGCAGCCGTCCAGAATTATTTCATAGAACGAGTTCGAGTGAATTTGCACATCGTTTTGGTGCTGGAGCCGAAAAATCTGCTCGTGTCAAAATTACATAAGTTTCCTATACTCACCGACGCCTTTCAGTCAGATTAGTAAGAAAAAAAATTAATATTTTTCAAAATAATTGCTTTTTTTATATATAGTTTTGGTCCGTGGCCTGCGGAGGCGTTGGAAGACATCGCCACCGAGTTCACATCGCAAATAGAAGTGCAGGTGGTGTGTGTGGCTGCGTGCCGAGAATTCCACCTGGCGTCGCCGCCAGGACCGCAGGCCGCCTTTCTGCGTTTGATGCGTACCTTTGTGCGACTTCACGCGGCCTCCAGCGGCTCTATTTCAACGCAGAAGGGCAGATACTTGTCTGGCCTGCAGAAACTTGATCAAGCTGCGACTCAAGTAAAAAATATAAGATTTTTTTTTAAAGACTTCAACAGTTTTTAATTATTTTAGGTGATCGAAATGAGGAAGCAATTGCAACTTTTGCGACCACAACTTGTGGAAACTTCTGAAGAAACGGACAGACTGATGATAAAAATCGAGCAAGACACTGTTGAAGTGGAGGCGCGAAAGGAGGTAAAAAAGCGGCTCAATTAATTTCGATGATATTTTTTTTTCATTGGAAAAAGTTATTTCCAAGAAAATTTGTCAGAACCTAATATTTGGAAATTTTCTTGAATAACTTTTACTCTCAAAATTAACTCCATTAAATTAGATAAAAAATTTCACTCTAATTAAGTTGACAAAAAAATTGAATAATTATCATCTTCAAAATTAATTTTCAATTTCATTTTTCTCATGGGGAAATTTTTTGGTACGTTTATTTTAAGTGTATTCTTAAATTGACGAGTCAAATTCTATAAGTTTTATGAATAGAACTGAGTTTAAAAATCCATATTATTATTTTAAAGATTGTTGGTTCTGACGAAGCAAAAGCAAACGAGGCCGCGGCCGCCGCGCAGGCCATCAAGGACGACTGCGAGAGCGACCTGGCCGAAGCGGTGCCCGCATTGGAAGCCGCGCTCACCGCCCTGGACACCCTAAAACCTTCCGACATCACTGTGGTCAAAGCGATGAAAAACCCTCCACCTGGTGTGAAACTGGTGCTGGAGGCGATCAGCGTCATGAAGGGCGTCAAACCCGACCGGAAACCTCATCCCTCCGGCTCAGGAAAGATGATCGAGGATTTTTGGGCACCCTCGCTGCGTCTCATCGGGGAGATAAAATTTCTGGACAGTTTGAAAAGCTACGAAAAGGACGACATTCCGCCTCACATCATGGCCCGCATCCGAGAAAAGTTGTTACAAAAAAAAAAACTATCAGAATTATTGCAATTTAATTAAACAGGTACATTCACGACCGAGAGTTCAGACCAGAGGTTGTGCGGAAATCGTCAGCAGCGTGTGAAGGTCTGTGCAAGTGGGTGCGCGCAATCGAGGTGTACGACAGAGTCATTAAAATCGTGGCGCCGAAAAAAGCCAAACTGGCCGAGGCCGAAGCGGCTCTTGCCCAGCAAATGGCCACCCTGAATGAAAAACGCACCCAACTCCAGCAGGCACGTGTTTTTTTTTTTAAAGAAAATTTCGATTACAAAATTGCCTCCTCAGGTGTCCGACAAGCTGCAGACTTTGAACGACGATTTCGCAGCAATGTCCAAGAAGAAGAAAGACCTCGAGGACAACATTGACCTTTGCTCTCAAAAGTTGGAGCGCGCCGAGAAACTGATCGGGGGGCTCGGGGGCGAGCGAACTCGATGGAGCGAGTTGGCCGCTTCCCTCGAAGGCCGACTGGACAACGTCACCGGTGACGTTCTGCTCGCAGCAGCCACCGTCACTTACCTAGGCGGCCTCTCAAAAAATCAAAGAGAAGTACATGAAAATTATAAAAAAAAAATTGAGATGCAAAATAATATAATTTTATAAAAATTCAAAATTGTCTAATCGTTAACGAACATTAAAAAATCAAACTCAATACTCAAGACGCTGCGATATTACTTTGTGGTGTTTATCAGTCGCAATCCATTATTATTATTATAATTATTATTCAAAGCTAAGAAATAATTTGTTTTGTAGTAAAAAAATTGATTTTTTGGTATTTTTTCACCCTTAATTATATCATATTAAAAAAAAATGGTTTCATCGCTAACAAAAAAAACATTAAATCTAACTCTAAAGAGACGCTTTTTGTGTTTATCAGTCGCATATGAAGCTGAGAAATAATTGTTCTACAGGAAAACGATTATTTTTGGATTTTTTTCACATTAAATTATCTCGTATATAAAAATATTGAAGATTGTTTCTCCACTAACGAACATTAAATCTAACTCAAGGCGTTACGAATTTTTCATTCAAATCCGAAGCTGGATCATAATTTTTTCTGTAGAAATATCAGTATTCATGGCATTATCTAGACTATATTTAATTCATTACATACAATTTTTTATGTGCGGAGATCCGTTATCCAGATTACTTAATTAAAGTTATGGTGTTAATTAATTGTACGTGTGTTGTTAACAAAACGCAGTCCCCGCGGCTCATCACAAACTTTACACCGCCGTGCGTGTGATAATTTTGAATAATGAATTAGCGAGTTGGAAATATCGCACGCGACACACGCAAAATTTTGCTTCCACGTACGAGTAAATTAGATTTTGATGAAGATAAATTTAAAACGCGTTATGCAATTTTAATTTCGATGTATTTCACGTATAAAGATTCTAATTGATAAAATGTTTCATTCCGAAACTGATTTGAAAAATATTTACGTTTTACAACGATTTTCTAATAAAAATTAACTTTTCTCAGAGCATTACTAAGAAATGGAGTGCCCAGCTGGACGTGCTCGGCGTAGCCCACAGTGACCCTTTCAACTTGGCCACCTGCCTTGGTGACCCAGTGACCATCAGGGAATGGCACATGCGGGGACTCTCCGAGGAGCCCTTTACAGTCGAAAGCGCATTGGTGGCGACCAACTGCGACGCCCCTCCAATTCTAATCGATCCTCAAGGTTTAAAAATCATAATTTAAAATAAAAATAACTAATTTTAAATGCAAGGCCAAGGAGCGAATTGGGTCAGGTCGACGCAGCAATCGGTGATTTCGGCGAATGCAACTCACCCTGAGTTCAACCTCGACCTTGAGAAGGCCCTTCAGGAAGGCTCGACCATAATTGTTCATCTCCACGAGGCAAAACTCCCCGCCATCTTGGGTATTTTTATGATAAAAAATTACAGAAAAATCTCACTTTACCTTGATTCAAACTCAGACAGCGTCGTGCAGAGGACTTCGGCAGGTTCAGTGACCCTTTCCGAGGCTCAGGTCAGGGTTCACGAGGACTTCAGGTTGTACCTGGTGCTGTCGTTCAGGGCGCAATTGACTCCTGACGACCTGGCCAAACTGACGCTTGTTGATTTCGGCGTTCGCGTGGAGGGGCTGGAGGGGCGGCTGCTAGGTTTGGTGGTGGGGATGGAGCGACCCCCGCTCGAGGCTGCGCGCCACGAGTTGGCCGTCGAGGGCGCCGCCAACAAGCAGCAGCTGCAACAAATCGAGCATAAAATTCTGCACGTGCTCTCGGACACCGAGACTAACATTCTCGAGGACGAAACTGGCCTTCAAGTTTTGACCGCCTCAAAGGTACAAAATAAAAACGACGAAGAATAAATAAATAAAATTAGAAGATGTTTATAAAAATGATAATAGGTAGACTTAAATATTTTCACAGAATAATAAGTTTTTATCAGTTATATTCACTGCCATTTTAACAAGAAAAGTAAAGGAATAAAAGGAAACTAATTTTTTTGGGAGGGTTGGGCACAAAATATGTCGGCCTTTTGCCCTTATTATTGGCGCTGAATACTTTTTTTTTTTTTTTAGGGTGTCAGGCCAAGACAAAGTCTTGTCGGCCTGTGCCCTTTATTGGTGGTACAGCTGAAAGCTGAAAACCCAATTTTAATTTATTTATTATTTATTTATTTATTCTCCATTCGATACAGTCATGTCATGAATACAGCAAAAAAACTATACAGAAAAAGCTGAAAATACATTTTAAAAGAGACATACTGTATGTACTGTAATTTGCGCCGTTGTTAATTTGTTAGTGTGAGTTTGTGTTTTTTGTAAATTTTAGTGTAGATTTGTGTCGTGTTTGCGTTGTTAAGTGAATTCCAGTTTCTGTTTTAAAATTTCAAAAGAATTTTTACGTGGATTCAGAAACTGAGCGAGAAAACCAATGTTCGGAAAACGAATTAAAATGTCCAAATTTCAACTTTTAATTGGAAATTTTAATTTTTTTTTTAAAAAAGATTAAAATTTCTGTTTTAAAAATAATTAATATTTCCACTTAAAAGTTGAAATTTGGACATTTTAATGCGTTTAAAGCATTGGATTTCTCGCTCAGTTTCTGAATCCACGTATAAAAATTAATTTACGCCGTTTTTATTTTAATTTTAAATAAAATAATTTCAGAACCTGAATTCCAACTTGTGATTTTTTTACGTACAACTTTGCGTTTTCATAGTCAAATTAATTAAATAAAAATAATTTCTGGGTATTTTTATTTTCAAACTTTGTAAGTTTTTATGCTAATTATTTTAATCTAGATGGCAATTTATTGTAATTTTAATTTACGGCCAATTTTTATCAAAGATCACGCTTCCTTTTTTTAGATGTAAATTTAATTTAATATTTTTTTTATATCCTTATTAATAATTAATTAATTATTTTCACTTCAAAATTTATGCTTTCAGGCTTTATCAGAGGAAATCTCAAGCAAGCAAGTCGAGTCAGCAAAAAGAGAAATTGAAATTGAAACAGCTCGAAGTGAATATCTGCCGGTGGCAAAGCACGCGACCCATCTCTACTTTTGTCTCGACTCTCTGGCCAATTTGCACATTTCGTACCAGTTCTCCCTCGACTGGTTCACTGTTATTTATCAAGAGGTACGTACTTTGAAAATATGCCTTGAAAAAATCCACTGCCGCACTAATCTTATTTTAGATTTTAAATTGTCGTTTGAGCTAAAAGAAAAAATCGATAGTGCAAATTGACTTACGATCCTTTGAACTAGCAGAAAAATACCTCCACTCTTTGTGTCTTTTAAATATTTCTCAAAAACATCCCGTTGTGAAACAGGCGTTAAAAGAAATACGACGTGAGGAGTCACAAGCGCTGCCCGCTCGCCTTGCAGCCCTCAAAGCAACTCTGACTCTTAAAATATTTGAAGAAGTTTCGCCAGGCCTCTTCGAGTGCGACAGACAAATCCTCGCTCTTCTCCTGTGGGTCGCGCAACTTCAAGCAAATGTAATAGATTTAAAAGAAAAAATTTAAATCAAAATTGTTGTTTTGTTTCCCAACAGGCCGAATTGTTTCCAGAAGATGCGTGGCGTGCATTTTTAACGGGAGACAACTTGAACAAAGTTCCAGGGTGGGTGTTTTGGAATTTTGTCAGAATATTATTGTTTTTAATTTAAAAATAAATAGGTTAGAAAATATTGAAAATGAAAGAGAACTGGAAAAAGAAAAGTGGCAAATTTTTGACTCGGAACTGGAATTTAGTGAAATACCCGAGCCTTATTCAAACATCAAAGGTCTTGAAAGATTGGCCCTGATCAAGTCCTACAAGCCCCACGTTCTCTTCACAGAAATCAGGGTATGGTCTATGAAAATTAAGTAATGAATTTATATAATTTGTAATTTCCGTGGCATTTTAATTACAAGGTTACTTTTGTATCTGAAGTTTGCGCACCAAAAATAAACAGCTAAAAATTGTTTGGATTTTAAATGAGTAAAATTTGCTCTTTGCAGAAAATTATCAAAGAACAAATGGGTGAGAGCTTCTTGCGACCACCAACAGCAGACCTAGCTGAGACTGTTGCTTCGGCTGGAAATAAAAGATGTGTGATTGTCGCCCTTGCAAATGACTGTGATCCGGTCAGAGCTGTGCAGAGCGCGGCCAAAGGTCGCGAATTTCGGCTTGTGGCTCTCGGCGAGGGTCAAGAGGAACTGGCCGAAGAGGCGCTTTTTGCAGCCGCTTCCGATGGGCATTGGCTCGTTTTGCACAACTGCCACCTCGCCTCTGAAAACTGGCGGAACAAGTTGCAGCGACTGACTGAAAAGGCGCTGGCTTCGAGTCATGATGAATTCCGACTTGTCATTACTTTTGAGAATTCCGGTGTCACTCTTGACCTCTTACGCAAAGGTTAAATTGAGAATAATTTTCCATTTTTTTACTGGATTTAATTTATTTAAACAGGAATAAAGGTAGCTTCAGAGGCTGCCGGTGGTCTTCGGTCTCGCATCCTTCACTGCTTCAACGATCCAAAGATTTTATTGGAGCAAAAATCTAAAGAAGAAAAAACGCTCTTGTTGGCACTGAGTTTGGCGCATTCTGTTGCTCAGGCACGCGGATTTGCTGAGGGGAACGCTTTTTGTGAGCAGGGCCTGGACTTGAGTTACGAAACTTTGAAATCGGTATGATTTATATTTATTTTAATATTCCTTGTTATTTAAAAAATTGTACAAAATTTAGAGCTTTGACGAGTGGGGCATAATTGGATTTAACCAGGCCTTAAAAGAGTGCATTTTGAGCGCTCGGGTGTCTGCGCCGGACGCAAGAACAGCACTGGCGGCCATCGCTGACCATTACATAGCACCTGAAGTACTCGCTGACGAGGGAATAAGTTTGGCGCGTCTGAAGACTACCGACCTGGACTCACTGGAGGTCGACCTTGCGCCGGAGACTCTCCACCTTTCAAAAAGCGTTCAACGGACTAATGGATGGCGTGAAACTCAAAGAGTAAATAAATTTTATTCTCTTGGCGAATTATTAATTTATTTTGTTATCAGGCAATGTCAGCATTACAAGATTTATTCAAAGAATTTTCATCGGTGAAAAAATATTCTGCAGAAGAATCCATGATATTAAAAAAATTGTCCCCTCTGATTGTGAATAAAGATTGCTCAGCCCAAACAAAAGAAAAACTAGTGCTCCTGCAGGTAAATTTAAAATTTTTCTTTGTGCAGATAATTTTAACAATTAATTTTTATGCTCTCATAAAGGAACTTTGCTCTTTTGAAAAGGAAGCGGCCAAAGCGCAGTTCACTCAGTCTCTGAAAGAGAAGCATGTTTTTCTTAAAAGCTGGCTTGAAGGGAAAGTTTCTAATTATTGGCTTGGGAGGGTTTCGCGGCCAAAGACGCTCTTGAGAGCACTCGCTCCACCTGAATCCAGAAAACTTGCTCTTTGTATAGCGGGAGGCGCGGCACAGCCGCTATTTGTGGTAAAAAGTACTTTACTTCATTTTATAACTTCACAGCAAAGTTTACTTTAGAATGTCGAAATGGAAGGTGCAAAATTAATGAACGGCGAACTTCAAGACGCAGATCAGCTGCCCTGCTTTCAGTTACCGCCGCTTGCATTGGCTCCAGAGGTTTTTTAATATAAAATATTACTGATAAATTTAGATTTCATTGCTCTTTCTTTAGGAATACAAAATCGATGACTTTTATCACTTTGAATGCCCCTTGTTTGAAAGCCGAGACTGCAGGAGGCTGATAGGAATGGTAATTTTACCCTCGAAAAAACACCCTTCTCGGTGGCATTTGCGAGGTGTGACTTGCTATTCTAGATAATTAAGCGCGGAACAATGTGTATAGCATTTCAAAAAGTCAGATGTTTATTTTGCTCATTTCCGTAACATTAAAATTTTATTCTAGTCACTATATTGAAGATACTGTGTTTTTAAATTTTTATACAAATCATCTTGAACGATACTAGAAATAAAAATGTAAGCTCTACGCAAACATGCGTAATAAAAAAAAAATTATCAGGAAATTTCAACATTAAATAAAAAATTGCGAGGAATCGAATTTACGCCAAGTTATTTCACTATTTGAAGGAGACTTTGCACTTATATAACAAAAATCTACTCTTATTCCACCATCGAACTTAATTTTATTTTTATTGAGATTATTTGCTATGTGTGACACACTGGGGTGTTTCTGGGAAGAACACAAGAAGTGAGGGGGGTGAATAGAGATTTATGGGTTGGTCCAAGTGGCAAAAAGAGGCTAGAAAACGTAGAAGATCCAGTAGCCTGCGTTAAAGAGGAGGAAGGACACGGGGAAGATGACGCGCGAATACTTGTCTATCACATTCACGTCCTTGATCTTAGGGATGGAGGAGCGAATCGCTGAGGCGCCTCTGCGTAAAGTTTGCATTACGCGAGGGCGTTTGGTGCCCGGCGGGCCTCGAGAGGTCCCGCGGTGAATGCGGAAACTGGGCGGGAAGCGGCCAGAGTCAGTGGCCTCGGCGCCCAAACGAGATCCGTGCCGGTGGCGCAGCGATGGAATAGGAGAAAGACGGAGGTCCTGCAACGAGATTTTCAATTTAAAAGCAAATATTGACTCCTGATAATTTAAAATGTGTTAATTTTTCTTAAAAAAATACGTTTGTAAACAATTTTTATAAAAATTTTTAAACCTAATCCAGAATTATTTTAGAAATAAAGAGATCGGGTTTTTCCTCGTTGCAGAAAATGTTTTTTATGAACAAAAAAGCGGCTCTACCAGTTTCGGTCACGGTCTGCGACCCGATTTCATGAGCAAGAAAAATACAAAAAATCAGCAGAATTGAAAAATAACACATTTTAACATAAACTCTTTTCAATTTTGCTGATTTTTCTGTATTTTTTCTGCTCATGAAATACAGTCGCAGACCGTGACCGAAAGTGGTAGAGTTATTTGTCTTTGAATAAATACAATTTTTGCAAAAAAATCCCATCAAACAACAGGATTATTATTTTTTTTTTCGAAAGAAAAATGTTATTTTGCAACGCACCTGCAGCTCGATAATCTCCTCGGGGGCGAACGCGTCAGACGGTGGCGTGGTGTGTGGCTTTGGTGGCGGTTGTTTCTCTTGCTCCTTGCTCTTCTTGGTCTTCTTTTTGGCACGGGCGCCCCAGTACGTGTAGTTGACCGCGGCATACTCGAGTAACGCGGCGAACACAAATACGAAGCACATGACCAGGTAGATGTCGATCGCCTTCACGTACGAAATGCGCGGCAAACTGCTGCGCACACCCGTGCTGATCGTCGTCATTGTCAGCACGGTGGTGATTCCTGCAACAAGAATGTTATTATTTTTATTCGAATGAATATTATTTATTTTGCGAGCGGCACGCACCGAGCGCCACCCTGGCGGACGTGGCCTCGTGGTTGATCCAAAACGAAACCCACGAGAGCATGACGATGAGAATCGAGGGCAGGTACGTCTGGAAGACGAAGTAGCCGATGTTGCGCTGCAGCTTGAATGAAAGCGACAGCCGCTGGTAAATGCCGGTGGCCAACTTTTCTTTGCGGTCGTTGGTCTCGTAGCCAATAATTGTGAATTGCGGCAGCTCGGCCTCCTCCACCCCCATCACAGGCGTTTCCTTCCAGTACATGACCACGTCCAGCACAGTGTACCCGTCTGGTGGAAAATATTCACATTAATTTACAAATTTTTTTAATATCATAATTTTTTTGTAACATAAGAAATAAATAATAATATTAATTAATAAATAAATAAACTCAAAATAAATATTGAGGTTATTTTTATGAAATGATTGTCACTCCAATATTTACTAATTTTGAAATCAGGAATTTAACATTAACAAAAAAAAAAAAAAAAAAACAATAATTATTTGTTTGAAGAAGTTGATACTGAAGGACATGATCTTGGAAATGAAGAATGTTAGTTTTAAGATTTGGAATTAAAAATGTGGTGTTTTTCTATTTTGCTGATTTTTTTTTATTTTTCCTGCTCATGAAATAGGGTCGAAGACCGTGATCGAAACTGGTAAAGCCATTTTTAGTGAAAATAAATAACGAGGTAAAAGCCCAAACTCTTAAATTCCAATATAATAATTATTTACGAAAATAACTCACAGCTCTCAATTTCGACGGTGCAGTTTTGGTTGTCGAGCGGATAATAGTGGAGGTCCATCATGCACGCGAGCGTGGTGGTGAAACGCATGCCGTACGTGATGCTGCCGTCACCGTTGAGCCGGACCAATTTATTCCGCTCCGTCACGTCGTGCAAAAAGCTGCAAGCAAAAAGGGCTCGTCGAGAATTTCCGATATTAAATCACTTGGCCGGCCGCTTGCCTATTTTTATCGTTGGCGAAAAACGTGTCCGGCACCCAAATCTTCTCGGCGAAGTCACCAGACAGAGTGAGAATCTCTTCTTCGTTGCTGAACGCCAATCGCTCATCTTTCCAGTACTGGTTCAGGTACATTGTGATTGTGTAGTCCTGCAACGCGTAATTTGCATAAAACGGGACGTGCCATATTGATTTAAAAAAATTAAAATAAAATGTATTAAGACCGAAACTCTCATTCATAATTATTAACTGGAAATATCAAAAGATCATTTTAGTCTCAAGGGTCGTTAGTTGATTATAATATATCGGGACCATCTTTTTGACGTTTTATTTTAAGCAACTTGAGGCAACTTGTTCTTCACCTTAATAAATAACCCCTCTAATATAGAAGTATGATGCGTTTTGATGATATTGAAGCGAGCTGGAGATGGAGCGAAAGTGTGCCAAACTCGTCTCCAAGCAGCTGCACATTTCCCCTCTCCGTTACCCCTCTGCCCGCGCCGAGTTCGATTTATGCAACCAGCGCAACTCGCGTGTGAGGCAAAAAGCCTAATTCAAAAATGTGCAGGCGCGCTTATAAAACATTAATTAATTTAATGGACCACTAAAATTTAAAATGATCTTTTTTAAATGAATTAAATTGAAAAAAATTTATTTTTAAATGAAAATTTTATTTTATTGATCTAATTAATTTGAAGAATGCTCGTAAAATTTAAAGTCGGTCTGATATTTTGATTTTGAGTGTTAAACTTATAAATTTGATGGCTGTTTATATATTTTAGATATTTTTCCACTGACCATGTTGACCTCGGAGATTGAGTCAAAACTAGCGATGGTCAGGTCCATGCCAACGTAGAGAGGGTCTCCTGAGAAACAGAGAGAGCGAGAGAACACAATCAATAGCTGAGAGAGGGAAGGCGCGGGGTAGAAAAGGGGTGGCGTTCCAATCGATCGCAACCTAATTTGCAAGCCTCTTTACACCTACAAAGCTCACTTTCACACCAGTCGGCCGCATTTTGAAAAGGTTTAAACGATTTTTAAACGATTCGAACGCATGCGACAAAAATGCTTTTCCGTTTTGCTCGCAGTGCCGCATCCGTTGCGAGGAAAACGCAGCGATCGATAAAGACGTCTTTCTCGCTGTGTGACTGACTGACACACATTACAAACCATCGCTCGCATGGAAACAAAATAATAAAATTGCAAACGATATCTCGCGTCTCAAAATAGAGACGGGGGTTGCGATCAATAATATAGGGAGGCTGAATTGAGAGAGTGATCAGCGGTGCGGAAAGCGAATGCAAAATCCCCGCCAATCTGCAAATTGCACGTCGCTCGGGTGGAAAATCCGAACAGGCGCGCAAAGCTAAACGAGTGTGTGTGTGTGTGAAAGAGAGAAAATCGGCGGAGCACGGCCAGATTGGAAATTTAATCTTGTCTGCGTCCACATTTTAACGAGCGCTCCGATTTCGCGTGGCTTTTTAATCAAACAACACGGAGTGAAAGTAAAATCTGCTCAATTTTTATTTTCACCCCTCGTTCCTTTGTGTCATTTTTAATTGTCTGCGACCGAACAAACAAAAGCATTGTGGCGCCAAAGTCGGTGCCAAAGAGTCGAAAAAAGGGGTTGTTGCGTTTCTCACCTCCAAAGTTGGGCCTGAGTCTGATGTCATATCCCTCTAATAATCGCGAAATCGTCTGCGTGACGTTGGAGAGGCGCTCGCTGGAGGTGGCCTCGCCAGCCCTGCAAACAGTGAATGAGTTATTTGGCCGAACGGGACAGGGGTGGAGATCGAATACCTGGCCAGGGTGGCCAAGAGCAGCAACACCGGCAGCATCCGCTCGGCGCGGCCTCCGCTCCGAGACTAGTGGCGACTGTGGGCGGGGAGGCGGCCGGAGAAAGAGGGGGTGGCGCACGCGCTGCCTGGCCGCCTGCCAGCGCGCCTCGAATTAGCTGCAAGGGTCCACGGTGCCCCGAAAATCGCCCCCGTCATTTCACCCCCGCAATTTCGCGTTTTACGATTTTGAATGATTAAAAATTAAACACGCTGACAGCAGCGCGGTGATCAAAAAGTTGGAACGGCCGAAGTTGCCGGAGTGCCTCTGGAGAACACACACACCTGTGACCCGCCGAAATGACCCTGGCGAGGGCCCAACTTTAAATTGGGTCTTGAATTTTTGATTCGCGGTGCGCGTCGCGCTCGCAATGACGAAAGCGGTTCAAAGTTTTGACGAGCGTGTTTTGCACCTGCCGAGAGGAATTAAGACGTGTCTAAGCAGGGTGGAGGGGGGAGCGCGCCGTGGGAGGGAAGGGGCGCGTGGTGGCGGCCGCCGCCGCGGCCAGAGGCGAGCGAGCGCGCGAGCGAAGCGAAGAGGCAAGTGGGTGGGCCTTGGGGGCCGGCGATGCTTTGGGGGCTGTTGCTGCTGCTGCTGGGGGCGGCCGCGGGCCTGCCAGGCCTCCGCGACCATCGGCAGGTGGCGCGAAACGTGACCCGGCTGCTCGACGACCTTTTGGCCACCGACAGGTATGACAAGAGGATACGGCCCGACTTCGGAGGTGAGAGTCAATTTCTTTCCCTTTCATTGTTTGCGAGGGTCGGGGTTAAAAGCGCGCGCGCCGGCCGATAAATAAGTGTTGATTGTTGATTACGCGAGAGAGAGAGTCGGGGAAGCCTCGCAAATTACTCTCTTTAGCATTTTTCGCCCCGTCCAAAGAACTCGTACATGCAAATTAGCCGACAACCGATGAAAGCAGCCCACCCTTGTATATACATTTTGTTGTTTTTGCCGGGAGTTGCTTTTTGCTCCCAAGGGTTGCGATGGTGCGAGCGGGGTTTAATTTTGGCAGCCGTGCCGACAAACCTCTGCAATTAAGCATGAAATTTTGCGGTGACTAATTGGGTCGAGGACTGCACAATGCTCGAAAAGCGGGCGAGTGGCGCCGCCGGCGCCGCAAACGCCATTTCCCGGCTAATTGGCACTCCAATTTGCCGTTTCTTTGTGGCCGCGCGCGCCGCGAATGCATTTTTCTATCTCCAGTAGTTTTGGCGCCGAAAGTGCTCAGCGGGCAGGAACGTCGCCGATAAAAAAGAGACAGCGCGAGCCAATTTCCTGGCGTAAAAAAGTCATTAGCGCCTCTCGTCGCTCGTCGATCGGCCCCTTTCTCTTGGCAAACGACGCGTTCAATTTTGTTCTTGCGGCAAATAAAAGACAACAAGTCGGAAATTTGCTAGCAATCTGCCACCGCCGAGCGAGCGCAGCGATAATTAAAACGAGAGACGGTCAGCGAGGAGGAGGCGGAAAAAAGTAAGTGCGCGCGATTATGGGATAAAAGGTTAATTTGGGGACGCGCCAAAATTTTGGAGCTTGTTTTTATTTTGATGCGCGCGAGAGGCGAATCGGATTCGAGATCGAGCGCGTGCCACTCCAAAATTAAACGAGACGCTATTTTCAGCGAATCGAGCAGCACGCCTGCTCATTTCCTATCCGCCAAATTCCACTCGTAAATTTTATTTTATTTTTTTTCTCTGACCACTTATTAATTTGTGTTCAATTGACTCGTTTTTTGCAGGTCCGCCCGTAAAAATCACCGTCAACATGTACATCAAGAGCATTGGTCCCGTCTCGGAGACGGACGAGGTGAGCACCCCCTCCCTCCCTCCCCCACCGGTCTGCCGCTGCTGAGGATGAGCCAAAGCGATTTGATGCAAATGACGAGGCGAAATTAGGCAACCGGCATCAAAACATACGGCAGCGGGCGGCTCTCGCTTGAAAAAGTGGCCCATCTCACAAATCGCCCTGCTTGCTGTTTATAAATAAAAATAACTGGATGGAGTTGTTGGTGACGTAAGCGCGGAGAAAAACTCAAAGAGGCCGTTCATTCACGAAAACGGCGCGTCGCGTACGCGATTCTTCTCTCATCTCTTCACACTAAAATACACATATTTTTCTTTCCGTTGCTTTGCACGCTCCAAAAAAAAAAAAAACACAAACACCTCTTCGGCTCGTTAAATATTTAGCATTTCCATCCGTCGTATAACAAACGTTCCTGTCTATTTGTAAAATCTTCAACACACACCGATTCGCCAGGCTAATAAAATTTCGGTAAACATTTTTATTCCTCTCTCGTTTGCAGTGGTATGCGATGGATTGCTACTTTCGCCAAAAGTGGTACGACAGTCGCCTCCAATTCAACCTTACCGGCCTCGACGAGTTCTCGATGAACTGGCTGTTCTTGGAGCGCGTCTGGAAACCGGACACGTTCTTCATGAACGGCAAAAAGTCGTACCTGCATCGCATCACCGTTCCGAACAAGTTCCTGCGAATTCGCAGCGACGGATTCCTCACCTACTCCATGAGGCAAGCGATTTTCCCCTATATGTGTGTTCAGAAAAATAGCTTGTCAAAAATTTGGCTTTCTTAAAATAATATATTTGGCATGGTCGCACCTATGAGGTTAAATAAATTCCCAATTTTTTTTCCAAATTAAAAAAAAAAGATATTTTCAAAAAAACTCCAAAAAAGTGTTTTTAATTTTCCAGTTTGAGATAAAAATTTAAATACTACTTTTCTAGCCCAATTTTGCGGCGCCTGACACCTTTTCAATGATGACCAAACGTGTAGAAACACGTTCAAGGTCACTTTCAGTGAAATTTTGACTTAATTTTCAAAACGAACGCCATATATTTAATGTTTTTGGATGTAAAGGATAAAATTTAGCCCGTCTAATTTAGAATCGACATGGCAATTTTCAGAGGTGCATAATTTTTTATTAATTTTTTTATTTGAAGCAGTGTTTCAAAAACAATGAAAAAAAAAATGCAGCGCCAGCAATTGAAAATCACTGATTTCTAATATAAAGCTTCAAATATAAATAAAAAAAATAAATAAAAATAATGCACCTGTAAAATTCACCATGTAGATTCTAAATTAGACGAGCTGCATTACTTCTAAAAAAATTAAAAATGGCGTTCATTTTGAAAATTGAGCTCAAATTCAAAATTTCACTGAAAGTGTCCTTGAATGTTTTCCTACAAGTTGGTCACCATTGAAAAGTTGCCAGGTGTCGCAAAAATTGGACTAGAAACGTTATATCTCAAACTGGATAATTAAAAACTCAATTTTAGAGTTTTTTTGAAAATATTTTTTAAAAATTTGAAAAACTTTTTGGGAATCTTTTTACCAAACTACCAAATTATGTTATTTTCAAAAGGATAAATTTTTCGACGTACCATTTTTCTGCGTCCACACGTGGAACTCATTGCAAAGTCCTTAACGATAATGACCCTTTTAAAATAATCTGCTTTTCCGATGGCCAGACTCACCATCAAAGCGAGCTGCAAAATGCACCTGCGGAAATTCCCGCTCGACTCCCAGAACTGCCCGTTGACGATTGGAAGCTGTAAGCGCTGTTCCGTTCGGTCTCACGTTACTTTTCTTTTTATGCCTCTCTCGAGCGAACCAAAAACAATTTAAAATACTATTTCGAGATTACAGATCAGAGAGGAGTTTGTAGTTTACACTTAGAGCGAAGTGATAGGCAAATCGCCAATCCTCGTCAAGAGATTTGGTTTTGACAACATACGGGTAATAAAACGGCGCGTCCCGTCTAGTTTTTCGCTCGAGCGGCGGCGTAAAATTATCGTTGAGCGTTGTTTTGATCGTAAAATGCGGCGCGTTGCTTTTTTCGTTTCGCAGACGGCTACAGCGCTTCCGACGTTTTGTACGAGTGGTTGGACTCGGTGGAGCCGGTGGGCCTCGAACCCGGGGTCAGCTTGGCCCAGTACGATCTTGTGAACATCACCACCGACTCGGAGAAAACGCGAGATCAGCTTCGCGTGCGCAGAGGTGAGTCAACATTATAAATACACGAATAGAATGAAAACTGATTTTCCAATTTTGATTCGAAAGCCGACAGAAGGAATGGTGGTAATTATAAGTTTCAAACGAAAAAGATCCTCGTTAAATTCGATGGGGGTGATTTGCACAGATATACACAATTTCTGGATTAATATCATATTACTTTCATTGAATTTATGAAATTTTTACATATTAATCTACCAATTTGGGAGAGGAAAATTAACATAGGTGTTGCTTCGGCAGAGGACTTTTCAGTTATAAGCGTCAACTTCCACCTGAAACGGATGACCGGCTACTTCATGCTGCAAGTGTACGTGCCGTGCGGGCTGATCGTGAGTTGCTCGTGGGTCTCGTTCTGGATCGACCCTGACGCCGTGCCCGCCAGAGTGTCGCTCGGTCGGTGGAATTTCGCGCCCTATAAATGCCAGGTAATTAAATTTTGTTTTTGTCGCAGGCGTTACGACCGTTCTCTCGATGACCACGATGGGATTCGGAGGACGATCGCAGATGCCCAAAGTGAGCTACCGCACGGCGCTCGATTGGTTCGTCATCCTTTGCTTCTCGTTCGTCTTCGCCGTGATGGTCGAGTACGCGTGCATCAACTTCATCGACACCCTCACCGAGGACCTCAAGAAAATCATCGCCGAACGCAGAAAGCAGGCCCAGAAGGAAAAGGTGCGATTTGTGATTTTAAATTTATTTTTAATTAATTCCTGAAAATGCAACTTCTTATGATTTTTTCGCCTCCGAAATTAATTTAACAGGCAATTCAGCGGGCACTGCAGGTTGATGACGAAGCCGGACTTTTGCTGAGCGTCAATTCGGTACTTTTTGCTCATGGTCCGGAGTAGACCCTGTATTTTTAAATATTTAATTGGAAGCACATCTAAAACGTTCATTTGATTGAAATTTTTAGTAGTTTATTGAGAAGAACCTTAAATATGAAAAATTTGAACCCTTAGTTGAATTTTGCGACATCCTGCACCCTCTTGAAGTAGATTTCGCATAGCCCTCGACCTACATATTAACTCGATAGTTTTATCAAACGCAACCTACATGTTTCGTTAATAGTTGGTTTTTAATATTTTTTTATACATCTAAAAGTACTTCAATGTTATAAGATGATTTGTTTTGTTGATAATTTAAGCGATTTTTTTCTAACGAAATATAAAAAAAGAAAAAAATACAATAAATAATAAAAAAAATCTTCAACAGTTATTGAAAATTTTGTAGAACAATTTCACGATCGATGGTGATTTGAATTTAAAGTCGGCTTTTCCATGATGGATTTTGCAAGGCGTAAATTGTTTAAGAAAAAAAATGTTTTGACTGCCATGAGCTGTAAAATTATTTTGACGAAAATTAGTGCATAAATTAATTTTATAAAAGTGTTTTCATCAAATAATCATTTTTTTCCAAAACTTCTTTTCAGTTACAATTTTTTTTCGATAATTTGACAATTATTGTTGTAAATATTTTTACAATTTTTGTTAGTTGAATTTGTAAAATTATTTCAAACAATAACTGTCAAATATGAAAAATCCCAAAATCTTTTTAAGGAAAAATTGATGTTTTGATGAAATCGCCTTTATAAAATTAATTTAAGTAATAATTTGTCAAAATAATAATAATAATAATTTCACAGCTCATGTATTATGGCTGCAGCCCGCAGCCGAAACATGTTGTTTCTCTTTAGAAAATAAACATCTCACGAAACCTTAAATTGAAATCATGCGGTGTTGTGTGGGTTGCGTTTTGTTCATAGTTTCCAGGTAGAATTATTACATTATTGTACCTGTAATGTTCATGAAACTTTTTGCGATGAATTGACGATGGTTTTGAAACAGGAGGCCGCTGAAGCAGCTCCACCACCCGAGCTAATCGGGGCAGCCATGATTACCGGCCCGTTGGTGGCCGCGGTGGCCGTCGGTGCGGTGGGAAACCTGGACAGTTCCCCGCCGTCGCCAGAGCCTCCTCCACCACCACCTCCGAAGGTGCCGCCTCCGGAGGAAGAAGACCCGCCGCCGCCGGCCGCGGAGGAGGACGAGCTGGAGGTGCTGGAGAAGCTTCCCCTGGAGACGAACAACCTGCTCGTGCAGGCCGTGGCGATCGCCGAAGAGGAGGTCATCGAGGTCGAGTCGGCCGAGCCGTGGTTGATGGAGTGCGCGTGCTCGCCGGTGCGACGGGTGCGCGGGATGCGGTTTTTGCCGACCGAGGCCGACGTCGTCGCCGCCGAGGGCGTGACCAAGGAAAAGTTTTCCAAAATCGACATTCAGTCGCGCAAATACTTCCCGCTCGCCTTCACCGTGCTCATCACCATCTACTGGGTGCTCTACATGTACTACATCACCGACGAGGTTCCCGAATCGTGACCGCCCCGGCCGCCGACCCGCCACACACCCACGCAGACACTCTCCCAGTGCTCAGAGTGAACTTGTTTTTTAATTCTCTCTCTCTCTTTCACTTTATAAATATCATATCATAAATATATCGACACAGTTTACAGACTGCGCGAGTGCAGCTCACAGCTTTAATTAACAACACACAGTCTTTTCTCCGGCACAAAGTTTCAAACAACGTTGCGTGCGCACCAAGTTTCCACTCATATAGTCTCTCTGGATTACTCTCAAGTACGTTGTAAATTATTATTCTGAATCACGCCCGACACAACACATGTGTGTATCGAGACCCTGACCTACTCAACTTGGGAACCAGTGTGCAGATTTTTTTTTGCAGATTCCTCTCGCGGTTTCAATAAATCGTGTATGAAGACCGAAGCTGGCCATTTTTCTTCCCTTTTCCTGAATTTATAAATTTGAAAGGAGTTTTTATTATAAAAATGCATGATTACTTTAACTGTTACTTCAGCTGCAAATTTATTCATTACAGTGCTAGGTTATTTCTTTTTGACTAGCATCGCTGATAGTCAAGTGAAATTAAAATTTTAATTGCGCGCCAAACTAACGATTAGGCCTAAAAGCACATATTGTTTGACTAAGCGTGGTAATTTATATAATAACATTGTCACTACATGCGCCTATATTAATAAGAACATAATTGTATATAATATTTTAAATTTCTATCGAACAAGAGTAATGTATAATAATGAGATAAATGCAATCAATATCAGTTTGTTTGGGTTTTTGGCGACAGGATAAAAACTATAAAAGATTTTTGTTTCAATTCGGGGCCTTAATTTACAGACTATCAAAAAGGGAATGACTCAAATGTTCAGATCACAAACAACTCAGACTCTTTCCTTCCAGCTGGGAGGTTCGATTTTTGGATATGTTAGGCAAGAGGATCGGAAGAGAGGGTGAGTTTAGAGAGGGCAGAGAGGGAGCGTTTCGGCGAGGCCAAGTGGTTGGCTTCTCCGAACAGCTTGCGGAAGAACTTCCTGATACCTGACTCTCCGGCCCGTTTCCACGGCACGTCGTCCGGCTCGTACGGAAGGGGTCCCTGTACAGGAGCGTCTTCCCCGTCGTCCGAGGGCCCTGGCTCAGCGACGGGTTCTGGAGCAGCAGTCGCGGCTGCCAGTTGCGCTTCCAACTGCTTCACCTGCACCTCCAGACGACTTTTCTCTGCCAACAGCGTTTGAATCTGCGCAGAACCGTTGAGGACTCCGGGAAGACCCTCGGTAAGATCTTGGTTCTCCTTCTGCGCCAGACCCAGCAGCTGCCTCAAGGACATCACCTATGAAGTTGTTAAATTTTAATTCATATTGATCTTGAAGAATAAAGCATCAGCTTACCTCTCGAGCCTGCTCTTGTAATTGAGCCAAAAAATCCGATCTCTCCTCTAAAAGACTTCGCACCTAAATGAATAAAAATGATTTAATACAACATCGACAAAAATAAATTATTTCCTTATTCAATTTTGTTAGTGAACTTAAAATTTCAGCTCTAAAAATTTCATTTTGGAGAAAATTTTAGTCAACTTGTAATTTTTTCTTTACTCTATTAAAAAACACCAAATTAAAAATAATAATTAACAATACAGGATCCTCATCTTGTGGTTTACTTAAATAATATTACCTGTGTTTGGTAAGTTTTCTGCTTTCGCCGAAGCTCTCGCGCCACTGCTGTGGATCGTTCCAACTGTGATTGCAACTATAATTAAATGAAATTACTAAATCATGCTAAGTGGAGGCAAATCATAATAGAAGTTTATATTTTGAGATTGCTCTTTAATTAAGCGATAAATATAATTATTTTGCTAAAATAATGAATCGCTCTTTTAAGGCAAAAATTATATCAATCATGAATGAAGCAGAGAAAATTGAAAAATAATAACTAACATTGTCGATATCATGTTTCTGGGCCTTGAGGTCGCGGTCTTTGGATCGATTCTGCTCCCTGAGCACATCTGCCGTGTCCCTGAGTTGGCCCATGAACGAGGCCTCCATCTGATTGCCATCGGGAGAGGCAGACGGAGGTGGAGGCTCTTCCTTGAGCTGTCCGGCCAGCCTGCGGTTCTCTTCTTGCAACTTGGCCACCAGAGCCACCAGATCCCTCGATTCGGACCGCCAATGCTCTTCGATCTGCTCCAGTTCCTGCCACGGACGGAAAAAAATATTATTCAGCAAAAGGTCAGCGAGCGCCAAATAAAAGTGACCTTTTCAAATTTGCAGCGGTCTTGCGCCTTTTCCTGCTTGTCACTTTCAAGAAGGGCGATTTTTGCTCGCAGATCCTGCAGGGTCGAGTCCTCGCGCTCGTTCTTCATGGCGAGTCGTTCCAACTGCTCGAGGGCGCTGATTACCTGAAGGACGAAACCAAAATTGTAATCGACAATGGGGGTGAGCTTGAATTTGGCATTGCGGCCTTGAACACACCTTGGGCATCATGTTGGTGAGCGAATCTGCGCCGTGCGCGTCGATCAGCTTCTCGAATTCTTTGCCAATCTCGCTGGCCAGGTCGTAGACGTCGACCACCGAGGCCAGCACACCCCCCGCATCCTGCTCCATCGCCCTCGGCATCGAAGAAGCGGCCCCCGACACAGTCAGCCGCCTCCGCACAGATTTTTGACACCCACTGACGTCACTGTCGCCCACCTGAGTCACCACGGTTTTTCGGTTCGAGTTACAAAAAAACCGGTTGAACGATGACAATTTAAAAATAAAATGAAAATTTGAGGTAATCTTGAAATATAAAATGCTGCTAAAACAAGTTTGTTGTTTGAATTGTTAAAAAATGTATTGTCGTGTCAAGAAAATACTGTGTGACCTAAATGAAAAAGGAACGAAAAAAGGAAATAAAACCGGTATCATCGTTACAACCGGTATATATTTTCTGAATTAATTGCAGAAACTGCTACAGGGGGCGCGAGTTATGGCGAAAATGCAGTTTTCACTCGCTGTATAATGTTTTTCGTATGTTTGGCGGGAGGCGGGATGGCCTAGGATCTTGTGGCTAAGTGGAGTATGCTCTTGCCCTCCATCCCGGAGATTGTGGGTTCGATTCCCACTCCAGGCGGATTTTTCTCGGGGGAACCTGAGTGATTTCTCATGCTGGGACTGCGAGTGAAGGGTTGAAAGTCGGCCGGGGGCCGCAGGATTTCGTGTTGAGAAGGGTGTTTGCATTGCACCCTAGTTGTACGCAAAAAGCGTTTAATACAAAATCCTTTTTGTAGGCCTGGGATGGCCCCTGGAAAACCTATTATTTAGAAAATATTTACACTACACTACACAACAGACATGCTTCTCAATAAAAGAGATTAATAAAATTAATAAAAATCTAGAAAAATAAAAAAATTTGTTCTGATATTCAGAGTGAATTTATTATTACATATTTCATATTTATTTAGATTTACCTGCAAATAACCATTTTGAAAACTTACTGACGTTTCAATTTTTAATTTTTAACTTACAAGCTGATACAATTTTTGTTATTTTTCATCCTCAAATATTGAATGATGAGTCTGGTATTAGGAAAATATATAGTAAAATTATTGTTATTCTAATTTTCTTGTAGATAGAATTAATTTTTAAAAGTGGCTAAAGACATAAAAATAGGTTTAAAATAATTATGCACAATGAACAACTTTTTTATGATGTGAAATATTGCTTTTCAAAATGTAATGTTAACATATTGAACTAACATTATCAAGATTGCTGAAATAAAAATAATATTGATTCCATTTCATTGAAGTTTGTTGGAAAAAACATAATATAAAAATTGTCAACATTATATATATGAGAGGCTGGGGGGGAAATAAAAGTGAGATGTGAGTGCGTTGTAATAATTTAACGATCGGTTGGCATTGAGCACCTTGCACCTTGCTGGTTGATTTTCATTTCAACCATTCGACAAATAAATCAAGAAAAAGTGCAATGTTTCGTCTCGTTGCAAGAAAATTATTCTTGATCGCGTCTCGCACCGAGAGCAGGGGTCCATTAGAGAGAGGAAATAAAGGTACAGGGTCGATCGACCTACCTACGGCTCGATGGAGAGTGAAGAATGAAAATCATTAAAAGCGACGGCGGCGGTTGGATTAAAATGCTGAAATACAGAAATATGCAGGCAACATAATGCAGGCGTGGTAAGAGATGCATTTCGTGCTTGTCATGTTCACTGACCTGTGCAACGCTTGTTGTTTAATTGCTTCTCCTTCATAGAGTGAAGCTGCGTTATGCAATATAATATGAAGCATTATTTACTCTCATTGCTAACACTATGAAGAAATTAAATAATAATTATGCATTTTATAAAAAATTATTTCAAAGCAATCAATCAGCTATGACATATTTCTCAAGTCAGTTGTCATTATAGAAAAAAATTAATAAAAGTTTGGAAATAAAAATTTTAAATTTGTTTTAATTGACACCTCTTGTTTTAGTGAATTCTTTCAAGCAGCAACGAGTTTCATCAAATTGTTTTTCTATTTCTTTTTAAATCAATTTCCACTTCTTGCGGAGAACAAAAAATTTAATTGAATCAAACAATATTTTCCATATTTTTCCTTTAATTTTTATTGTCTTCGCCCTGGTCCATGGCCTGACGCTGTTAAAAAGGAAATTAAATATTAAGTAATTTATTTCAGAATTTTCATTTCGTGAAATAAACCTTTCAGTGATATTTTTTTTTATTTTTTTTTTAATGACATTTAAAAAGAAGTTGTTAAAAGAAAATTGATTTTGCTTTGCTGAAGGCTAATATGGAACTCAAAAAAACTAAAGCAAAAAATTTTGACATTTGCACCTGATTTGCACGTGAAAGATGTGTAATTTTTACTCACAATTCGTACTAAATTTGGACGCTGTGGTTCAAAGGCCACGCATCAGCTCTATTATGTTGGCCAAAAAAAAAGATGTCTTCCGCCCGAGCCATAAGGCCCCATGGCTCTGACGGCGGCCGTGTACCAACATAATTTTGGGATGCGCAGCCTTTGCTGTGGTTGAGGGTGCATGATTTAATATCTTTGAATTATTTCATCTTGGCCGGCCAGAAGTTCATTTTGGAGATCACAAACACCAATTATAATGGATAAAAAAAAATTGAATATTACTTAATTTATAAGGCGCAAAGCCTTATATTTTGGAATATAAATTGAACAACTTAATTGCGTAATTAAGCAAAGCAGCGGGAAGCAGATTCTCGTCTGCGCGCAAATGGGTTAAAAAAGTCAACGAACACAACTTGCCTTTTAAACGAGCAAGGCCTTGCGCCGCACTTTCTTTTTGCGCGTTTTCAGTGACAAAATCGTCTATTTTTAAGTCCCCTTCTAAATGTTCAGGAGCAGGGTAATAAATTCCGCTAGGATTTGCATAACGTTTCCGCTGCTGTGTGTAAGTTGACGTGCGTTAAAAAAATTGGAAACGCAATCCTTAAAGAGGCCGACCTTCTGATTGGCGCGCCTTCAAGATCTACAGCAGTGTCAAGTTTGCGCTTTTACGAAATTTGTTTACATTTTTTGCGCGTGATTCGATCATGTCGCATTCTCCATCTGCACACATGACAAGACTAGATAAGTGTGGTCTATATACAGGATAAAAAAAGGGCGTACAATTTTATTGCCCATGGTTCAATTCATAAAAATCCTCTATCAAAAGTTGTTCTTTTCATTTATTTTAAATTAAAGAGATGAAATAATTTATTTTTGAGTAAAAATCAAAGCTGCGACAAATTTTACCTTGGAAGGACACATACTTTTTGTCTTATAACCATTACAAAATAACTCTCAAGAGTTCTCAGACACGCAATTAATTTTGGATTTAATTTTTAATTATATTTATTTATTCAGAAAAAATCTTAATATATACATTTGATCCAGTAATGGTCAATAGGCTGTATATAGTGTTACAAATTATTAGTTTATAACTAAAACCGGTTGCCCGCATATAATTTTTACAGCAGATTTAAGTCATTAGTCATACTATAGCTTTCTATAGGAAGTAATCACAATCATTCTTAAAAGAAACGAATAGAATTTACGGCCTAAATGACCTTCTCCAGATACAAACACTTCTCGTCTCCGCCAATTAAGAGCTAAATTTTTACGCGACCAGAGATATTTTGTTTAAATTTTTATATTTCCTAAGCTTATATTGAAAATTTTATTTTCTGGCGGTTAATAAATTTGGTATATATTTTTTTTTTCATTGAGAAAAACTGCAGCGAAATAGAAGTTACCGGAAATATGCGCGCGTTCAGATTATGAGGCGCGGTTCGTATAGAATTTGCATTTTATGATTATATTTTTAAGTTGCCGAAAAATAAATCAGGGAAAAACAAAAAATTTATATAATTAATTGCCGGAAGTAGATTGGAACTCAAGATATATTTGGGCAGTTTGGAGAACGCGGATTTTCGTAGCCTTGTCGCTCACGGGTCCAGCAGGATCATACTGAGGCGCGTTCTGCAGGTGCCGCAATCGGAAGGAAGGTGAAAGGTGACTGCAATAACACAAGGGTCGCCGCCTTTCTCAGGAAGCGTCAAGGTTACACGCCCGCTCATATATCCGTATGAAAAGCCACTAGCATTATATTTTTTACTATTCTTTTAATAATTGTTTTGTTTGATTTTGTAGTAGAATGTTAAGAGATCGAGGGGAATACAATTTAAAGTCGGCTTTTCCTCGACGGGATTTTCGAGTCGTTTGATTTTTCAGAAGACAAATATCCTGCTCTAAATGTTTTGACTGCGGGCTGCAACCAATAATTCATGAGAAGCTGTAAATTATTTTTGACAAAAAGTTGTGCCTGAATTATTTTAAATTTTTCTAAACAAATTAAGATTTTTTTTTAAAGAAAATAATTCTACATGGCTAAATTTTTTAATAAACTGTTTTTAAAGTTTAAAATTAATTTTTGCAACAATTTTTGTCAGAAATAAAGAAATGTGTGTTTTTTAGCGCACCTTTCTTGGTATAAGAAATCAAAAGAAGACTTAAAATGTCAATAATGATATAATTCACAGCTCACGAAACATGAAGAGCAGGATATTATTTTTCTGAAACAACAATGACTCAAAAAACCCATCATGGAACATGGAAAATCCGACTTTAATTTATTGTTTGTTTAACTTCACTTTTTTTCTTTACAAATTTATTTTCATGCGCAAACGTTGTTTCGGTGCTTAATATTTTTCTCAACTGATATGATCTGAATTTAATTTGCTTTGCTTTGGCAATTTCAAATTTCAAAATAAGATTTATTTTAGCCACACGGCCACTTTTTTTGAATAAAAAACGAATTGATGAACAGAGACGTCTGCGTAAATGAAATAAATTATTCAATACGACACTTTTGATCTGAAAATTTGATACTAAATATAAAAAACGCCACCACACTTTTAAGGTTTCGAAGGTTCTGTTCTAAAAGCTTCTTGTCCTCGCGAATACAAGCAGGGTGCCCAAGTTGTGCGTCTGGAAGGAGGCGCGGGAGAGCGAGGGCTGGAGGGGGCGACCTGACTGGGCCCCGAGAAGCCGCCGTATTGCCATTTAGACGCAAAGGAGAGTCGGCGCGCACCGGTCGGTGATCTTGTTCAGGTTTTGCAGGTGAGTGCTTATAATTGATCGTTTTCCGTTTTGTATCAAACAAAAAAAGTATTATATCCATTTGTGAAAAGTCAAGTTCAAGGCGCACCAATTATTTTTTGCGCTCTTTCGCACCGACGCCGCCGAGAGTTGAATGATCAGCAGTTTTTTTTTTACCTGATCTCACTGTCAGGGCCACGCAATCCCTGACCATCGTGGCCGGCAACGCCAATGCAGCCGGATTTGTTAACGCTCCCTGACGAATCAGGCGAAACTTTTTATTATTGTGTTTTCCATGGCGCGTTTCACGCTGTCCGTCGAGTGTCACTCTCACTCTCGCATTGACACTTTAGGTTTATTATTGGATAGTGCAATAGAATGTCAAGGCGGATCGTATATAATTACTTTGTTTGCGCATCTGACCGGCCAATTTTGAAGTGTGAAGCGATCGCCGGTCGCCCTCGGCCAACCGAAATTTCCCACTCGGAGAAGATGTGATGGGATTCCCTTGGGTCGCGCGTGAAAAACGAGAGGGAAAATTTTTCATCCCAAGAATGTGGTGCAGTGACGCACGCCGCGTGAAAACCGGTCTCGACTTTTAACCTGATCCTTCGGCCACCAGCATAAATAAATTACAAGACAAAATCTTTCAAAAAAAACCCCAGTTAAACCAGTCCTGAGATATGTTTTCCCCAATGAAGACGTGGGCCACTAATTTGGCGATTTGAGTGCGCATAAGAAAGTGCGACCAATTTCATGAAGGTGACCATATATGAAACTTTTATCTTTGACCTAAACTGAGCGAAAAAAGAAATTTTAGTGTTATATAACATACCTTTCATTAATAAGTAGCAGAATGAAAAACGAGATTAAAAATTTAAAAAAAATCTATCATTGAGATATATTGGAACTTCCAGTCAATTTTGCATTATTTGCTCCTCAAATCAGTGGAATACAAAATTAAATTAAGAAAAAAAAATGGAAGACAGCAAAGCAAAGCGAGTCTTAGCAGATAGTTGTCTGCTAAAACGCTCTACATCAAAAGAGTCACGGTCGCCGCAGTGAACTCGCATATTGATTATTAAAGTGGTAACGGAATAAATATTTGTTGAACTTGAATGATCAAGAGTTTATTAATGTTTATTAGTAAATATTAAAAATTTAATTGAACGATTTTGATCATATTATTATTATAATTTTTTTTTTTTTTGATGAGGATCAAATATTTCGGGCTATCCTCGATCATCTGGTTAAATCTCTACAGATTAGTGGAATTAAAAATATAGAAAAAAAATTTTCACTTTATTTTTATTCAATTAAAATGTGAGAGTAAAAATACAGCTCAAATCAATGACGTTCTTAAATTTGATAAAAAAAAAATAGTGAGCGCACAACTTTGAGGCGTATATAGGAAATAATCCGTTCACCAATATACATTTCCTTTACTCTGATTTTTACTCATTATTTCATTGGCCGTTTCTTTTTGCCGATCTCTTTTCAAGGATGCGAAAGACGAGAAACAATGAGGTATGTCGGGATTTCAGTTTCCCTCTCAGCAATTTTCCGCAATTACGCGGTGTACTAAAAAAAATTCCCCGCCTCATCTGGCTTTTTTTGTAATTGCTGAGAGGTCTGCAAATTGAGTGGCTTCCTCAAGTGAATAAATAAATATAGAACAAATAGGAAATAACTTTCAAATTTGAAAACTTTTGATGTTTGGAGTGTTTAAAATAGGCGTGGGTGTATTTAGATGATAAAATAAAGTTGTGCCCGGTTGCGCCAGTTTTGAGTTTCAAAAGCTGTGACCCCATCATGTTGGTGATAAACAAAAGCAACTTGGTTCTTTTGACTAGTTTAGATTATTTTCTATGCTGGCCTACGTGTGGGATAGCTAATTGGTGCGTGAATGTTCTTCTGACGAAAATATACTCTCTTCAGTTGAAAATGCTGTTTAAAATTATTTAAGAAAAGTCTTTAAGTTATCTTTAAGTTTTAATGATCAACATCAGCAGCTGAAATTGGCAGGCCAAGCTATAATTATTTATTGCTAAAATAATCAATTTAAAATTGAATGGTACAGCAAAATATAAGTAAATAAATAATTGTATAACAAATTTAATTTAAGTGACCAAATGGCATCTAAATTGAATGGGAAAAAATTATTGTAATTTATAGGGATTTTTACTTAAAAAATTTAAAAAAAAAAGCATGAAAAGTTTCTTGTTTCTCTAATAAATGTGGAGCTGGACTGGAAATTACTGTTATTTGTTAGCTACAGGCAATATGAACAAACCCAAAAATCATCGATTATCGTGCAAAAACTAAAATTATAGTTTTTAAATATGTTACGTAATGCCAATTTTCAACAAAATTACTTGTTTAAACAAACATAATCATAATTACAGAACATTTCCTGGTCATTACCGGGCGAAACAATAAATAATTAGCCAGTGATTAGCGAAATTGGCAAATCACAAGAGGCGACTCGGTCGTCTGGTCGAGTGTGAAAGAAATCTCGCGTGCATCCCCTGACCTTGCACGCTCCACTTGGCCAAGAGTGCCCTTGAAACGGCCATACTTTGACTTCGCTGTCTTATTTTTCGCAGGAAGAAAAAAAAACAAAAATGCTGCCGGGCCTGAGTCGGAAGCTGTACAAGCCGTGGGTGCTACTCTTAGTGACCTCCGGCTACATCGTGGGCGAACTGGGCCACTATCTGATAGGGGTGACGTCGCGCGCCACCGCCAGGGACCTCCACTACGGCGACAAAGCGTGCCAGCTGAACGTGTCGTCCGGCGTGGGACACGGCGAGACGCCCATCGCCTGCGGCTCCGTCCTCAACCAGACCGAGTGCGTCCGACTGCACATGAATGGCACCTTTTACTGCGAATGGGACTACAACGGACTTGGTCTCGAGTACCAAATCCTGGCAGGTCCGTCTTACATCGCCGTATTCACAGTGGCCGGTATTTTCCTAGGTGTTGCCGCCGATAGGTAAAAATATTATAATTAAATGTATTTATTTAAAAATTTTGACTTTATTTTATCATTTGAACATTAATTAGGTATTTAATATAATTTATCAATAAAAAGTTTTTTTTAGCAATTCGTTTAAAGATTTTTTTTAATAAAATCTAAATTTAATACAAAAAAAAATTGAAAATATATTCCAATGGACAAAATTATGTAAATATTTTGTAAAATTATACTTTTTGCAGATACAACCGCGTCAATATGTTAGCCGTTTGCACACTTATCTTCAGCATAGCAACATTCTTCATGGGTGCCGTTGATCATTACTGGGAACTGACTGTTCTACGAATGATTCTTGCTTTTGGGTACAAATTAATTTAATCTTATGTAATTTAATTAATCTTTAATTTAATAACAGTGAGGCTGGCTGCAATCCCATGGCGGCAGGAATACTTTCAGATCTGTTTGCCGAGGTAAGGGAATTTGAATATTTTTATAATCGTCGTGTTTGAAACTCTTGTTTGCAGGAATATCGTGGGCTTGTGATGTCAATCTTCAACTGGGGCATTTACGGGGGCTACGGTATCGCTTTCCCAGTTGGCCGATACGTAACAGCGGCCAACATTTGGGATCTTGGCTGGAGGCTCAGTTATTATGCTGGAGGATTCATCGGACTGATTCTGGCGCTCCTCACCTTCTTCACTCTGCGCGAACCTCAGCGCCAAGCCATCGGCGAGGAGCGAAACAATACGACCGGGGAAAAGGTAATTTTTGCGCGCAAGAAAATAATTAAGTTAATTTCATCTTTATTAATTTTGATATTTCCCCCAGTTTAAAAACCATGAAATTTTGATTGAAAGTTAATGCTGAAATTTTTACTTATTCAATAAGTAAATTTTAAACGTTTTTAATTAACAATTAAACTTAATAATTGTTTTTATCATGAATTAATATTTTAAATTTAAATACATAAAATGATCAAGCTTTTAGAAAAAATAAACTTTCAAACTATTCAAAATTAATTAAATTTAAAATGCTAATTATTATTTTAGGTGACCCTGTGGCAAGTGGTGAGCCAGCCGCGTATGGTACTTTTGTGCCTGGCCGCGTCGATTCGGCACATGGGCGGCTTGTGCTTTGCCTACAACTGCGACCTGTACTACCAAACCTATTTCCCAGAGGTCGATCTGGGCTGGTGGCTTTTTGCGGTGACAATTTGCATTGGATCGGTCGGTGTGGTTGCGGGAGGGGTGCTTTCTGACAAGGTCGTGGCCACAATGGGGGTCAAGTCGCGTCTGGCCATTCTCGCCCTCAGCCAGCTCATCGCCAGCCCACTCGCCTTCGGCAGCGTTTACTTTGAGCCCTTGGGCGCCATGATTAGTCTCGCCTGTTCCTACATCTTTGCCGAGATGTGGTTTGGCATTCTTTTCGCAATTCTTGTCGAAATTGTGCCTCTGGCCGTCAGGTAAAGCCCTAATTTGTAATTTCACGGAAAGGTCAACTGAAATAATTGTTTTTTTTAGGTCCACCACACTGGGTCTTTTCCTCTTTTTCATGAACAACATTGGAGGAAACTTGCCTGTTCTGGTGGAGCCTCTTTCAAAATCTATTGGATACAGAGAGTCCCTCTGGGTGTTTTACGTTGGAGCGTACTTTCTAAGTAAGTTCTTAAATTAATTAGTTAAACTAATTTCTATTTATTTTTTCTAAATAATTATTCGTCTTTAGAAAAACATCGCTTTAAATTTGTTTATTTTTTGTAAAGGTTAATTTTGTCCCCAAACAATTTGTAAAATTCAACCAGTTTGTTGAAAAATCAGAGAACCCAAATTTTATCGTTCCTTTATGGATCACTTCAAATTTGATTATGGAGCGAAGTCTTACCTTTATTTGGTTGCAGGCTCAATTCTCTTCCTCTTGACCATGTTCCTGATGGAGCCAAAGGTGTCCCCTAAACCAGCCTTGGAAGCACCTCCGCAACGAACCAAGGGTCTTGACAACACGGCCTTTGAAGCCGAAAGCTGCCGACTGTGATGCCTCTCTGCCGACTCAATAATTGTGTACAAATAATTTAAATAAAATAAATCAGAAAGCAAGTGTGTATTTTTAGAGAAAATTACTGCAGACTTTTCTTTTAATTCAGTCTCTGAAAACAATAGTTGACTTTTTATTTTAAGTTCTTACGTCTACATCAACACTGGGCAAATGAGATAATTAAGCGCAAAGTGTATGTACAGTCAGTGGTGAGAGGTCAGATCAAAAAGAAGTGCCAAGTCACGAGGCAAGCCATGGGTGGTTCTTCAAGGACTCTCGAGAGCGGTCACCGTAGTCGTACAGCAGCTCCATGCCGGCCTCGATACGCTCCTTGGCCACGAGAAAGAGCCGAGGTCGACGCTTCACCTCCACTGTCCGCGTCTGCAAATTGCCTTGGCGGCTGTGGTTCACCAGACGACCCATTCGACCAGTCTCTGCGGTCGCGTCCACACTGGAAGTTTCCCTTTGAGCAAAGGTGCGGACGGCTTTTGTTCGAGACTCACCAATACTGGGTGGCTCCGTGACGAAAATAGTACATGTAGCAGCCCATGTTTTGGTCAGCAGCGTACATCTGCTCTCTCAGGCGAGCCTCTTTCAAATCGATGAGGTCGCCTGCATACTCGACCACCAACTCGCCCTTCTCGAGGGTCCTGAAAGTACGATTTATTGCAAGCGTTGTAATTTAAAAGGCAAATTAGAGAATTAAGAAAAAATATTGATTGTGAAAAGGTGATCAAGTCTAGTAGAAAATTAAAATACCTTGTGGCAATAACACCGCGCCCTTTTCCATCAAAGTGACAAACGGTAAGGTGATCCTCTGTAAGAGAAAGTACGGCCTCCTCCAAACTCTTCTGTCTCTCTAGTTCGAGAGCCTTTTTAGGCCGTCGCGAGGATCTTCGGACGGGGAAGAATTCACTAATAGACCTTTGGGAACACTCCTTAAGCACCTGCTCGCTGCAAATTTGGAATTGTTATCAATCAGAACCAACTTCTGTGAGAAAAATTTCTAAAAATTTTACCTTGGCCGCTCGTCGACCAGCTTAATTTTGTGCGGCGGAGAGGCCGTGTCTGGGGACGCCCCTCGGGCCACCTCCGCGGCCACCCCCGGTGAGCCAACTGACTTCAGGAACTTGGTGATAGGCGTCTGAGGGTCGACGGTCTTTTTCGACCGTCCCGCCGTCGGCGCCCGCCTACTTCTCACCATAGCTGCAAGCTTCGTCTTCGGAAACCTTCAAGCTGCCGCTTTTGTCTCACTTCTTTGAGTTTTGAAGCAATTTTTGCACAAAAACAAGAGACGCTTTATGAAATTATAACCTGTGCACGATTATTTTATGGTAATGACGGAAATTACGGAAAAAGTGGGGGGTTTAAACGACGCTGCTGCCATCTGTAAATTCAACATACCTTGCATATTTATACCGGTATTTTTGCAATTCAAAATTTTAAAAATAAAGATTTTTTAATAATTTTTACATTCTCTCTACACATAATTACTACCAAATTAAATTATTACGAAATTTTTATTAAAAATGGAAAAATATTAATGAAAATGCATACATGATTCAATATTCTGCTACTTTGGAAAACCGGTTTTCATTTTTATTTAAATTTACCGGTATATTTGATCAAAACAACATTGAAAAAGCAAAGAAGCATTTTAGCCTTGCATTTTAGCAGACCTTTAACGGCCGTTTAAACATTGCTGCCAACAATACAAAGAAAATATTGTCGGTGATGTGTAAAATATTGAAGAAAATGATGAAAGTAGAAATCAAAATATTTTAATTTGATTAAAAATAAATTTAATCAGTCGATTTTCACTGTTTTTCAGAATTTTCAAATATGTGTAGAACATAACTTTATCAACATTGTGTGCTGGCTGCCATGCACAAATTGAATACAAAACGCGGTAAGACGAAAGAAAAACAAAAATGGCGGAAGCCCTCGCGGAGTTGGAACAATTTTTGGGCAGCGATGTAAGACCAGACTTGAAGGATCAGGCGCTGCAACATATATTAGGTTTGTGTCATGTTTTTTCGTTGAGCCATTCTTTATTTTATTGATTAATCATCAACATTTCAGGAATCAGCGCGTCTGATGAAGGAAGACGTTTGTTTTTAGAGGCCCCTGGGCTCGTGGGTGCCTTGCTGGAGGTCATAGGCCACTGGAATACACCTTCCCTTGCAAGAGATGCTGCTCTTGCCCTAATTAACCTCTCAGCATCACCTCTCCTGAGTAAATTTCTTCACGAAAAGGTTATTTTAGGTTTTTATAATTAAATCTGTTGGAAAATTAATTCTTTACACACAAAACAAAAAGCCAATAATAATAATTATTAATTTTAGAAGATTTATATTATTATTTTTGTTTCAGGGTGGAGTTGAAGCGTTACTAAAATTCAGCCTTGATCCCGAAAGCCCTGTAGCGGACCCAGCACTTATGACCCTTTGTAATATTACGAGAGATTCCAAAGCAGTGGAATCAGCTTGGCCTACCCTGGAGTCTCAGCTGTGTGAAATTTTGAAAGCCCTTTCCCATGTTGAATACAACAAAAAAGGACAAACCCTTCACTATCTGGCTCCACTAATTTCCAACTTGACTCAACTGGCTGCTGCTCGGAGTTTGTTGCTTAAGGGAACTGGACTTATGACCCTGGCTGCATTCACCAGATTCGAGGCTTCCGTTGTGAGAAGAGGTGGCGTAGTGTCTGCTTTGCGCAATTTGTGCTTCGAAGACGCAGCCGTGGACTTTGCAAACGATTTGCTGCCTCCCCTTCTGTTGCCAATTGCAGCATCCGATACTGCGTACACTGATGAAGAGACAGAAAAGTTGCACATCGACTTACAATTTCTACCTCCTGAGCACCAGAGAGAATTAGACCCGGACCTGCGCCGACTTATCCTTGAGGCTCTGTCTCAGTTGGCTGCCACTAAAGAAGGCCGAGAAGCGCTTCGTGAAAATGGCACTTATCTTGTTCTTCGAGAACTTCATAAGTAATGTCCTTAAATTTTAAATTAGCATGCGTTATTTGTTCAATTACGCTCTACTCGATATGCATTTTGTTTATGTTGTTGCAGACATATTGATTTAAAATGAATCATGTAAACAAACAGTCTAGTAATTGAATTTTTGAAATGACTCAGAAAGTGAGAAAGCTAAGAAACTAATTTTGCTTTTTCCCGCAGATGGGAAGAGGATCGAGAGGCGTTATTAGCGTGCCAGAATTTAGCGGAGTTATTAATCAGGACTGAGGATGAAATTGGTGTGGATGATCTGAAAAAGTTGGATGTTCCACAGCACCTAGTTACTTCTTTCGAAGCCATGGACAAAGACTTTCTTGGGTTAAAAGAATAAGTTTCAAAATTGGTGATGACAATAAATTTTTTTGTATATTATTCGATTAATCTGATATAATTATAACATGTAACACCTGATCATTTTCAAGATAGTTAGATCTGACTACTTAACTATCTGAGTAATTGAATTCATCAAATTTTAATAAAAAGTGAATTACAATCTCCAAGTCGTAACATATAGAAAGAAATTGTTAGGTTAGCAAAAAAATTATAGGGGACAAGTTAAAATTAAAAATTCTTAGAAACCATTTTAACCTAAACTGAAAGAGCTGATTCCACTTTCATTTTAACCATTAGGTGCAGCTGTTTAAAAAAATTTGCCCCAGCAAATATATCTTTTCGTGCAGTCATCGACCTTTAGTAGCCGTTTATCCCTGACCCAAGGTCACAAAATAAAGAATAAGATTAAGAGATAAATTGCTAGCTACGCGGTAGGCTTTAAAGCAGCTCGGAGACGCTATACAACCAGTTTGGCTTCAGCTGCAGATCAAGCAACACAGCGAAAAAGGTAAAAAATAAATTTCGTGAATTAAACGCGCTTTATATTTAAGACAAGCTTAAATACAATAATTTAAATGTCCTATTATTTCTAGTTTTTGTAATTTTTTGTTTAATCAGAATTATTTTCAACATACTGCGCGATGCAGAAAAATGCTGTTTGAATTAATTAGAGGTCCTATTAGATAATTTATTTTATAGAAATTTCATTTTTAATAATTAATAATAATATTGCTTAATCTAAAATTATTAATAACTAATAACCCTTTATGAATATTTCAACCGCGTGCAAGGGAAGGCGCAAAAATTAAATATTTTGGTATGTATGTAATTTCATATATAAAATAAAACCGGGTTCAACAACCATGCGTTCATCGCACTCCTTCGAGAGGCAGGTATGTTATAGCCGAAACATGCCCCCCGCGACCTGCAAGACCTTGAAAAACAAGTTAAGAGCGACAAAGATCTGGCCAGGCACAAGACAATAATTTACGAAACATCTGAGACAGCAAAGCAATAAATATCTTTGCTCAATTCTCTTTAATTTTTGTTCTCAGATAAAATGCAGCAAATAGCGTTTGCTGCTTTTGTGGCCCTCTCAATTGCAGGGGTGGTCTCTGGGCTCGACAATGGCCTTTCCCTCACACCTCCAATGGGCTGGTTGGCCTGGGAGAGGTTCAGGTGCATTACAAACTGCACCTTGTACCCTGACGACTGCATCAGGTATGATAAAACGCTTAATTGGATTTTAATGATTTCTCAACATCAAAATATAATTATATGATAATATTTCATGCGACGTATAAATATTTTTAGTGACAAGTTGTTCCGCACAATGGCCGATTTGCTGGTCTCCCAGGGCTATGCTGCAGTTGGTTACGATTACATCAACATTGATGATTGTTGGCTATCTAAGGAGCGGGACGCCAATGGTCGTCTCCAAGCGGATCCGGAGCGCTTCCCTTACGGCATCAAAGACCTCGCAGCTTACGTCCACTCCAAAGGATTGAAGTTCGGGATTTACGAAGATTTTGGTAATTTCACTTGCGCCGGCTACCCTGGAGTCATTGATAACTTAAAATTGGACGCCGAGACTTTTGCATCTTGGGACGTGGACTATGTCAAACTGGACGGCTGCTACGCTGAACTTGTGGACATGGAAACTGGTTTGCTCTTTGAATTAAATTCATCCATACTTAAATTTTATTCAACTTCAAATAATTAGGCTACCCCGAGTTTGGATTCCACATGAATCAAACTGGTCGACCTATGGTTTACTCGTGCAGTTGGCCAGCTTATCAAACTGAGAAGGGAATTGATGTCGGTTTATATATTATTCAAACCACGTGGAAATTAAAAAATAAAATTCTAGCCCAACTACACAGTACTTGCGCAGCACTGCAACCTGTGGCGGAACTACGACGACATCCAAGACTCGTACGCTAGCCTGCGTCACATCCTCGACTACTTTGGTCAAAAGCAGGACGATATGGGCCCCTTTGCCGGCCCTGGCCACTGGAATGACCCCGACATGCTGCTTATTGGAAACTATGGTCTCAGTTTGGACCAGAGCAAGTTACAAATGGCCCTCTGGGCTATTCTAGCCGCCCCTCTCTTCATGTCCACTGACCTCCGCACAATCCGCCCGGAGCACAAGGAGATTTTGCAGAACACCCGAATCATTGCCATTGACCAGGACCCTCTTGGCATTCAGGGCCGAATTGTTTACAATGTAAAATACAAAAGATTATTTAAAAAAGGAAATTAACTTGCAAATAAATTAGGTGAGCAAAATAGAAATTTGGACTAGGAAGATCACACCAGTTGAGGGAGATCAATATTCTTTCGCGATTGCCGTTGCTAGTCGCAGAGATGACGGCTACCCTTACAGGATTCAGGTTCCTTTGAAAGACATTGGCCTGACAAACCCTGCCGGTTACATGGTTCAGGTAATCAAGTCATTGCAAGTTTTTTCTGCTATTAATTCCGAACAATTTTAAGGACTTGTATGGAGATGAAACCGAAACTCTATTGGTGCCCGAATCGCTGATTGACGTCAGAGTGAATCCATCAGGTAAATTATCAAACTACTGAGGTTGCAATTAAATTTCCAATATGACCAACAGGTACTGTTTTCTGGAGAGCTAATATCGTTGTCTCCACTCCAAGTGTGACTAAAATAAAGTAAGACGTATTTACGGTTGAAAGGCAAATTACAGAAGGCAGGTTAGAGCTTCAGATTTTTTTATTATGCTAAAAGCAAGCACATGAATTTGAAACAATTAAATTTGCATTATAAAAAATTGAAAAAATTTCGTTTAATTAAAATGTACCCTGAAATTAAGGTTGCAATCCATTGGAAGACAACATATTTAATAACAGGCAAACTTGATTTCCACAGCAGGGAAAAGGCTCCAGTGGAATGGTCTACCAGAGCGGCAAAAACTGTGGCTTGAGTTTAATCGTATCGTTTGTAAAACATTATTCAACTGCAAATATTTATCTCGTCACAATAGCTATTAAGAGTTTCCAAAAAATTTAAAAATTGCTTTGATATATTTATAAAAAAAAAAAAAAAAATTAAATCCTCAACGTCAGATGTGGCTTTTAATTTAAAATGATAGACAACACAATCAGCTCCAGAAAACAGTCCATTGATCATTGGATCTAAATTGCGATTTTTAGGCAGTTTCCCCTCCTCTTTTAATATGTAGACTTCAAGAATAAATACCACTCAGATCAATGTATGAACACGAAATAAACTGTTGAAGTTGTAGCAACTCACTTTATTAGAAGGTAAAGAGGAGACAGATGGAATTACTTGGTGGGCGCGCTCTGTGATGAAGATTTAGAGTCGCGCATGGATGCCGATCTCCTCCTCTTCTCAGAGAGCCGACGATCCTTAGCCTCCTTCTGACGAACAGCCAACAGCTTGGCATACTCAGTCGCCTGGTCCTTGGCCTTGAGGGCGCGCTTCTTCTTGAGCGCTGCGCGATGCCTCTTGCGCTGCAAAAATAATTACCATACGTTGAGCAGAGAACAAAAAAATTGTGCGCGGTTGTGAATATTTAAAGATATGTGTAGGACCTTAACACTGAGGATGCGCCACAAAGGCTGAACCCTCAAATCGAGAGGACCAAATTTCTTTCCCACAAAATGAACACTCTTCAGACCCAAGTCTAAGAGATACCTGGATGTGGTGCAACAAATTTAAGATTTAATTATGGTTTTACTTGGATGGTGACTGGAGTGATGAGGCGTTGGATCTTAGGGGCCTTGAAGCGCTGCTTGGTCTTTCCCTCCTTAAGGGGAAGGGCTCTCTTGATCACGTACTGCCTTACGTCGTCTTCCTTGGTAAGGTTGAACAACTTGCGGATCTTTGACGCCCTCTTGGGGCCCAGTCTGCGTGGAACAGAGCCGTCGGTCAGCCCTGGGATTTCCTGTTAAAATTATCAACATTAATGATTTTTCTCTTAAATTAAAATAATTTTACTAAGAAACAATTTAATTAAATGTAAATGCTTGTCAGCAGTCCCAAATTAAAGAAAGAGGCACTATAAAGTGACAAGCAATTGGTTTACTTTCACAGTATTGAAACGCCGAAGCCGACAATTAGAGACCGACACGGAGCTGGTACTGTGATGTAAAAAAACTTTATTTTTAAGATCAATGTCTTACATTGTCTCCCTTCTTGACAATGACGAGGGCAAGGACACTGAGGTTTCCGTCAACAATGCAACCACGCACAGACTTGCGTTTCCTCTCACCCGTCCTCCTTGGTCGGTAGCACGAGTGGCCCTTGGACAGGAGCAGACGAACACGACCTGTGTTCAAATAAGAGAAAAAAAAATTAATTTCATCATTATTGTTACAAGGCAAAATTTCTTGGTACTCTCATTATTTGTACCAGTGTTAGAGTTCCAGCCCTTCATAAAAAGGGACGGCATAGCGACAATTGGATTTTCTGTTGCATCAATATTTTAAGAAAAATTTGCATCCCTTTGAATGCAGGACACATTTAAATGATGCTTCTATCATTTTGTTATTTATTTTAAAATTAAACTTACTGTTAGTAAGGACACCCTGCTTCATAGGAAACCCTTGCTTGTCGTTGCCGCCGGCAACACGTACGACGTAGCCTTTCCAGTCGTCGCCGAGCGAGTCGGCTTCGACTTCGGCACCCATACGCTTTTCATAGAAAACTCGAAGTTTATGCTCATCAACGATTTCGAAAAGCTTTTGGCAACCCGTGGCCGGGTACGACACGTTCAACTGAAACCAAGAAAAGTGCGATTAACATCAACAACAAAAATTGGGTCTGCAGTAACAAATCAACAAGCCATGCTGCAGCCCCCAACGATCCTTAATTATCAGGTCATCGACGAGACAATCGTCCCCAAAATTGCGTTTATGCCTTGGCGAATAAGACAGGCGATAGAGCTGCCCGGATATTTAAGCACCCCTATGCGAAATTTAGTCTAATATTCACAAAATTACCTTCATGATGTGCCGCTAAAAATGACCTACGCGTGCCACATTGAAAATTAGAAAGAGGCTGCACGTCAACTAAAAAGTCGAACGCATCGCGGCGCTGCAGTCGCTCTCCCACTCCCAACTCTCCCAAGCGCGTAGTTCAAATTTTCCCTCCAGAATGGCGCACGGCATGGCTTGCAGCTGATGAGACTGTTTTTGTTTTACAGAAATTTTATTTTTCGAGTTCTTTTGCTGGAATTCTGATTTACACACTAAATTTATCGTGATTGACCGCTTACTATCTTTAAAATAGAGCTGTAACCTAACAAACGAAGTAAACGAACGCGTCGAACCCATCACAGGCTCAAATCTGAAAAAATCATGTTTGTATAAATACAGAAGTTATTATATAATTATTGTTATTTTGAAGATTTTTTAATATATATAAGTATTTGTTGCAGTTTTCTAAAAAAAGATGAATCAGTTGATTTAAAGAACATGAATATGTGTAAATTACATTATAACACAACTCAATTTTCAGGTTTGAGGACAACATCTTCCAGCAGACATGATTTCGTCAAAGTTTCCGCACAATTTAAGGCCACAAACGTATCTGCTCTTAGCCAGAAGTTACAGTAAAACAAGCTGTGTTCCTCAGCCTGGTGAGAGCACTCCGTCGGCAAGAGATGTCAACGCAAAGTCGAAGGGAATTAAAGTGTCCAAGAAGCGGAAGTTCAATGTTACGAAAGTGCTGGACGAATTTAAAGCTCTTGGCGAAAGTTCATTAGAACCGTCCTTGAACAATGAATTGTTTGCATCCATCAATAAAACGCATTACACGGAAAGAAGAAATGAAGTCAACATTGAAATGTTGCCAGAGCCTCTTTTCAAAAAGATTTTTGGCAACGACAAAGGTGTGCCTCAGTCAGCAATCAAACTCAAGCTGGCTAGAGAACATCTGCAGAAACACGACCTGTTGGAAAAAGTCGATCCGCCTCTCCCTCAAATCAACTTCCCACTACCTGCTCTGAAGGTAATTTTAAAATTAAAATTTAATTATAAGTGACAAAGTATTTTTTGTTCTTATTATTAGGGAAAGAATATCGAGGAGCACTTTTTCCGCATAGCTGAAGAGCAAAGTGTTGCCTATCGAGAGCTACTGAAGCAACTTACGAGTTCCAATATCCCAAATTTACCTGAGAGATGGTCAACTGCAGCAGGCTGGACAAAATATGCCCTTCACAGACCACCTGAACCAGTCCCTTTTCCTGATGAAGACTGCCTTGTTTTTGATATTGAAGAGTGCATGGGTGCTGGTCTGGGACCAACAATGGCAGTTGCTTTGGCACCAGGAGGCTGGTACGCCTGGGTTGCGACACCTTTGGCCCAAGTGCTTGACGGAGGAGCGATTCCTCCTCCGAAGGAGCACTTGAGTCCTCTCGATCTCATCAATCTTGAAACACCGCCCGACTGCAAAGTTCATCGTTCCGAGTCAAAACCAAAAGCAAGTGATTTATAAAAATTTGATTTGATTAATTAAAACAAATTGCATTTTTAGGTTGTCGTTGCTCACAATGCATCTTTTGATCGGGCAAGGGTCAAAGAGCAATACTGGCTGAAGCCCAGTCTCACTCGTTTTGTGGACACTATGTCCTTGCATGTGTGTGTCAGCGGAATCAGCAGTTTTCAAAAAAGCCAACTTGTCAGCAAGAAAGCAACAGCCGACGATGAGGTTCATTTTGAGAATATTCCCGGAGAAGAATGGAAAGAGCAGAGCTCACTTAGTAATCTCAGCGATGTCCACAAACTATACTGCGGGGGCAAAGGCCTGGACAAAACGGCCAGAGACCTTTTTGTTAAAGGCAACCTCTCGGATATTGCTGAGAACTTTCAGGTAAAGATTGGTTATTCAACATTCAAACTGAATTTGTTTTCATGAAATTATTTCCAGGAATCGATGAAGTATTGCGCCTTAGATGTGAAAGCTACTCACGAGGTTTTGCAGAAGGTGTGGTCGCTGTTCCTACAAAGATTTCCACATCCAGCTACCTTTGCAGGCATGCTGGAAATGTCTGTTGCTTATTTACCAGTTAGTAATGCGTGGAAAGATTATGTGGCATCGTCAAACGAGAGCTATGAAAAGGTTGAGGTGCAAATCAAACAAAATCTCTGCTCAGCTGCCGACGAAGCTTGCGCTCTCCTGCACAACGAGCAGTACAAGGATGATCCGTGGCTCTGGGATCTAGACTGGAGCACACAAGAACTGAAGCTGAAAAAGTTTGCATCAAAGGCTACCGATCTAGATTGGGACAAAGAAGACCAAACTGATCCTCTGGCGCAGAAATTCCGGTATCTTGTCCAGTTAAGGGCTTATTTGCCATCAAGACTGCCACACTTGCCAGGTAATTATCAGGGAAAATTTATAAGTTATAAACCTGCAAGTGTTAAGAACTTGACGGGATATTTTTTCAAATGTTTAATAATTTGATAATGTTGCTCCAGGGTACCCAGCATGGTACAGAGCCTTGTGCCCACGTATTAATTCCGCAGACTGGGTGTCGGAAGGAGCAACACTGATTTCTCCAAGCATGTTAGTGACACCAAAATTACTTCGGCTCTCATGGGAAGGATATCCTCTGCACAAAGTGAAGGATCAAGGCTGGGGATTCTTAATTCCAGGTCGGCCTCCTTCATACCTTGATTCGACAGAAAGTCCCGCTTCTCCCGAGGAAAAAATTATAGAAGTATGCAAGAGAAACCAAGCTCTCCTGCCAATCACCCAAATGGAGATCAATGAAGAGTTTGAAATGAAAATGTCAAAGATTGGCTCCCGTAAAAAACACAGCATTCAGCCTCCAAAATGGTACAAGGGATTGGGCTTATTCTGCCCAGACGTAGCAATCCCAGGCCTTTGGTTTATGCGTCTGCCCCATCCAGGAGGGACACACCTCAAGGTTGAAATTGCAATTATTTTGCATGGTTCAGTATCAATTTTGAATTTTATTTTTAGGTGGGCAATCCTCTGTCCAAGGAATTTGTGACCAGATTTTCCGAGGGCACTTTGAAAGGAGAGGGCGAACCTGGCAAAGTGCTGCACTTGAGCAACACTAGTTCCTATTGGAAAAACAATCGCGAGCGAATAGAATCCCAGCAAGTTGTTTGGCTTGACAAAGAATCCCTCCCACATTGTGTTTCCAGAGTTAAAAGCAAGCAGTTCGGAGCAATTTTGCCGCAGTTGATTGTGGCGGGCACCTTGACAAGACGTGCCGTTGAAAGTACTTGGCTCACTGCCTCAAACGCAGATTCTCAACGCATAGGCTCCGAATTAAGGGCAATGGTGCATGCACCCCCTGGCTACCATATGGTTGGTGCTGATGTCGATTCACAGGTGTGCAGTTAATTAAAGATTTTTGTGTAACACCAAATTTTTATAATTATTTTAAAGGAATTGTGGCTTGCCGCTTTGCTGGGAGACGCATCTTTTGCAGGGGTTCACGGAGCAACTGCTTTTGGCTGGAGAACCTTGCAAGGGAAGAAATCTTTGGGAACGGATTTGCACAGCGCCACAGCTAAAGCAGCTGGCGCTTCAAGACAGCACGCAAAAATAATGAATTATGCGCGCATTTACGGCGCCGGTCAGAATTTTGCACAGCTGCTTTTGAAAAGATTTTGTCCAGAGATGAGTGAAGAGCAGTGCAGGAAGGCTGCAATCAACACTTTAACTCTCACAAAAGGAAAGAGACTCTTTTCCATCCCTGTGCAAGCCTTTAGAATTCTTTTCGACAAACAGCTTTTAACTGCAGAGGACAAATCAAGTGACAAGCTTTTTAGCACATCTCTAGGAAATAAGTTTGGCTTTATCAGTGATGCCGGTATAATTAGATTCAAACCTCCTGTTAATTGTTATTGACGAATACTTTCTGCAGGTGAAATTTTACTTACAAAACCCGAACTCGACATGCTGCGGGGATTCGAAAAGGCTAGTGGAGTGAAGTGGATACAAAGCGCAAGTGCAAAGGCTCGATCGGTTTGGCATGGAGGCACTGAATCAGCCATGTTCAACAAACTCGAGGACATTGCAAATTCCCCATGTCCTGCTACCCCATTCTTGTCAGCACGGCTCAGTAGGGCACTGGAGCCAAAGACTGTTGGCACTTTCAATTTTCTAACTACCAGAGTGAATTGGGTCGTTCAGAGCAGCGCTGTAGACTTCCTGCATCTTATGCTTATAAGCATGCGATGGCTTCTTGGCGACCATGCCGACTTTCGATTTGTGCTCAGCTTTCATGACGAGGTCAGGTACCTTGTGCAGTCCGCCAGAAGGTGATTCGTTGTTTTTATTTTTTGAAAAGTATTTTTTAAACTACTTATAATTACTCAGGTATGAGGCTGCAACGGCTCTCCATGCCACAAATCTGTTAGTACGCTCGTTTTGTGCACGACGAGTTGGAATTCATGATCTCCCTCACTCGGTGGCTTTCTTCTCTGGCGTCGAAGTGGACAAAGCAATGCGCAAGGATGCCACTAGCGAATGTGTTACCCCATCGAACCCCAATGGTATGTCTGTCACCTACGGCATTCCTCAAGGAGAGACTTTGGATGTTTATCAAGCACTTGAGAAAGTAGGATCAAATCCATTCAAAAGATTGACTAGGAGAAAGTTCAGTATTTACGAGTACTGTGGACTACACGAAGACTTCACGAATGAATATTCAAAGTGAAATGACATTCATGTTTGCTAAAATTCGTTTTTTGCCTGATTTTATTGAGCAGAATAAAAAAATATCAATACACATTAGATCATTTTACTTGATGCTTAAAACTGCCTAATTGAGGAATTCATTTGCCCATATTTTCTGTCATTCTCTTCATGAAATTTGTTAAACTATCAAATGTGTCTCTCCAATTATCATAGTAATTCAACTGCAAAATTGGAGAGCGTCAGATACGAGTACACATAAAATTAAAAATTCTTACATTCTTTGCTGCCCACTTAGAAATAGATTGTGTTGCTCTGCTATTTGGGGAGAAGCGATCGTCAAGCAGAATAATTGCACCCCAATCATTTTTATGGCGAATGCACCTTCCAAGGGCCTGATTGATGGCTCTACATAAATCAAAATCAACTTCCTTTCTATTTTTAGTCAAATATCTGGAATACCTGAATGCTTGAATTTCGTACCACTGGTTGCCAGGAAGAAGCTGACGGTGCTGGTTTTTGTCATTGTATTGCTTCTTAAGTTTGACATTCATGTCTTTAACGTTAGGAAACGGAATGCTCACTGTGATGACTGCTCGTGCGTGATTATCTCGAAAGTCGATTCCTTCACTCACTTTTCCTCTGCACACAGCCAGCAAAAGAGCCCCTGTCTGTGTCTGATGGCCTGTTTTTATTTCTAGTTAAAAGATGCATAAACTTATAAATTTCATTACGGCCAGATTCTGCTCTTCTAATAGAATCATCAAAGTTTGCCATGGCGTCTGCAAAATCCTTCACCTGGCGAGGCTCCACAATCACATCTTTCATGGCTGTCAGTTTGTGCCACGTGCCAGTCATTTGCCATCTGAAAAGTTTAAAATTCTAAAAGTGTTTCTTGGCTTATAGACTGTAATATAAAAACCTTTTTAAGACATTTTCAAGAGATGCATAAGAGGGGAAGAAGCATAGCACACCAAATGGAACAACAGAGCAAATCTGTAGAATGGACAAGCCTACTTCATCCTGGTAATCAATGGTTACGGCGTTTCTATAAACACCATTGATTGCGCGACCACGCGGACCACAGGCAACACTGCCGACCCAAACCTGCAGAGCAATTATTTGATTATTCAAAGCAACATTTAATTTCGTAAAAATTTACCGTTGGAAAATCTTTTTATTTCCCATTTGTAAATTCTGTAAATTTAACCAATTTTTCAATCCTTTATTTACCTGTGATGGGCTAATGACATGATCAGTAGAGAGGCTGTGAGGGAATTTTGCACCCAGCTCTGATTGAAATGAACTCATTGGAGAAAGGGTGCCTGAAGTCACAATCACACTGCGTGACTGGTCGAAGTCAGAAAATCCAACGGCAGGATTCATGCACCAGATGTGAAGACCCAAATAAACCTGCACATCCAGTGCAGACTTGCCCTGCCACCCGCCTTCAGAGGGTCCCTAAATGAAAAATTTACATGAGTTGAAAAACAAGCTTGCACAAAAATTACTTCTTTGTAAAACTTGGAAGCGGTTTCGAAGAGGACAACGTTGTAATCATTTCGGTTGGAGAGATTTTCGCTAAATACTCTAGTCATGACCAACTTAAGGCCGTCTACCATCGTCTTAAGCTGTGGTGATGCTTTGAACATGTCCTCGATTTCTTTCTTCCCAACGGCTTTTGGGTCTTCTCCTATTTTTAGTTCATGGCTCTCTTTGTTTTCATCGTCATCATCCTCGGCTTGTGCTCTTCCAGCACTACTATTCCCACCTTCGTCAGAAAACACTGCTTCTGCAGAACTCTGCAATTGTATAAATTTGTAAGCTTTTTTTTTTTTTAAATATATCACTTTGCAGACAAACCATAAACAGATCAAATTGTTTTTCGTCAAAGCCTGCAACTTCAATCTCATTTGCAAATTGGCTTCCGCTAAACGTGAATGTTCGCTCTCTGGAACCAGAGTCCTCTAGTCGAAGCTTGCTGGACGTTCCATTCATCCAGTTTCCAAAGATACACAGACTCTCTTTCTGAACAGTAAAGCAAGTTATAGTAGAAAACTTACAATAAGTTCAAATAATTTCTCACCAATTTTGCACAGGCAGTCTTTCTGCTGCTAATAATTGTCCCCAAGTCACAATTTTTAACAGCCTCTTCCAGCTCTTTGGTGGTGAATGTAAAACTATTGGACTCCCTGAACGCATCCTCAATGTTATGTGCCTCGTCGAATAAAATAATGTTGTCCGACAGATTGATGTTCATCTATATCAGCACATGGAACTGAGCTGAAATTAAAATTTGGCAATTCACTCACCGATTTCCTAATGAGTGGGTCAACAATGTAGTTGTAAGGGCAAAATATGATATCTGCAGACATCATCAGATCTCTTGCTGCAAAGTACGGACAAATGCCAAACTTCCTGCCTCCTGTTACTAACTCTTCAATGTCCCAAGGTTCTTCATTTAATTCCATTGCCTCCATCAATTGGCCAATATGGTACTTTGCCAAATTATTCTTGTATGCACAGCCAGGCTGTAAACTGAAATTATAATGTAAATAACTAAAATTTTGGCTAAAGCCACCTTTTTTTGGATCCCCTTTCTATTTTGATCATCATCTTGACCCCTCGTTTCCAACAGAGCCTTGCACATTTCTGTTTTGTTTTTGAAAGGTTCTTCCAACCATTTGATGCAGGAGTGCTCCCTGCTGCTCAAAATGGTCATTCTGCACGAAAATTAATTTGTTGATATTTCATTAAAAAACAAGCAGGAAATTCATACTTAGCATTCCCATACGGAGTGCGCTTGAGCTCGTCAACAACCTGAGCAATTTGCTTGTGGGTTCTAGTGGCAAAGAAGATTTTCGGCACCCTGAAATAAAAATATAATATTATGTACAATTGAATGGACTTGCCAATCGTCGCATTAACCTTGCCCTCCTGGGTATGTCGCAGGATTCCTCCTCAGCACTGTCTGCATCATTTACGAGCTTAACCTTGGGGATCTTTGCAGGTTGCTTTTTCACAGACTGAGGTGTGCTCTTTTCAGATCCTATTTTTTTCTGCATAAACAAAAAATTAGACACACATAAGTGAATTTTTAAAGAAAGTGATATTGTACCATATGCTTCTTCTTTGGAGATTTGAAGTCATCGTCAGAATCCCCTTTATCACAGTCAAAACTGCTTGCTGCAAAATTTGAGTTGGAAATAAAATGGCATGAAAAATAAAAGCAACGAACATATGATCTCGAGATCATCCTCATCATCTGACCAGTTATCCAGGTGACTCATTCTGTTCTTCGCCACAGTCGGTTTTTTTATCTCATCTATGGCTTTCGAAGGTGGAATGTGCGCATCAATTTCTGCAGTGTTTTCAGTAGTTTGTTTAGGGTTTTCAGCTTGCTGGATTATCTGCGCTGCACGAATATTTTCTTTTTCAATCAGCTCTTGCATCTTTCTTGCACATTCTTCTTTAGCAGCCTGCTCTGCCTCCTCTTCAAAAATAATTTGTATTTTAGCACAGTTTTATTAATTTAGAGATAACATCGATACCTCGAAATTGTTTTTGCCATGCAAGCAGAGAACACAACATTGCCATTGTTTTTCCTGACCCTGTTGGACTTTCAAGGAGGCAATTTTGCCCCAGTCTTGCTCCAGTCACAGCCTAAAAACAGCATAAAAAATAATTAAAAAAAAATCCATTTTATTTTTTTACCTTTGACATGCATGTCAGTTGGCTAGGGTATGGTTTCAGTGAATAAGGAAACTCGACTTTAGTGCCACCCAGCGTGTATTTCCTGGGTATGTTGACGTTGCTCATTGGACTATCCATGTCTATGCACTTATACTTGATCCAAAATCTGTGAGAGAGAAAATAAACAAAGACATAGTTAAATTCAAAAACCATAATCATAAATTCCAATGTTGAGAGGTTATAAAATATAAACACAAAGGCAAAGCATCATACGTAGGTACCGGCCTGTCTACTGTTCTAGACCTAGACACGTTTGATATGTTGTCACAGTCAATTTTCAATGCTTTCCAAATTCTTCATACCTTACCTTTTACGTATACATGCTCTAAACATGCAAATAGCTTACTTTAACGTCACAATTACATTCAGAAATATTGATAAATTGTTGCTGAGCGAACAATTCACCGTGCTTGTCTAATCTTCCCGCATTTCTTTGTTTTCGCACATGGCTTCAAGGTCAGCCTTCAGTTTAGCCAACTTAACAATTTTCCGCAATTTTCAAATGAAATAAAGTGTCTGATTTCTTTCCATAATATTATACATTTTTTTTATTTAAATACATTTTTTATATTAAAAATTAAAAATAATTCAAAATAAAATCTTTAAAGAGGTAGATAGTAAATTCTGAATTGATAATTTACATATCTTAGAGTTGGTACATCTGATGATCAGATGACTTGACACCCCTTCGTAGTAATTTCGCATAAACGGTGGCTAAAATGCATTATTTTTGGATTTGATGTGTGCGTGTGACGAGCAAGAACCAGAATTTCTTGGCCACGGGATCAGTTTTGAACATTAGCCGAGGTATTATTCATTAGTATGTAATGAATGCTTTAATCACAGGCAGCTCGCGATAAAAATACGAGATATGATATGTATGTGACTCTTCACAAAGCTTCCAATAAATTTGAAAGATTTAAACGCCAAATTTCATTGCTTGCCTGCAGGGCGTCACGTTCTTGAGTCATATTCTACAATCTTCCAGCTAATGATGGACTTCAGAAAGTGAAATTGGAAGGCCGCAATCCGCTTTATAAGGTCTGGCGCAATCCCGCAAGTCGCCATGGCCTACAACAAGCACGACATCCAAGATGGTGAAAAATTATTTAAACACTCAAAGACTACAGCAGCTAATTTTTGTGGTTTGTCGTTTCCTTGCAGTTACATCTTACATGGATGGGGTTCCAGTTAAGATCAGTGAAAAGTTCCGACCACCAAGAAAGGTCACCCTGCCGGTAGGTTTCATGACACGTCTTGAAACTACCCTCGAGAGCACTTTGCAAGATGTAAGAATTTTTATTAATTTAGCCTTTAACCATGCAATATTTAAATTTTAATTTAAAGACGAGTTTCGACTTTTCCCTTGCAAGAAGTGTGGCCAAAAACAGTGGCTACCGAAAAGCCCAGAAAGAAATAGTTCGAGAGGAGCGACGAGCACGAATTGCTCAAGGGGAGCAGCTTTTGCGTCAGCAAAGAGACAAGGAGCTTACAGATCAACTTGAGAAGCTTAATATGAAGTATTTGTGTATTTTTATCAAAATGAATTTCCTTACATTTTAATTTAACAGAATGGAAAAGGCTGAGATTGAGTGCAAGGCTAAGGAATCAACCCCACCTGTTTCACCAGTGACAAAGACTGTGCCCGAAATTCATCAACAGGTTCAGCCAAATGTTGGCCCTCAACTATCGACAGCCATTCTCACCCCTGTCCTCCTGGCTGCTCCCAAAAACAGTTCTGAAAGCAAAACCAACTCCAACTCTTTCAACTTCAAAGACTTTGAGAATGACACCTCAAGCCCTTTTGATAATGTCGAGTTGAAGACCATCAACGATTTGGAGGAATTGGCTCACGTTCTGCATTTGGAAGCGCCACCTGCTGCCAATCCAGCGCCTAGCTACAATTTTGACTCAAGAAACAACAACTCCTATGCAGAATCTCGCTACTTTTATCCTCCCCAAGCCCCAACGCCAGGGTCTGCAGCTTCGAATCAGTTTTACTACCCCCAGCAGCAGACGTGGTCCTACCCTCACCCCTACAATCACACATCATCGACGAAAGAAAACCACCCTTTCCCAGCAACTGTTTACAGTCAAGCTAACGATGTTCGATATCATTTCCCTTCCGCTGCTGCCTCTCACGAATCATCAGCCAGAACATCAAAAAGTGTGCCTGATATCATGGAGGTTAGTTGTAATGTATTTATATTTATTTAGGCGACTGTTTTAGATTGCAATTGCAATGAATTTAGCTAATTTTTATTTAACTTATTTTAGGAGTTACAAAAAGAAGCCACAACTAGTCGGACAGCGGCTGTCCAGGTGCCCCGTGTCGAAGCCTTCAAAACAGAAACTCATAACTCATTTAGACCAGCAAGCTTTGGATCGACTGGTCTTGAGGTTTGCCTAAAATAAATGCATAATTTTATCATATTTTTGAGTATTGCATTTTCAGAACTGGAAGCCATGGCCTGATCTTGACAGTCCTGCAGAAACTCCGAGCGGCGATAGCCCACCACCAGCAGCTCCTGTGGTCACTCGGGCTGCCGGAAACACTTTGGAACGTTTAAATCCAGAAGCCCAAAAACTTGCCAGGCAAATCAGCGAAATGGGATTCCCTGTTGCCAAGGTGGTGAGAGCGTGCAAAATAATTGGCGAAGACCACAAGAAAGTATGCAAAAGTTTGAGGAGTGAAAAAGTTCCAAGTTTCTAATTTTCAACCCTAGGTGGTAGATTTCCTACTGCAAGTGCAAGCACTGGAGGAAAAAGGTTTCCCTGACACCAAGGTTGAGTACGTGCTGGGCACCCTGAAGCTGGACGAGCAACGAGCGCAGCAGTTTTTGCCAGTCTTTGTTCAGCTCGTCGATTTAGGCTTTGCGGAAGAAAAAGTGTCGGCAGCCCTCATTCAGTCGGGTTGCGATCGTGACAAAGCTCTTGATGCACTCCTTTCCTAATTTTATCCACTTGATCTATTTATTTTCATCCCCCAGCTCAATTGAGGGTGCATATTGTAAGCAATGATTTTCTCGTGCCACATTCCTCTCTTACAAGATTCTTTATGAGCCATCACAATACTTTTTAACTTAAGGGAATATAAATGATTCGTCAATATGAGATTTGGTAGAACGCCTTGATTTTTGGCAAGTATGTGTTGCAAGGAGGAAGTAAAATGTTATTACTGAAGTATTTTGAGAAGAAGTCCGTGATGTAAAAAGATCATATATTTTACTCCCAAAGAATCTGATTTTGAGCTTCTTGTGATTTCGCATTATATGCTTAAAAGAAATAAAATTTCATAATTAATTTTTAAATAATATTTTTTGAGTTTGTCTCATATTCCGCCTTCGGAAAAAGAATTGCTGTCCCGTGACATTTGCCAACGTCAGCCACATTGGCGCTGCAGGCGCTGTTGAGAAGGCGGAGGCAGGCGCAGGCAGTGCATATTTTGTGGTGGTGAACCGTCGTCGTCGTTATCAGCTTTCGGAGGATTGCTCATGCGATTAGATTTTCGTCGATTACTGCGCGGAAAGTCATTTTACGAACTTGTCCTCATCGCCAAGTTTTGACGGAAGAGTCTCCCTAGCCAATCCAGAAACCAAAACTTCCCAAGATGTCGGGTTTCGACGAAAATCCCTTTGGGGAGCCAACAGTGGACAACCCTTTTGCGGTCAGCATTGAAGTGTTTTCTACATATTATTATCTCTCCTGTTCAAACTTTAGTTAATGAAAATTTATTAGGCTGAATTCTTTTATCAGCTCTATAATATTATTTCGATGCAAACACAAAGCCGTGAACTAAACATTCCCTCCGTATTAATCATGTCAATTTTGTCCTGAAAAATATTTTGTGATTTCCGTCAACCTCAACTATATTCCAATATATTTTTACAGGACCCAGCTGTGCAGCAGGCCACCAGTGGAGTGTCTCAGGCCCAGAGAGGTCTAGATGATTACAACCCCTTTGCAGACCAACCCCAGCAGCAAAAACCACCCTCTGTAAAAATGACAATTTTTGAAAAAAGCTTTCCCTAACTCTCTGGTAAAATTTTTTAGGTCAGAGGCGCTGCCAACCCTCCCCAGTACCAGTATCCCGGTACCCAGTCAACCGTCCAGCCAGCGATCATGCAACCTACTCAAGAAACATTGCCTCCTGCATACGCCCGGAGTGGGCAGCAGACTCAGGATCCAAATATGACTGCAGAATTTCAGGTGAAAAAAAAATATCTTATGGAGTATTGATATGGGAATATTTCCCTTTCAAAAATTTAGTTGGAAATCAGTGAGGTTATTTAATTATTAAATATATTCAACCAAAGACAAAAATTAATTAATGTTTTTTTCATGGTTTTGGTCCTTGCAGGAGCTTAAGGTAAGACAAGGATGGCGTGAAATTGCATGAAAATGTTTGGTTTACAAAATTCTCATAATAATTAGAAAATAATGCATGGGCTTGCTCTAAATTTCATTCTATCATACTGTCGACAGTCTGCTTCAGAGAAAGCGTTGCAAATTATTTAAATTCCAAATATTGTTAAGTTATTAATTGTTTTAATTTTTATGCTGTTGCTAATGTTCGTATTTATTCTCAAAACAGAGGCGACAGGAGGAGCTAGAAAGAAAAGCAGAGGAGCTTGCTCGGAGAGAAGAGGCTCTGAAAAATGCACCCTACAACGTGCGACAGAACAATTGGCCACCCCTTCCTCAAGGCTGCTGCTTCCAGCCCTGCTTTTACCAAGATATCAATGTTGACATTCCCTTAGAATTTCAAAAGGTTGTACGAATGCTGTACTACATTTGGCTCTGTGAGTGCATTTCATGTTGAATTTGAACAAGTCTCTAGCAAAACAATTTCAGACCACGGCGGCGTCCTTCTGCTGAATGTACTCGGTGGTCTGGCCCTGCTCTTTTACGATGGAAAATTTGTCACCTTTGGTCTCTCCATTTTCTACGTGTTCCTCTACACACCCTTCTCATTCCTGTGTTGGTACCGACCCGCCTACAAGGCCTTCCGCGACGACAGCTCCTTCAACTTCATGGTCTTCTTCTTCATGTACTTTTTCCAATTCCTCATCACCATGTCTCACACCATAGGATTTACCAGTGGTGGCGCTTGGTAAAAGCAAAAACTTTCTCCGACAATTAGAAATTATGCAAAAAATCTTTCAGCGGCTTCATCATGGCCATTTCCGTTTTCAACGACGGAGGTGCGGGCGCGTGGCATGTCCTTGTGGGACTTTTTGTGCTGATTATTGCCCTTGGCTTTGGAGCTGCTGCTTGCATGGACATTCTTCTCCTTACCAAGGTATGAATGCTTAAAATTGGACGTTAAAAATTGAGACTACTCTGCTGTTAAAAATGCAGGTGCATGGAATTTACAAGAGTTCCGGAGCCAGTTTTGCCAAGGCGCAGGCAGAGTTTGCTACAGAGTTTATGAAGAACGAACACGTCCAGGGTGCTGCCCAGCAGGCAGCCACAGCGGCCGTGCGTACTCAAGTCAACCAGATGACCTCTTCTGGTGGAAATCGCTTTTAGTGCAATCAAAATTCTACGAATCCTGTACATATAAAATTTGATTATGTAATTTATGTTCTTTCATGCCGGATCAACCTGTGTCTGGCTTGACTTATGTCTTGTAGAAGTATTGATAATCTCTCACAAGATTATATTTTCTTATTCACACCGCTTTTATTAATTTGCTTGATTACGAGACTAAAATTGCTCTTTCGGATGTTAATTTACTTCATGATCCTCAAATGATTGATTATTAAGATAACGGAATCATTGCAAGCCTCAATCATTTAGACAGAAGCAGACTTGTGGGGAAATTGTTTCACTTTGTTCTTAATTTTATGTAAATTTTAGGATCAAAATTATTTTCGTCAAATGAAGCTGGTGATCGTATGCGTAATCATTTGAGTTAATTACATAAATGATAATTGACTATTACATGTTATGAACACAGTGTTTTAAAAGACTCGTCTGTCTGTTATAAATAAATATGATTGTGGAGTATAATACAAAAAAAATCATTATTTAACCATATAATATAACATTTGCCACACAAAAATGATACATATAAAATACGCTTGAATATTTACTTTAAAAAGACATCAATAATCTTTTTTTATAAAAAATTAATTTGTTTAAATTAAAATTGTTAATTTGAAAAAAATATGGTTTCTTTACATAAATTTTATTGATAATCTCTATAATTTATTATTAATATCCACCATTAAAATTTAATTTAAAACAATATCACATCATGAAATGTGCCAGAGGCAAAAAGCGATGAAAAGTGTAAATGCGATATAGGCAACCGCCACGTCTTCAGTGCCGTGCGGTTTGCAGCCTTTTACATTTTTCTGACTTGAATTAAACTCCTGGGCACGCCCACACCCAGGTGAGAGGGAATGGGCGTGTTTCTACGGAATTTCAGTGCTTTTAGCAAAGCTGTGCAGATAGCAGAGGTGCCACATACGCATACGCACAGGTTGTTGTCTTGTGTTGTGTTGATTTCTTGACAGCAGTCGTCGTCGTCGATGGACACATCTCTGCAGCTGTGGAAATTCGCACAATAAGAAAAAAGCACAGCACCGATGCGGTTTTGTGCGCAAATACGTAAGTTAAGGCTGTATTAAATCATTCCTGCTTTCCTTTTTCTTTCGCTTTTTGTGCATACAATTATGTATTTATAATTTTGAAATTTTCTTCAACAGATAAAAGAATAAACAAAAAAGATGTAGCTCGCCTACTTTTGGATCCAACCTTTTGTGGTTAGCGCAGGACGACACGATATTTTCCATTCCCATATTGCATTCATGGCCATGAAGACTTATGCAAAATACCTAGTCGCAATCGTGTTTTTCCTCGGCAGTGGGCACACAAAGAACACATTTCCGAGGGTAACAATTTTGTCTAAAAAAATGTTTTAGCTCTAAAGAAGTACATATTTTTTAGAAGTGGCCAGAAAATAGCTATGGACGAGTTGAAACCCGGCAGAGAAATGAGGAGGCTGGCAGCAGGTTTGACTACGAGCAGGATGCGAGCAGTGATTTCAGACACGAGCAGCGCCGATACCAACCTGATTTGCACACTTACGATCCAGCTGTTGATCCCGAGGCTGTAGTTCCTTTAAAAAGTATATAATATCAAGAACTTTTTGCATCTCATCTCACTTTTTTTTAAATATCATTGATGACTAATAATTATATTTTTTCATTTGAGGTAACTATGTGGAAGTAAGCGGGTGGCCTTTGAAAAAAGCCACACTAGGCCAAATTTCAGCAGTTTCTTTCGACAATGCTGGAAACGTGGTAATTTTTCACCGAGCCAATCATGTGTGGGATGCCTCTACTTTCGACAACCAGGATAACTATCGGAAGAAGGACGAAGGACCAATCGAGCAGAACACCATCATCACATATAATCCTGAATCAGGTCGCATTGTTCATCAATGGGGTGCAAATTTGTAAGGTTGAATCTTGATACATGCCAATCGCGCTGACGATTAATTTGCACAGATTCTACTTACCTCATGGATTAACAGTGGACCAAGAGGGCCACGTTTTCTTGACGGATGTTGCTTTGCACCAAGTGTTCAAGTTTCCGCCCAGAGGCGGTCAGGGAAAGCCCCTGATGGTGCTGGGTGAAAGATTTATTCAAGGAAATGACAGAAATCATTTTTGCAAACCTACATCAGTGGCTGTGACCAAGTCGGGCGATTTTTTCGTAGCTGATGGCTACTGCAATCACCGCGTAATCAAGTTTAATGAAAAAGGAGAATTTCTCTTAAACTTCGGGCGAAGAACTTTGCCTTCTGGTAATTACATTTTCTGAATTTTTCCCCCAAATATATTTGATTTGGAAATAGTATACATTAATTGTCTCAATTTTTAGATGGAATTCCCCACCGACCAGCTCCCACGGAGCTTTCCATTCCACACTCCTTGGCTTTGGCAGAGGAGAAAAACCTAGTGTGTGTGGCTGACAGGGAAAATGGAAGGATCCAATGCTTCCGCATCGACAATGGCACCTTTGTAGGCCAAATTGCCCCGAGAGAGTTCGGCAGACGTCTTTTCAGTGTTGCCTACACCCCATTGCAGGGTAACTAATAATAAAAAATATATTTATTCAAACTAAAAATAAAATTTTTCAATAGGTGGAATGCTGTTTGCCGTCAATGGCCCAGACTTGTACAACGACAATTTTCCTGTGCACGGCTTTGCAGTTGGCATCACCAGTCGGCAAGTGGTGGCTACTTTCGGCAATTTTAATCAGCCGCATGACATTGCCGTATCTTTTGATGGCAAAGAAGTGTACGTAGTCGAACTTGATCCTCACAAGATCTCAAAATTTGTAGAAAGTAAGTTAAAATATTGATAAATTTAAATATAATCCTAAAGAAATTTTTTTAGAGAGCACAGGAAATTCAACAGTACAAAGAGTGGAAAATCCAGCCAAAGTCGAGGATTCGCCTGCTGTTGGTATAAATCCGCTAGTAATTTTTGTTTAAAATTTTGTATCCTTTTCATTCTTGCAGTTGAAGTGACAGAGTCAGCCCACCAGTTCCTTCCAATAATTGAAGAGTCGCCCCACGTTCTTCCACAGAGTGTGGAAGTGCTTATAGTCGTTGCAGCTCTTGTGTCTATTAGCATGGTGGCTGTTATCTTTGTTCTTGTCAGGAAAAGAGGTAATCATCAAAAACATTTTTTTTATTAATCATAAACTGTCAACTGTTTGCTCCAGGCCCCTGTTGCTATTGGTTTTGCAACAAGAAATGGCACTTCCGGCGCACACCTTCGGAGACCTTCAAGTTGGGCCATCTATTAGACCCTCACTCTGGTTTCGAGTTGGTTGGTCAAGAAATGAGTGACGAGGAGATCGACAATGAGTCAGATAGTCTAACCAACTCGTTTACTACTAAAGCATGAACCGAAACTCATCCCTAATTTAATTTTCTTTGAGGGTCAGGACTGATGTCTGAAGCATTTAATTTTTATTTATTGAATTTTAACATTTTATTATTGTTGTTTTATGGAGCTTTCAAAAAGTTTGTTTTATCTTGTATCATGAATGTTGTGCTGAACTTAAAATGTATAAATCGTATAAATATAACTTGTGCAGGAAGAAAATGAGGAATTCATATCAAATAAAATGTAGATTATTATCGATGATGTAGTGAATGTCCACCTCGTTAATGAAGTATAATAAATTGCAAAGCGTATTAACCAATCAAGATTGAATTCCATTTATAATTTTGAAAAATTTACTGATTCCCAACCTTATAGTTCTTATATGATAAGTTAAAAAAGTTCATGAAACTGCAGATGCACAACGCTATAAAGAAATTGGAGAGGAAAGAAATCTTTTAAAATATGTAAGTTCACAGCACAATAACGAGAATAACGTTAACTATTTTTATTTAAGGAACACAAGAAACTATATTTTCTGGAGCGAGTCCGCTTCCCATGGTCTCGGGCCTCTTTTATTTTCCCAGTGATCAACATCAATCTGAATAAAATTTCCAAACTATAAAAAAAATGTTCAATACCAATTTAAACAACATACCGCTTTAATTTTTTCATATTCAGATTCGAGAGTGACTTCTCCTGTGCTTTTGACTTCCTTTTTCACACCTAGCTTTTTCATTTCTTCTGGTTTAAAGGCTTCTTTCTTAGAAAATGTATACCTAAAAAAAGACAATAATGAAGGGATTATTGAAATGGCCTAAAGCAAGTATGTAAATTTATGTACCTAATCTGGGCAAATTCTTTCAATCCAAATGATCCACCTATAACCAATGTCAAGAATGGTATAGCGTATCTTGTTGACTTCTTTTTAAAAAATTTAGCCATTCTTTAATTTGTTTAATGTGAGGCTAACAAAACGTTTTATTTCCTTTGGGTTTGGTTGTCTTCAACTTCTTAATACTTGCAACAGTTGCGAATAAATGGCAAGATGAAATTTAATTTATGTGAGAAAATAAAAGAATTGGAATTGTTCAATTTATTTTGTTTTGTATGCAGACAAGTCAAAATCAATTGGAATCTATTAAAATTTAATTAATAAGGATGATTTTCCACTGCCACACTTTGTTTTGATTTTTGTATTTTTGTAAAAGGGCAAGGAGGATCGTAAGGGCTGGACCGATGATGTGGATGGACCAATAGGAACGCTTGTTGTTTGAGGTTTGAGTGAGATAACCAATCAAAAATAGAGAAATGAAAAGCTCCTTGAAGGCAAAGCAACCGGTATTAAAGTTATTGGCGGTTAATTATTTGGTATAATAAATCATAATTTTACTTAATTAACAGTACATAATTCTGTTTAAAAACATTGAAAGCTGAAAGATCGCGAACAATTTAAATTGATCTTTTATTTGATATTGCAGAAATATTTGCATAAAAGATATTAATTCAAAAAATTCAGTGAAGAGAAAATACCGCTTATTGACAAAATTTAACCGGTTACACTGTCAGAACGAAAAAACTGTTTTTCTCACTAACCACGTAAGAGGCAAGGTAAGCATGTGAATTAGAATTAATTTTGAAATTTCAAAATATTTAACTAAATTTTCACCATCGGCTTCAACTGAAACGGTTTTTAAATTCTAAAATACTTGTTTTATCGTAATTAAAGAGTAAATTCACTTTATTTTCACTGAAATCAACTTAATTTGATAAATTTTGTCGGCATGTTTTGGTTGCGAGTCAGAATTTGACTTGTCTATTTTTATGTATGTTCATCATACAATTAAATTGTATTACCTTCTGTTTTTCCAGGATGGGACGAGTTATCCGCGCACAGAGAAAGGGTGCGGGGAGCGTCTTCCGCTCTCACACCAAACATCGCAAGGGAGCCCCAAGACTTCGCGCCTTGGACTTTGCCGAACGTCATGGTTACACTAAGGGTGTTGTAAAGGTATGTAAACACGGTCTAGCAATTAAAAAAAATTACTTAATCGAAATATCATCCCCAGGATATCATCCACGACCCTGGCCGTGGTGCTCCCCTAGCCGTGGTCCACTTCAGAGACCCCTATAGGTTTAAAACTCGCAAGGAGTTGTTCATCGCCCCAGAAGGCATGTACACCGGTCAGTTCTTGTACTGCGGAAGGAAGGCCACTCTCAACATTGGCAATGTTATGCCTGTGGGTCAGATGCCCGAAGGAACCATCGTGTGCAACCTCGAGGAGAAGACCGGCGACCGAGGCCGTCTGGCTAGGGCTTCTGGCAACTATGCTACCATTATTGCCCACAACCCCGACACAAAGAAGACACGCGTCAAGCTGCCTTCAGGCGCCAAGAAAGTTATGCCCTCAAACAACCGTGCCATGGTTGGTAAGTGTCAAAACAGCATCAGAACTCTTATTTACTGTTATACGAATTGGTTGAAACATAAAAGCATCCTATTTTTCTTAATTTAGATTTTAAAATCGAAATATAATTTAAATTAATATTAATTTTTATCTACTTTTAATATTTGTTCACTGTTTCATTAAATTATCAAAGTTCAGGCTAGTATAAAGTTAATTTCTTTTTAGGCATTGTTGCTGGAGGTGGTCGTATTGACAAGCCTGTGTTGAAGGCCGGCCGTGCGTACCACAAGTACAAGGCTAAGCGCAACAGCTGGCCTAAGGTACGTGGTGTTGCCATGAACCCTGTTGAGCATCCCCACGGTGGTGGTAACCATCAACATATTGGTAAGGCCTCGACCGTCAAGAGAGGAACAAGTGCTGGTCGCAAGGTCGGTCTCATTGCTGCCAGAAGAACAGGTAGGATCAGAGGAGGAAAGACGAGCCAAAACAAAGATGATTAGGCTTAATCTGTATGTCCTCTGTGAAAAACCAATAAATTCGTTCCATCTTGTACACAATGCAATTTTTAAACTTATCTTACACACCCAAAAGGTATGACTTACATGTTTTATTTTGAATTAACCTAATTGAAATGCTTTTTAAGACAAAAATTAGAGGTTCCATTGGATTTAATTTGAAGCTTCCAATTCCCATTAAGGAAATCATCCACCAATAGCTTAGTGTTTTTTGTCGTCAAATGATTAACTTTAGCTTCGGATCTTAGCATTTGTGTGCAATTTTAAATATGTAAAATTATTGCCAACTTTCTGCTGGTCTTGATGAGTGTGTTTTGCAAAAGCCAGGGTTTTATTTGAACTTTCATTTATATGTATTTTTCAAATATTAGTACTTAGTTATTCATGGTTATTCATAGGATTCTGTGTTCTTGACATTATTTGTGGTTTAATCCCTAAACAGCGGCTCTTTTTTATATTATAATAATTAAATAATTTAATTTCTTATTTATAAAAATAGGAATTGTGAGCTGTGATTTGGCCTGATGAGATAATATTCTTATTTTAAAACCAAGCTGTTTGGCCGAGCTAAGCAAGAAGTATACTGGCTATGAGTGTCACAGAATTACTGTTATTTATTTATCCATAGACTTATTTTTATGCTAAAACTTGTGAAATTACTGACCGATGCAGCTGGGCATGGTTAACAATGTGTCGATAAATTGAACACAGAAACAACCAAACTAAAAGAGAAATTTTAACTTCTCGGCATTTGAGTCCTCTCATTTTTCCTCGAATCCAAGACACAAACCAGTCAACCAGACCCTTCGGCTTTTTGCCCTCGACAGCCCTCTGCTTCTCCGCAGCCTCAGCAGCGTTCCTTCGATCCTTATTCTTTTGCTTCAATTGGGCGCGGTTCACAACAACGGACAAATCAGACAGGCCTGTTTAAAGAGAGAAAAATAAGTTTCATTCAGCATTTTGTCAAAAGATGAATTTCATGGCGCTACTTACTGACGCACCCATAGATGTCCAATCCGTTGCTCAAGCAGAATTTTAAAAGGGCGCTAGGCTTGCACTTTTTAGGGTCTCTGCAGCTGAAGACTGTCTGCGAGGCTGAGTTCTGAAAAGTCAAGATCTTGGCCGCCTCTGATTCTGGCCGCAGGCAGTCTTTCCATTTGGCCATTGGAGTCCTGAAGAAGAAGGTAGATCTCCTTCGAGCTAATTCACGAAGGCCTAAGGATATTCGTTAAATTTTAATGGCACTAAATATGTACATGATTCATCATACTTGCGTGAGTGTCAACGGCGAGATGATTGAAAAATGCAAATAAGACCTGAAGGCCAAACGGCAGATTCGCCTCTTAAGAAGGTCGGCCTTTCTTGAGGTCCCAGTCTGACCGCCTCGGTGAGGACCTCCTCTCCGTCCGAGGGAAAATCATGCGGGACAGAAACAAATGCTAACGGATCGAAAGGCATTTCAAAAATCGTCCAAGAATTTTAAACGGCTGAAATTTCTAACCTCTCAATTAGCAACAATAGATAAAGAAAACAATTTGCTACAATGGAAAAAATAAACAGAGCTTTGAAATGGAACACCGCGCGCGGAAATTTAACAAGAGAAAATGTCAAAAATTCGTTATGATCGAAGGCTGTAAAAAATAAGAATTCTGAAAAAAAAATATGTTAAACTCTGCAAGATACTAGATTGAGTAAAAAAAATGTTATTGGAGACCAATAGAGCCTATACATATATTAATATACATGTTTTGAGGTTATAATGTTTAAGCGATTTAATTCCTAATACATATTTACAGTAAAATCATATGCAGCATATTCGGAGCTCCCAGCATTCATGCAGTTTTCTCATTGATTTACCAGAATTATTAGAAATTATTATAGGTCCATGAGTTTTCTCCTATGATAGGCACATGTAGCTGTGTAGCAGCGCCACTAGAGGGCAACCTCTCCGCCCCCGGCCGGGCATCCTCCATTGTTCCCTGGCAAAACAAAAAAGGCTGACGACGGTCCCAAGCCTGCCAGAAAACTCGACCATCCTCGAACCCGGACAGGGGTAAGCGTCCCATTTTGCCCCCAAATTAAAGCCACAAGAACAGTCAGTCGGTCAAGTGAAATAGTTTCGTCTCCAAGTCCGAATTTAAGTGAAAAACTCGAACGTCAAAATTTGCCGGCAATTCGCCATTCCAATCACGTGTGCGCATATCCATTGTCGGGCCGAATTTGTAATATTTGCCAACGAATAATTTATCATATTACCAACTGATTTAATCTTGCATTTTACCCAGACGACTTTGTAAAAAATTCTGTATTAATTCATTAAGATTCTCATTCATGATTTATGTTATTAGTTTTCTCCGAGGCAAAGTGCCGATGCTCACCGAGCCTAAAATGTTCAATTTAATTTTAAGTAAAACAAAAAGAAAAAATAATATTTAATTTAAAATGCAAATTGCTCAACAAAATCTCTTTCAAATTCAGTACACAAATTTATGCAAATTTCAGTTCTCAAAAATTCTCAAAAAAACAAATTTAGTTTAATTATAATCAAATTAATTCTCAAATCAAAAATAACATCAGTCTAATTAACTTCCAACTCAAATAAAAATTCTTTCTCCTTTTTTGTTTATTTCAATTGTGATATTTATTTTGTTTTTGCTTTTCAGTTCGAGCAATATACAAGAAAACATAAACCTGGTCGTTTTTCGTCATCAACTACCCTGGGTCAATAAACCTGACACACATTATGATTTCGCATCCAGCATTATCCCTAGCAATTTTAATTTCTTCATCATCGAGTTCATCAACCATTCTAGACAATCTTTCAATATGAGAATCCTAAAAATATAATAATGATCATTAAAAATTACATGAACATAAAATGAGCTATTTATGTATGATGCAAGTTAAGTCAGATTCCTTCTTTAAGATTCGAATATTTTTTTTTAATTATAAGTAAATCAAAATAAATAAAATCCAACAAACAGACGTATATACATGGGGTATTCGAAAACAATCTATGTATTCATAAAATAAGTCAAATAAGTAATGCACTCGATCGTGCATAATTCCAATATAATTAACATAATTAAACTGATAAGAAAATTTACAAATTTACCTGCATATCTTCTTCCGCTTCCTGCGAGTCACGACCAAACACGTCTGCCATAATGCCAATAAATGATTATCATTTTAAATTTGAGACCGATTTGAGACAAGAAGTGTTGTCCAGCGTTGTCTATTATAGTGTCATAAAAACAAAGCGGAGAGCACTGAGACTGAAGAGGTTTTAGAGGACGTTTGTCGCTTGGCAAGGAGAGGGGGGACTGATTTGACACTATATATCCTTGGATTACTTGGTCTTGGAGAGGACGTTTTGGTCGTTACCACCAACACCGCACGGGGGGGGGGGGGGCATAAGAATATTAGAAGAGCGACGAGCATTGCGGCGCCAGCTACTGACTGTTGTTCATGTCGTTGCGTGGAGTCATAATAATACTAGAAAAGTGTTACTATGTAGTTAACATTTGACATTGCTCACAAAACTTAAATTTCCAACTGTATTGCCGCGCTGCGCCGCACCGCCCGGTATGGCATTCACTGCATTTCAATGACCCGACCATATTCGCAAGATTTCCCCCTCAGCGGCCCACGACGTGTTTTTTGCTTGTGAATTTGTTACCCCCCCCCTCCCGGCTTCTACACGAGCGACGAAGATGCCGCTACCACCTTTCGATCCGGCATTTAATTTTCTAATTTGACGTGTCATTCGCTTTTTCGCTCAGACCCCTCCTTCCCACCTTAAATTCCAATTTTGTTTTCCTTTTTTTACAAAAAACGTGATTTTTTCCATAGTTTTTTTTTTTTTTTTTTTTTGGAAAAAACGTACACACGACCCAATTAAAAAAATTTAGACGCAACCGGACACCCCGTGGGAGTTGGCCCTAGTCATGCACTACGTCTTGCCAGTGTGACTTGAATTTAAGGACCTTCCCCTACCGGTTCCCTATTTGACCTAATAATAATAATTCTAGCAACGTTTAATAATTCAAAATTTTGGACTATATTTTGACGATATTTGTATAAGAGTGAATTCTTATTGAAAAGTCGACTTTTTTGAAAATTATTATTTAGACGAGGCGGAAATTTGACCTATTAATAGTCCTAACGACGTTTAATAATTCAAAATTTGGGACTATATTTTGACGATATTTGTATAAGAGTGAATTCTTATTGAAAAGTCGACTTTTTTGAAAATTATTATTTAGACGAGGCGGAAATTTGACCTATTAATAGTCCTAACGACGTTTAATAATTCAAAATTTGGGACTATATTTTGACGATATCAGTAAAAGAGTGAATTTTTATTGAAAAGTCGACTTTTTTGAAAATTGTTATTTAGACGAGGTGGAAATTTGACCTTTTAATAATCCTAACAACGTTTAATAATTCAAAATTTGGGACTATATTTTGACGATATCAGTAAAAGAGTGATTTTGTATTGATTAGCCCACTGTTTTGAAAATTGTTTTTTAGACGAGGTGGAAGTTTGACCATACCAATGCCGCCCTACAGAGAATTCCATCTCTCTGGTGAGGCCCTTGGTGACGTGGCTGATACCATAAGAAGGCTGAAAGAGCGCCAGGCCCGAGGAGTTCCTGTTGCCATTTTGCTCGCCGAGTTGCATGACATGCTGGACGACCTGGCCATCACGCTTCTGCAACCTTCAACAAGTTCCCAATCAAGTACCGGGGACGTGAGTAATAATTTCATGATATTTTAAGTGCCAGTTATCAAAATTAAAACGGGGTGGCAAACAGGATGACGTGATATTTTAAAAAAACGATTGGAATATAATCTTTTGCATTTCAAAATTAATAATAATGAGCAGCCAGGGTTGACGAGCGCTCTGAAAGAGCGCTCAAAAGAGCGCGAGCGTCGATTTTTTTCCTGCCGCGAGCGGGAGCGCGAGCGTTTTTTTTTTCAAAAGAGCGCTGAAAAGAGCGCTCATTTACGCTCTTTTTGGGGACCATAAATTGGTGAAATATTGCTCGAAAAACATAGAGAAATTTTAATTTTCGAAAAAAATTTGTATGAAACTCAATGGAAATTAGTATATTTTTAGACCACACATAAAATAGCAATGAAAATAGAATTGTACGTAAGAAATATTGAAGAAAACCAATCCAAATAACAATTTTACTTAAAAAATAGCGACCCCAGAAAAAGAGCGCTCGCGAGCGCTCTTTTGGGTAAAGAGCGCGAGCTTGAGCGCTCGCGTGAGGAAAAGTTGGAGAGCGCGAGCGCAATTTTCAGAAAAGAGCGCGAGTGCGAGCGTGCTTAAAATCAGCGCGCTCGTCAACCCTGTGGGCAGCAAACATTTTTTTCTTGATAAAATGAATGTATTTATACATTTTTAGAAATACGCTTTAAAAATGTTCTGAGAAGTTTTTTTTTGCAATATTATGAAATTAAAATCAAGCTGGTTAAAAATTTATAACTTCTCTTTTTAAAGGCGATTATCAATAAAAATTTATTCACTATGGCACTTTTTTTTTAATCGGTCACACTTTTGGCAAGGGTCAACCGATTTGAATGAAATTTGGCAGGTCGGTTGCTCTTAGGGTGTAAACAAATAGTTTAGAAGTATTTTTGAAAATTCTCAAAATTGCCTATTTTACAGGGGCTCAAAGTTTCTGATTTTGAAAAATGGCGTTTTCAAAAATCGAAAATATCTCAGCTCCTGTTGCAGATAGTGCATAAGTTTATATAAGCAAAATTGTAGGGAATTAGACGCCCTACAACTTTGCTATAGTGACCAAGGTCGTAGGTCAAACCTGAAGGTCATTTATTTTTTGCTCATTTTTTTCAGGCTCTACCAAAGTACCAAGGCAGTAAATTTTTTTGATTCCAAAATAGCTAAAAGTTGCTCCAGTTAGTAATAAACAACATATCAAAATTTGGTGAGACTAATTTTTTTCGTTTTAGAGATATTCCGGATCAAAGGGCAAAAAACGTGGTTTTCCGAGCGTTTTTTGTGCAAAATTTATTTTAAACGTCCATAACTTTTTTCCTGTTAGAATTAGGATTAAATGTATTATGACAAAAAATAATTGCCTTTAATTTTTCTTGCAGGTCATGTATCACACATGGTGATCAGGTCACAAAAGGGCATTGACCCCATGGTGACCTGTGACCTTTTTGAATTTTTTTACGTGTGTGACACATTGATGGAAAGAGGATGTCAGCAGGAGCATTTTGGTACCCGGATTTTTGTTCTAGCATCATTACAAGTGAAGTTATCATAGATTTTGTGCTGCAAAAGTGGGAATCCGACGAATAAATTATTTATAAATAGATGTAACTTCACATCTATTGAGGCTAGCACAAAAATTCGGGTACCAAAATGCTCCTGCTGACATCCTCTTTCCATCCTTCAGGTTTGATCTACGACCTTGGTTACTATAGAAAAGTTGTAGGGCGTCTAATTCCCTACAATGTTGCTTATATAAACTTATGCGCTATCTGCAACAGGAGCTGATATTTTCGATTTTTGAAAACGCTATTTTTCAAAATCAGAAATTTTGAGCCCCTGTAAAATAGGCAATTTTCAAAAATCCTTCTAAACTATTTGTTTCCACCCTAAGAGCAATCGACCTGCCAAATTTCATTCAAATCGGTTGACCCTTGCCAAAAGTGTGACCGATTAAAAAAAAAGTGCCCTATATATATTCATTTATTTTTATTTTTTAAATTGCAGCTGGATCGTCGAAGGCCAGCCTGAAGACTTTTGTCGTCACACGACTCCTCATGGCTGATTGCCTCATCTTCCATTTTCCGAGAAGGGCCTCCATGCAAGACTTGCCTGAAGAAGTACTTCTTGCTGCAAGAACCAGCTTGGATGATATGAACATCCGAAAGGTTGTGGTTCTTGCCCACCACCTAAACTTGCAATTCAACATCTCTGAGGGTAATATATTTTTCATATATATATAATAACATTTTTTTCTTGATAAAATGAATGTATTTATACATTTTTAGAAATACGCTTTAAAAATGTTCTGAGAAGTTTTTTTTAGCACAATTATGAAATTAAAATCAAGCTGGTTAAAAATTTATAACTTCTCTTTTTAAAGGCGATTATCAATAAAAATTTATTCACTATATATATTCATTTATTTTTATTTTTTAAATTGCAGCTGGATCGTCGAAGGCCAGCCTGAAGACTTTTGTCGTCACACGACTCCTCATGGCTGATTGCCTCATCTTCCATTTTCCGAGAAGGGCCTCCATGCAAGACTTGCCTGAAGAAGTACTTCTTGCTGCAAGAACCAGCTTGGATGATATGAACATCCGAAAGGTTGTGGTTCTTGCCCACCACCTAAACTTGCAATTCAACATCTCTGAGGGTAATATATTTTTCATATATAATAAATAGATAGAGTATTTATTGAACACAACTAGGTCTACAACGGGTGTCTAAAGCTAATTTGTCTTCCTAAAATTAGTTTTACAATTAAGCTTGTTTCGATAATTATTACAAAGTACAAAATTAGTTAATTCTGATTTTTGCAGCCTCTCTTAGGCTTAGTTTTCGTTCATTACATTCAAGAATATGATATTGTGAAAATTTCTTACCGCAGTGCTTGCATTCACAATATATTCTCGCTTGAGAATGAAAATTGTTATTCTTACAAAATAAATAGTGTTACCCGTGACAGGCAAATCTCGTAAACACTTGGCGATCACTGAACATTGCACATTGCCAATTTTTATTCTTCAAAGTTTCTGTCTCGTAGAACTCATCACATATATCAAGTTTGTTTAAATATTTAGACACACAAAATTTCTGGAATGCTTCAGTTTCAGTTAGAGAATATTTTACCTATAAGTCCGATACAAAGAGATCAGTGTCAACTAATTCATACACAAATCTAGATCTAATATACTTGGACAGTCCTAAAACTCTTTTTAAATATCTTGTTTTGACTTTTTCAAGATTTTCAAAATCAGTCTTTGTTAGGAAAGGCCATATTTCTTCAATGCCGTAGGACGCTATTGGGGAAATTTTTAGATCAAATAGCTTGTGTGCTGTTTCAATGGATAATTGTTTTAGTTCTCGTATATTATAAGTGGCCAGCAATGCAGCTCTTGTTCTTTTTTCAATGTGCTTTCCAAAAGAGATTCCTGATGGTTGAAAAGTAACTCCTAAATATGTAAACTCAGCAACTCTCTCTATTTCAATTCCATCTAAATCTAGGCGGTCACTTAATGCATATTTTCCTAGACCCTTATTTCTAAATTTCATGAATTTGCACTTTTCCAAGTTAAGTTTCAAACTGCGTTTTAATAAAAATACTTTCATTCTGGCTAAAGCAATTTTCAAGTCACTTATTTTTTTTTTATTTTTTTTTTTTAATTGTTTATACCTCTTGGGAAAGGCACCAGCGGTAGCAGACAGGCTGCTAAATCGCAAGGGCCGATAACTCGGATTCTCCCCTTTCGGGGCCGATAACACGGTGACCTTGCGACCCACTGGGCCGGGGAGAGAGGAGCATATAGGATGGGTTTGGTTGTTGGGAATTTGAAGGATGAGGAAGGTGAGCGGCTGCGGCCTATAAATGGGAACTATGCAGGCATTTGCCTGGAATGTCTGATGGAAACCGCAGAAAACACCAGACTGCATAGCCGAAATTGCAGACGAAATGCCTGCAATTTCTCCCGAATCTGCCTGTCGCAGTGATTAATGCACCTCCTAAGATTTTCTGTAGTCTTGTGAACTAGCCGGCCAGAATCAGAACTTTTTCAAGCCCTGAACCTAAGCCGGGATAGATCCCAAGGCCTTCAGATTATCAGCCAAGCGCACTAACCACTGTGGTTAACACAATATCATCTGCATAATATATGGCTATCACGTTTGGCAAATCTCGTAGAATATTATTTATATCAGCTAAAGAGTAATTGAACAGAAATGGGGACGTGCATCCCCCTGTCTTACCCCATTTGATTGTGTAATAAGTTTTGATACTGTTACTCCATCTACTATTCTCAAGAAATTTAAGTCCAAGTTGTGAGCTAAATAATTTAACTCCGTGAACGTTAGCTTCTTGCTTTCTATTAACTTCTTAAAAATAAACGCCCTATCTATTGAGTCAAAAGCTTTACTTACATCCAAAAATAAGGCATATAAGGGTGATTTCTTCTTATAAACTGTCTCTTGAATGTTATTAACTAAGGACTTAATTGCCTGTAAAGTGGATTTTCCTTTCACAAAACCATATTGATTGCCTGGAATCTCGTGAATCAATGATGAGTAGATACGTGCATGCAGTACACGATCTAACAGATTGTAAAAAGCCGAACTAATACATATTCCTCTATATGAATTTGTATTTTCCGCGTCCCCTTTTCCCTTATACAAGAGTTTTAGATTTGACTGCCTCCATTCCTCTGGACATGTTCCTAGCTCCAAGCAATTGGTGAAAAATTGCGTTATTTCGGGGAGAAAGGATTCAACAAGTAGTTTAATATTTTCATTCTTCACTTTTGTCAGGTCCAGGGGATTTCCCGTTTTTCATTTTCTTTAATGCTAACAAAACTTCTTCTTCCATAATAGGTGAAAAATTTATATCATTTCTGTAATCTACTATCATCTCTTTCAGATTTAACGATTCATTTTCACTCAATTTTTTCTCGTTGAAAATTCTTTCAAAATTGCACTCCCATTCATCCATCATTATATTGTTTGTATTGTAAAAACTTTTGCTCAACTTGAGAATTTTATTGCACTTATTCTGCTCCGCCTCTTTTAAAATGTCTAACTCCTTCATTTGCACAAAAGCGTTCTTCTTCATTTCACACATATTTTTGTAATTTCTTTTTATTGCGGTATAGTGCGGTAATAGAATCTTGATTATACTAGTTACATTTAAACTTTCAGCCACTTCCAAGCACTCTCTCCATTCGTTCAATTTCTGTTTTAATTCTTGGCATTCAGAATCAAACCACGGTTGACTAATACGTTCAGTTTGCCTACGAGGAATGTCGGCCTCTTTCATAATATTTATCATATTTTTATAAAACTCTTCAACGTCCCCCTTTTCCAGATTTGTTTTTAGAATATTTTTATATTTAGTCTCAATAAGCTCTTTAAGTATGTTTTCATCTAATTTAAAATTTTTCTTATTCAAAGACATATATATATAAAGATATATAATAAATCAATTCTTAAATATTTTTGCAGATCCAGCCATTTTGAGGGCCAGAGCAGCGGCTGAAACTCGCCTTCACTTCAGCAACGTACCTGCTCTTGCAACAGCCAGTTGCCCAATAGTAGGCCCCGTACTACTACTGCGTTTTTACTCAAATCCACTTAGAAACAATTGCCTTATAATCTTCATTAATTGAATTTCTGCCACACGTTTCTATCATTTGGTGAAATATATGTGGGAAAAAATGTGAAAATTAAATTTTTGTTGAAAAACAATGTCATTTCTGGATTGCTGTTTGATGTCACTTTCTGAATATCAACTTCACCTCTTACTTTGGGGCCTAACATATATTTATATTAAACCGGTTTTACTAGATAAATTAAGGAAATTCTGCGCATCGCAAAACCAGTTATGATTACCAAGTTTTGTGAATTATCAGGAAAAACCTCATTTTGGGGTGGCCAGAAATGAATGGTGGCCAAGAATTGAGAGTCAACCAGAGCATTGTGACGGCCCTGGCCCTTTTCAGCACCAGGACAGCATCACTGCTTCTCTCCGAAGAGAGGATTTGTCTTTTGTAAGAGCGGCACAAATAAATATACCTACAACTAAAAACTAATGTAATCTACTCTGCTTTGATTTACTCACTGCTCCAGCTATCTAAGATAGACAATCTTATACCTCTTAAGTATTAATAATAAATTAAATAAAATATAATCTCAACCTAATTAGACTAGACTGCTGCCAGTATTTTGAACCTCGGCTTCTTCAACCCCCCAGTTTAATTATAGTTTCCCCAAAGGAATTACAAGAATTAAAACAATATGATTTTAGCCTTACGGCGGGAAGATAAAGAAGAGATTTAATATCGTCCAAGTAGAGTCATACACCAAATCCATAAAACATTGTAATCGACAAAGGTCACTTGAATTTAATCACAGCTAGTCCCTCGGACTACGGAATGGATCTCAGACGACAACCACCACTCAAACTTCCTTGCTCTTCTTAATAAATCAACTTCCACCTAAACAACAACAGAAACAAATTAATTAAAATTAAAATATATTCTTTCTGGCTCCTCTATTTACATAGGACCTCTGTTGGCCCAAAAGCTCAACAGGAAAAAAGAGCACCAATAAATGCTGCCGGCACTCAACAGAGTGCAGCCGGCGCAGCTAGCATAATCCTATTTCCTTAGTTGATAGCTGCTATTTTGATTTTGCTTAAAAAAAAATTCCAATTGAAAGTCTAAATTATACTTTTTTTTTCATTTGAGCAACTACATAACGCAGAACGTGTACATTGCCTTCGGTGACTGGCAAGAGCTGCTTCGCTCTGGGCGTGTTGACCCTGACCACCCTGACCTCTCCAACCCTTCCTTGGGCACCTAAAGGAAAACAATCTATGCATTCATAAAATAAGTCATATTAAGTAATGTAATGCACTCGATCGTGCATAATTCTGATTCTTTTCCCGCACCATGAATTGCAGCAAAAATGTCCTATATAATTAAACTGATTAGAAAATTTACAAATTTACCTGCATATCGATCTTCTTCCGCTTCCTGCGGGTCACGTCCGCACACGTCTGCCATAAAAATGCCAATAAATGATTTTCGTTTTAAATTTGAGACGATTTGAGACAAGAAAGTGTTGTCCTGTTGTCTAGATAGTGTCATAAAAACGAAGCGGAGAGCGCTGACTGAGACTGAAGAGGTTTTCAAGGACGTTTGTCGCTTGGAAAGGAGAGGGGGTGATTTGACACTATCCTTGGATTCCTTGGTCAACATTTTATAAACTGAAATTTTGAAAATAATTAAAGGAATCGCTATTTTTCCAGGAGATCCGCCCAGCTGGTGGCGCTTTTCAATTTTAGGCAAATCTTCATACTTGTTTAGAGCGCACAAATCGCTCCGCGCTCTGCGCTCATGGCCTGAGCGCAGAGCGCGAGCGCAAAATTTTTGAGGGCATGAGCGCGAGCGCAGAGCGCAAATGGCGTGAGCGCGGCGCTCATTTTGCGCTCAACGATTTATTATAAATTAAACAAATTTTGTTGTAAAATTTAAGAAATTTTCACAAAAATGTGTAAATTTAACAAAATTATTTTTTTCTTTCTCAAAAAGCGTTTTTCAGACTAATTTTTGTTTATTTTTCTATTCCCAAACAAAAAAATTAGTAGGTATTATTCATCGAAAAAAAAATAACAATGAGCGCGAGCGCAGAGCGCGAGCGCAAAATTTTGGCTTGAGCGCAAGCGCAGAGCGCGAGCGCACAATTTTTGAAAACGAGCGCGAGCGCTGAGCGCAGAATCTCATTGAGCGCGAGCGCCAGCGCAAAATGTCTGAGCGCAGACAAGTATGCAAATCTTCGTCTATTTTTGGGTCGATTATTTTATATTTTGAAGGACTAACATTTTATAAACGGAAATCTTGAAAATATTAAAAGCAATCGCTATTTTTCCAGGAGATCCGCCCAGCTGGCGGCGCTTTTCAATTTTAGGCAAATCTTCGTCTAGCTATTTTTGGGTCGACTATTTTTTAACTTGAAGGACTAACATTTTATAAACGGAAATCTTGAAAATATTTAAAGCAATCGCTATTTTTCCAGGAGATCTGCCCAGCTGGTGGCGCTTTTCAATTTTAGGCAAATCTACGTCTATATTTGGGTCGATTATTTTATATTGCAGATGGCGCAGCCCATCAGAGGGTCTTTCTTTTTGTAGAGGTTTTTCAAAATTTTGGGGGATCGATCGAGTTTGATCCAACTCTCTCCCTAGTCTTGTACAGATACAGAAGTTTGCTGAGACGCAAAACCTAATAAAAGACATTTTAATTAAACATTTTTACTTAAAAAAAAAAGTTATGAATGTGAATGTTCGTGTCAATAGCATATATATAATTATATATATCTTTGATGGCACCAGCCATATAGGAAGAACGCCGCATGTTCAAATCTCCTGCTTTTTATTCCAAGCAGTATATGCAAAAAAAGCATTTTTAAGGGCAGTAATTTCCTCCAGCGGTTCTCGGAAAAGTTATTTGAGATTAAAGTTGCCATCTTTTCATTCTCTTTGAACTGAACAGGGCCCAGACAAAACTTCTTTTATAGATAGAGTATTTATTGAACACAACTAGGTGTACAACGGGTGTCTAAAGCTAATTTGTCTTCCTAAAATTAATTTTACAATTAAGCTTGTTTCGATAATTATTACAAAGTACAAAATTAGTTAATTTTGATTTTTGCAGCCTCTCTTAGGCTTAGTTTTCGTTCATTACATTCAAGAATATGATATTGTGAACATTTCTTACCGCAGTGCTTGCATTCACAGTCTATTGTCGCTTGAGAATGAAAATTTTTATTCTTACAAAATAAATAGTGGTACCCGTGACAGGCAAATCTCGTAAACACTTGGCGATCACTGAACATTGCACATTGCCAATTTTTATTCTTCATAGTTTCTGTCTCGTAGAACTCATCACATATCTCAAGTTTGTTTAAATATTTAGACACACAAAATTTCTGGAATGCTTCAGTTTCAGTTAGAGAATATTTTACCTGTAAGTCCGATACAAAGAGATCAGTGTCAACTAATTCATACACAAATCTAGATCTAATATACTTGGACAGTCCTAAAACTCTTTTTAAATATCTTGTTTTGACTTTTTCAAGATTTTCAAAATCAGTCTTTGTTAGGAAAGGCCATATTTCTTCAATGCCGTAGGACGCAATTGGGGAAATTTTTAGATCAAATAGCTTGTGTGCTGTTTCAATGGATAATTGTTTTAGTTCTCGTATATTATAAGTGGCCAGCAATGCAGCTCTTGTTCTTTTTTCAATGTGCTTTCCAAAAGAGATTCCTGATGGTTGAAAAGTAACTCCTAAATATGTAAACTCAGCAACTCTCTCTATTTCAATTCCACCTAAATCTAGGCGGTCACTTAATGCATATTTTCCTAGACCCTTATTTCTAAATTTCATGAATTTGCACTTTTCCAAGTTAAGTTTCAAACTGCGTTTTAACAAAAATTCTTTCATTCTGGCTAAAGCAATTTTCAAGTCACTTAATTTTTCTGAGGTTAAAACAATATCATCTGCATAATAAATGGCTTTCACGTTTGGCAAATCTCGTAGAATATTATTTATATCAGCTAAAGAGTAATTGAACAGAAATGGGGACGTGCATCCCCCCTGTCTTACCCCATTTGATTGTGTAATAAGTTTTGATACTGTTACTCCATCTACTATTCTCAAGAAATTTAAGTCTAAGTTGTGAGCTAAATAATTTAACTCCGTGAACGTTAGCTTCTTGCTTTCTATTAACTTCTTAAAAATAAACGCCCTATCTATTGAGTCAAAAGCTTTACTTACATCCAAAAATAAGGCATATAAGGGTGATTTCTTCTTATAAACTGTCTCTTGAATGTTATTAACTAAGGACTTAATTGCCTGTAAAGTGGATTTTCCTTTCACAAAACCATATTGATTGCCTGGAATCTCGTGAATCAAAGATGAGTAGATACGTGCATGCAGTACACGATCTAACAGATTGTAAAAAGCCGAACTAATACATATTCCTCTATATGAATTTGTATTTTCCGCGTCCCCTTTTCCCTTATACAAGAGTTTTAGATTTGACTGCCTCCATTCCTCTGGACATGTTCCTAGCTCCAAGCATTTGGTGAAAAATTGCGTTATTTCGGGGAGTAAGGATTCAACAAGTAGTTTAATATTTTCATTCTTCACTTTGTCAGGTCCAGGGGATTTCCCGTTTTTCATTTTCTTTAATGCTAACAAAACTTCTTCTTCCATAATAGGTGAAAAATTTATATCATTTCTGTAATCTACTATCATCTCTTTCAGATTTAACGATTCATTTTCACTCAATTTTTTCTCGTTGAAAATTTTTTCAAAATTGCACTCCCATTCATCCATCATTATATTGTTTGTATTGTAAAAACTTTTGCTCAACTTGAGAATTTTATAGCACTTATTCTGCTCCGCCTCTTTTAAAATGTCCAACTCCTTCATTTGCACAAAAGCGTTCTTCTTCATTTCACACACATTTTTGTAATTTCTTTTTATTTCGGTATAGTGCGGTAATAGAATCTTGATTATACTAGTTACATTTAAACTTTCAGCCACTTCCAAGCACTCTCTCCATTCGTTCAATTTCTGTTTTAATTCGTAGCATTCAGAATCAAACCACGGTTGACTAATCCGTTCAGTTTGCCTACGAGGAATGTCGGCCTCTTTCATAATATTTATCATATTTTTATAAAACTCTTCAACGTCCCCCTTTTCCAGATTTGTTCTTAGAATATTTTTATATTTAGTCTCAATAAGCTCTTTAAGTATGTTTTCATCTAATTTAAAATTTTTCTTATTCAAAGACATGTCCCCATTTCTGTTCTTTTGTTTTGTGAAATTAAATTCTATTGAAATAAAATTATGTTTTCTTATGGTTGGGCAAATTTTAAAATTTTCGGTGTAAATTTTTGGCCCTTTGAAGATTAAATCAACCACACTATGACCATTACTACAGTCGTAGGTACTTTTATATGGATATTCATTTACTATTGTCAGACTGTTTTCCTCAGCAAAATCAAGCAGCGAGTCAATTTTTCTGTTTTTAGTATCCAGTCGGCAATTAAAGTCTCCAGCCAAAATGAAATTTTCAAAATTTTCAACATATTTAAGGATTGAGAGAAGTTCATTAGTCACTGTTGTAGAACGTATCTTCGGATTTAAATAGCATGTTACTACTGTAATGTCATCAAAATTTAGAATTATGAAGTTGTCCAAATATTTCACATTTAGTAAATTTCCTAACCTAGAATTAAAATACACGGAAATTCCCCTCATCGGTCGCCCTGCCTCCTTTTGTGAAGCTAAAACTTGCCTTGAATAAAAACCAGGAATGTGAAGTGGTTTCTTTAAAAATGTTTCCGTGAAAAGAAGAATATCATAATTTTGCAGTTCTGTTGCAATCGGAGATTCATATGCTTTCGTAAGCCCTTCACAATTCCAAAGCCCTAATTTTAAGTTACTCACGTCGCTGTTTCGACAAGGGAAATCTATAAAGAAAGTTTCTCACGAGCACCACAGTTGCGCTTGCTTCTCTCCCTGGGTGCAACAGTCTGCGAATTAGGGGCATCATTTAGCTGCTCTCCGTCATCCGGCTTCCCTCCAGTCTCTTCTTCTTCCTCTCCGGCCTCCTTTGGGTTGAACAAATTCCCACAGTTTCCCCAGCGTTTGGAGACATACTTGTTGTACAGATGAACAGTGACAGGGACATCTCGAAGTTCTTCGTACAGAGTGTCCAAGACCCAGAGGCGATGCAGCCTGTCCATGCCACTGCACATGTAGGTCATTGCAATCTCATCAATCTCTTCCTCTCGAATGACTTGGGCCAGCTTAGCAAATGCAGTCTTCACTCCCTTTAGGAAAGGCTCAGGTGCTTTGTGCAACTTGTGGGGGGACCTCATTTTAGTTACCACGTGAAACACAGTACCGTACTTTTCAGTCTTCTCTCTGATGATTCCGCCTATTTCAGTCTTTCCCGGCTCAGCTTTCGGTTTGCCCACCGCCGCCGTAACCTCTTGTGCAGCCCCCATGCTGGTCCAGAGATCAGAGGCTATGGCGTGTGCCTTTATCTCTTGCTTGGCATCCAGTAGACTGACCCCTTGATGTTCAACAAACTTGACCTTGGCTCCCTCCACTGCGAGCGACTCATCATTCTTCAGGGCCTCATCGAGTTGGGCAGAGCGATCGATGTATTGGTTCACGCAGGGTGTGTCATCAGCCTTTGTCAGAGGAGCAATTGGTGGATAATAACCTCTCTGATACCTGCCGTGAAATTGCCTCCGTCTGTTATCTGTACCGCTCGACTCATTTTCTGCATTCTTCTCGTAGAAAAGGACCTTCCGCTCAAGCTCCCTCAGCTTAGCCTCGTGCTTCTCATCTCTCTCCTTCCAGGACAAACGTTCCTTTTCGAATTCCTCCTGCATCAAAGATACTGTTTTACTGAACATTTCGCCAAGTTGGTCATTCTGAATTTTGAGCTGATTTGAGAATTGCAGCGTGACATGCTGGAAAACACGCTGAATGATTTCCTCCAACGTTACTACAGCTCCCGGAGGAGCCGGACCTCCTGCATAAGTCTGTCCAAAACCTCCTGAGTTGAGAACTGGTCCATTGTTTCCATTTTGCAGAGGGTTTGGCGCCATCTCCTGTCCGGGGGTGGGTGGAGTTCCTTCGGGCCATGCTGGATGATGGAATTTTGCTCTATTTTCTGTATGTCCGTAAGAAGGGCCACAATTTATGGGTGGCTGGGCAGCGTACCCTTGTGGTGACCTCCACGGCACATGTGCAGATGCCATGGCCTTCAACTCAGGGAAAAAAGGCGAAATTAGACACACGACCCTCCTAAACCAGTGTTTTCCTTACCGAAGCAGTGCTGCCAATCAACTTCTTTTTATTCTTCATTGCAAAGCTGCATCAAGTGGGTAAGCGACTTTCGCGAGAGCCGAGAGAATTGTGAACCACCTTTTTAAAAACAATGGTCCTCTTCAATCCACCAGCCGGCTCCCAGCTCTTTCAGTGTTCCATATCTGATAGGGCGCTTTTCAAGTAGGATGAGATCAAGGTGAGCAGCTCCTCTTCGTCACTCTCAGAAAAAGTCTAATCCTGTCCGGACTATAACTTTTTCGTCTGTATATACTTTTTGGCTTTTCTATACACTACTTGAGCAATTTTAATTTTTTTTAATAGCTTCAAGATCTTCACCGAGGATGTGTATGAATGATCAATAACAAAAGCCGCGTATTGAAGAAAACTGATTTATTATATAGATAAATATAATCTTCATTTTCAATAATATCGCTTACAAATGCACTTTAAAATAGATCTGATTTTTCGATTGCACCTAAGCAGTTTTTTGTCATTGGAAAAGCTTTCAAAAGCAAAAAAGCATATAATTATTTTATAGGAAGCTCAAAAAGTACTTCATTTTCATCATCATCAATCTCAAGTGGTGCCATTTCTAGATCGTCTCTGTTGGAAATAATGCCGTACTTGTGGACTCTGGTCACTTTTTGTTTCAGTCTGCAAGAGTTTCAACAAATTTCATAAACATAAAATATCTTTCTTCAAATTTTGAGCAGCTCACCTTACAGTTCTGGCAACAAGATACATAATTACAATCAAGCCAAGGCCTAGAAACACATAGAACCCTCTTAGCAGGGAGCCGGAGTTGACTCTGCCCCCTGGGCCAACAGGTGCAATTGCTGTGCTGGAATTTCGTCCACTTTCCGTGGAGTCAATAGTGGAGGGTGGAACTTTCTCAGGGGTGACAGGAAGGAGAGTTTTGTTAGCCAGGTACCAGGAAGCGTCAGGTATCGCCTTGTCTTTCTTCTTCGACTTGGACCCCGAGTGCTGCTGGTTATCGACGCTGCTGCTGACGTTTCCCGCACTAGGTGCCAACTCCGCCTTTGGAGTTGACGGCTTTTCATTTTTTTTATTCGCAACCACCGACTGATTAATGTTGACAGTGTTCTGGTTAGCTTCATCAAGGCTGACACAAAAGGCACATCCTATTATCAAAAAGCAAAGGAATGCTTCTATTGTTAGCATTCTTATCGTTCTCTGGCTGCTAGTTGGCATGATTTTCCATGTTCACATGACAGGCTGGATCTCATCGAAACACTCCAAAAGCGGTGCAAAAATGCTCTCAGCTATTGCAATAGCTCAACTCCCTGTAGATTTTAAAAAATTATTTACAATTTATTATATGAGCTAGCTTTTTAATTGTACGTATACATACTTCCTGATTTAAATCACCCAAAAGTAAAATTAAATTTTTCTCTTTTTGACAGGCCACCGTGCCATCATTCATTAAACAAACCACGTACACTCCCCCTTTTGCCTCAGTCACGCCCCCGCCTGTGAAATAGGGGGGGGGGGGATAAGGCGGCAAAATGCTGCAGCTCATATTAGCTGCGCGAAAATGTCTTTTTACACATGGGCACCGGAACCAAGAGAGAGCGGTCTTTTTAAAGTTGAAGGAAGATGAATTAATTAATTATAACCTTGCGCTCTGAACAATATGACTGTTTTAATAATGGATTACGTGATTTTTCTAGTTGGCAATAATTATTACAATTATTATTCTTAAAAAAAGCTTTATACAAAACATGCATGATAAGTATAGTCTGTAAAAATTCCTTCATCATTTCTTGGAACCAAGTTGCACTTTCAAGCCAGTTATTTTTTCAGCAAGATCTGGATATTTGGCAAAGCACTTGGAATGCACATACTCTAGCGCCTGCAGATTTTTTTGGTCGAATGCTACTTTGGCAGCTTCAGAAAACAAACTGCAATAAGAGCATAAATAAGATTTTTAAATAAATAAATATCCGATTATTACTCTAGTTTCATATAGTATCGAACTTTCATGTCCTCGTTAACACGACCGACGTAGAGTTGAGCGTCGTCCTTTTTACCATGAGCAAGACAAACGTCGACAAATGGCTACATTTATTACAGAAAAGGTTAGAAAAGCCTAATAATTAAAACAATTCTTTCATTACTTCATATCCAATAGGAGATTTCTTTGCCTTTGAAAATTTTTCAAGTTCTGCCCACTCGCCCTCCGCAGCTAGAGATGAAATTTTGACCCAGTAATATCTGAAAGTTACAGAATTTAACATTTAAGGAGTTATTAAAAGTCTTCAAAGGACCTTCTGTCAGGAACTTTGTATTCTTGTCGCAATTTTTCTGCTAATTTATGCTCCTTCATAAGCAGAAGCTTTTTGAGCGTGTCCGTTACGGAAAGGCCGACGAAGTTGCCTGTGCTTAACTTTTCTTGCAGACTACGTTGGTGTCTTAGTAACTTGGCTTGCTCCTCACACAAACTGAAATTAGTTTCGTGTTTGCCTTTCTTGTAAAAGTCAGCAGCAGAATTCAGAATCATTTCCATGGTCGACGAATTCTGCAGGCATTTTTATTAATATATTTTCATTTTAACGATGAATTTCACCTTTGGATCAAAAGCTTCTCTCACTGCACAAGCACCCAAGGAATTGAAATCGTCCTCCTGCTCGTAAATACTTCTCCAGGTTTCTTTGTTGTGTTCTCGACAGTACTTGAGATGCAATGCTTGGGCCATCGGGTATTCTCGAATGTAATACTAAAATATTTTGTTATTTGCAAGTACTAATTAAATTACATTTCATTACTAGAAAGTCTGAGAGAGACATGTGTTCTTTTAAATGCTGTATAACAATGTGCACCAAATCAGTGTTCCCACTGTCGATAGCTTTGACGAGAGCCGTCTTGCCCTCATTAAGTCTCAGCAGTAACTGCACTTGACGGGTAGCACATGGTTCATAGTCCATTAGCTGCGTTTATTAAGAATAATTAAAGATTTAAAAAAAAAAAATCAATTCTTAGAAACCTTCAATGCCAGTTGATTTCTATGCACGTCGATGGCCTTATTTGCAACCTCTGTGTATGAAATGCCTGGCGCTTGACCCAATTTATTTGCAATTTCCCGAGCTACGTCTTCGTCTTGCAAATGAGTTTGCCCAACCTAATAAAATTTAAATTGCAAAATAAATTCCACCTAATATATTTTTCTCACCTTATTGCAGGCCCACAAAGCAAGGATTCTGCTTTCACCATCTGTCTCAGGTATTTGCAAGAACTGAGCAATTTTGATAGCAAGAAAGTAGTTTTTGCGTAAAACCAAACGATCTAGGAGAACTCTTGTTGTAAGGTGCCGAAGTCTATAATAATTAAATGGAATTAGCAAAGCATATTTTAATCTTGATGGGAAAACACATACTGAATCAAAGAAAGTGGAAGTCCTACTTTGTAGTCTCTGACAGCATTCAGGACCCTCATAGTTCGGCACATTTGGACAAACTTATCACTGTCGGATGTGCTTTCCAAGAAACTCTTCCCAAACTGAGCAGCCTAAAAGAAAGTAACATTACAACATTTTATCTCCCAAATTTTTATTATTATTATTGTTGTTATTTGCCTTTCTGGTTCGATTTGAACAACAGTAAAATTTCACCTTTAAAAGGAGCTTTTGAGTGTCCTGAGAGAACTCGTAACCCGCTGCCTCAATGCACTGTTGAACTGCAATCTTCAATTTATCCTTCACAAGACGTAAATACTCATCAGACCTATGTGAACCTTTCTGGAAGAGAATTAAAAATTTTTGAAAGAAATAAACATCGATGGTAAAAATAAATTAAGCAAATTACCTCAAATTGACGGGAAGCCTCTAATAGGTATGATCCAGGCTCAGTGCTGTTTATTCGAAATACTTCTTGCGTCACTGCAGGAACTTTCTGCAGCATTTCATGCTTATAACGAGACAGAAGTCGCACACCATCCATCTCTTTGCAAAGTGCCATTCCTTCGCTGATTGCAAAGGTAAGACGGTCTCCATTTTTTCCAACAAGCAGCAAAGAGCCTCCACTCCACAAACCAAGCACCGACTCCGAGCCACACCTGTATTTGGATAACGTAAACAATTTTTATGCGTTATAAGTTTGAAAAATATACCAAACAAGGTCATCAGGTTTGGAGCGCCAGCCTGTGTCAATCTCGCAGAATTTGGTTCTTAGATCCGCAGTGCCAAGCCAAAGTCTGCCAGTGTCGGTGAACAATGCTACCAGTTGATTGTCATGTGAAGCAATTATTTCTGTGACATCAGTGTAAGCCCCAGTAAAATCAGCACACTAAATTCTTAAATGTTAATTTCTTTGGTATTTAAAAAAAAAACTATTTTACAATAGGCTGGGCACTGGTTTTTGTTTCTCCCAGAAGCATTAAATTTTTCCGCTGTGCCACTAAGAGCCTGGACCTTTTCTCGTCCGACAGGACACACCAACTGCTGGGTGGTTGCTGAGGACCTTTTCAGGGAAAAAATCTTATTGCTCTAGGAGATAAATTTCTTGAGAAACCATACTAGACATTTCAGCAACTTTTCTTAATTTTGGTTCCAGCACGTTGTTGACAAGGAAAAATTGCAGACTAGAAGTCAGGACAACGATGCCCGTACCTCCGAAGCTGTTGTAAATTTTGGCATCCATCACCTTGTGCTCTTTTGCCACCTATAAAGAACAACATCATATAAAATTTGAACTGAAATTTACATTCCAGCACATCTCCCATGCTGAAGGAGTGCTTGAAGTTTCCAAATAGATCATATCGAACGACGATGCCATCACTCTGCACACACAAGAGTTCCTCTGTTGAAGACCAGCCCAGCTCCACGATTGCTCCACTGTTCCACTAAAAAGATAAAATAATATTTTTACAGGGATTCAACTCTAATTTTTCTCCAGTACCAAGATTGACGACAAAATTTGACCCGAGGCTGTGTAAATGAAAATTGTCGGCTTAGTTGCACCTTGGACAGCAACGAATTTTTTTCTGTCCATTATGATCGCAATGGGTCCTCCATATTGAGCCGCGGCCACGCAGATATTTTCAAATTTGAGATCCCAGTGCATTTCGTAGATATCAAATTTTCTGTAAAAATTCCAAAAAATGTACAATGTAAAAATTAGGATGCCATGAAATGATGGTTTGTCGTCATTGCACCTGTAAAAGTTGTCCTTTCCTAGTGGACACCACTCTGCAGTTATCATAGCCGACATTTTAGTAGTTTTATGATTTTCTAACAACCGTTCTTAAAAAATGTACATCTATTTAATCATTTATGGATTAAAAACTAAACAATTTCATTTGGTTAATTGTGAATTCTGTGACAAATGGGCGTTTCTTCAAAATATTTGTGTTCTAAAAACACCCTGAAGTTGGTGCGTATAAAAAGAAAAAAACTTGTTGTTTTGTAACTTTACTACACGGCAAATTCCGTGAAAATAGGGAAATTACCAGAGCCCCGCCCATTTTTGCTCGTTTCGTTCTATATTCTCGTTCGTATTCGTAGCCGTTCGTCGTTCGTTCGGTTCATTTCATGTTCGGACTGGTACATACACGCCTCCTACGGGGTTAACGAGAAACGAGAAGCTCTGTCATTGTCGCATGGCCCGAAAAAATCCAATGCTGTTGATTCGTGGTTAACAATTTTAATTTCTCCAGTTGAATTTCCATTCTACGAAGTCGAATGATAAATCTGGTTTGACTTGCCGACGCCTGAACGATTCTTGTGCTACGCCAAGTGGTTCGCATTATTGATACGCAGATTTCTGAAAATCGGTACACGTGAGGTCCTTCCAATATGGAGGAAGATTGGGGTAAGTTTCTACTTTGCAATTTCCATCCACTCGAGTGCATAATTGAGGTTTCTTGAATTTAATTTTCGCGTGCAAATTTATTTGCAGATGCTGATGGTTTTGAGCCAAAGGAAGTAACTGTTAAAGCTGCTGGAAAATGGGATGACGAAGACCTTGATGATGACGTCAAGGTAAAATATTTTTATGACTTTCTTCTAAGTTCTAGATAATTTTAACATTATTTCTCAATCATGCAGTTTTCATGCACATTCTAAGTTTTGTGTTTAGCGCTGCTCAAAAGTAATTCATGCAAATTAAGAGAATATTTTTCGTTTTATTTTATTAAATTATTGTAAACCACATGATCATATTTAAAAACAAATTTCAACATTATCTTATTGCCAATTTTATTATTCAATATTGAAGGATTAGTTAATTCAGTTAATTATTGATTCATAAAATAAACTCTGAGGTGTCTGTAAGTTAGACGAGACTATTATGGTCATTGATATCACCTAGAATATATAATTATTAAGCTGACCTACATTTTTCTTGTACGAATTTCATTTTGAAACCTGTCTAAATTTACATAATGACATATCAGTTTTGTTCTTTCCAGAGACTATTAATTAATTTCATTGAATTTCCCAGGACAATTGGGAAGATGATGAAGAAGAGGAAAAGAAGGACACTGAGAAGCAAGAGGAAAAATCCTCTATTGCACCAGCACCTGCTAAGAAGAACAAGAAAAGTTTGTCAAAAAAGATTGAAGAAAAAGAGGTGATAAATTTCATTTAGCTTTCATATTGATATATTTAACAAAAATGTCGTTTGTGCGTTTTCAGAGATCTGAACAACTTGCCATGGAATCCAAAAAACCAATGACACCTGAAGAAAGATTAGCAGAGAAGAAGAGACAACAAAAATTGCAAGAGGAGGCAGATTTGCGAGCAGCAATAGAAACTTTTGGTATGCATAAAATTGAGCAAATTGATATTTCAACTAGGACTAATCAATCAATCAACTAATAGGCATTACCGAAGGCAGTGGTTCTGGAATTGATGCTATGCTCCCTAGCTCAAAAGAAGAATTTGACGAATTCGGAAAAGCTCTAGTTAAAAAAATTATTCCCTTCTCAAGTTCCCAGCACTTCCCTCTGTTTGTTGAAGAACTAATTCGAGACGTTTGTGCCAATCGTAAGGAATTTTGTCATTAATGTTGCAACAACTGAAGATATTTTTCTTCCAGTTACCTCCAATGATTTGAAGAAGTTGAAAAACACCATTGACAACCTACATCTGGAAAAGACGAAAATTGAAAAGGGCGACAAGGCAAAGAAGAAAGGAGGAAAGGGAAAGGCAAAGTTGCGAGTGGAAGGTGAATCGGCAATTGTGGACGAATATTCGGCTTACGACGTTGAGGAATTTGACGACTTTATTTAAGCTTTGAGAACAAACAAAGACTTCCTCCATAGTGTCTATCAAGGAGCAATACCTTGAAGGAAACTATAAGAAAAGGAAAATTGAGTTCGGCAAATTATTTTTGTTTGCTCACTTCAAATGTAAATTACTTGATATCAAGTGGTGCAAAAAAGCATGACACGTCTAAATATTAAATGTGTTACTTATTTCATAAAAATCCTGTGCCTAGAGAAAACTTATGTTTTAATTTTTAACTGCTATACTTTCTAAATTGTAGAGATTTTTTAAATGCAAATGTGGTAATGGTACCAATTAAAAAATGAATCGGAAAAAAAACAAAAGTTGGGAAGTTTTTTAAGGATGAAGGGCTTCATTCAAAACGCAGCAAATGTTACTAGACTGGGTTGTTTTATATTTGTGAAAATCTTTAATATACTTTATGACAACAGTTCTGAAGAAAATGCGAACATAAAAATTTGGATGCGTGATGTTAGAAATTGAAATAAAATTTTGTAAAGCTAAATCTTTCATTGTGCCGTACAAGTTAGAAAAACGGATACAAACCATAAAAACAGGAGCTTGTTGTAAAGCTTTTTACATTTCTTTATTATTTCACTAAAGTTGCAACAAAGACAACTGAAGGGATTGCCAATGACCAATCAATCCCAGTGGCTAGTCCTGGCCTTAATAATTATTAGCTATTTTTTTTTTTTTTTTTTTATATTTCGGCTGAAGATGTGATAAAAAATTACTTCACGTCCACTCGGTTTTGCCTAATCAAGTAATGGAATAGATGTATGGCATACACACCAATTTTGAATACACTTGCTACACACCCGACGCTTTCAATACGCAAGTTATTGGGCGCAATTGTCAGCAGAGCTCGTCTCTTGCTCGACCACTTCACATTGATTGCTTTCGTCGATAATCATACTTTCTGGTTCATTATCAGGTTCGTTTACGTCCACGGTAGGCTCCCCCACATCTTCAATGCTGCCAATTGCCTTTTCCTCAATCAGCTCAGATAAATTCTGCTTATTCTGTTGCTCTGCCATCTCAAGTGTCATTTCTACACTCATTTCCTCGTTAGGAATTTCTTCTTGTTGCATGACTTCTGGTTCAGGGTCAATAGATACCGCTACCTCTTCCACTTGCGGTAACTCTTCGACAGGCATTTCTAAGGACTCGTCCTCCTTTGGAATGTCCTCCGAAACAGGCTCTTGGACCTCTACATCTGATTATGAATGAACTTATTGAGCATAATTATTATATAAATAGATAATACATACCGTTCTCATTTTCTGGCAATGAAATCTGCTCCGTTTCTGGTTGTAAATTTTCAACTTCTTGTTGGTGATCGGTTTCAACTGGCATTGCTTCGTGCAACTGAACAGACTGGTGGACGCTCATCTCCTCAAGATGTTGCTGCACATGCTCGTCATGGGTGACCTCTTCACCAGCTTCTTCAATGGCCACCTGCATAGGCTGCTGCTCTGTATAGGTCACATACGTCTTGTCCATCTCTGCAAAACGGATCAGATTTTCTGCGCCGTCTTTGCTCAAAGCGTCTTCCTGAGGCATGGTGAGCATGGCATTCTCTTGGGTTACGTACGCTTGTTGCACTAACCCCTCTTCACCCACTGCTTCTCCTTCTGTTTGAATAACATGACCAACCGGTTGTAAGGTCAAAACTCCATTTGACTGAAGAATAGCCTGAAAATGTTAAGCGTTTTAAAGTCCGCATTAATTTTAATTTTAATTTTTTTTTTTTTTTTTTTTTTTTAGGGTCAGGCCAAGACAAAGTCTTGTCGGCCTGTGCCCTTTATTGGTGGGACAGAAGGCACCACCCAATTAATTTTTTTTTTTTATTTTTTTTTTTTATTTCTTTAGAATTCTTTAGAAAGGATTTGAATATTTTTAGATCATCAACAAAAAACTACCTGAAATCCTGCTTCCCCAGCAGTGGTTGTTGTGCCATCTGGATTTGCCACCAAAATGTTGTGACCGGCAAGGAGAGCCAGTTGGTCAAGAGAGCCGGTAATGGTGCTCCCGTCAGCAGATATCAACTTCAGCTGCTCATGGGAACCAGAGGGCGCAGAAGTAATGACAATGGTCTGCTGTCCGCCCGTTGCACCTAGCGAGTTGACGACAGCACCCATGTTAGAAGTGTCGTACTGCACCAAATCTGCGAGCTGGTTCGCTGATATTTGGTACTGCTCGCCAGCCTGGCCGGTAAGCATTTCAGGCACTATGTATTCTTGTCCAGGCATTGCGGAGATGATGAACGTCTGCACAGTGCCGTCCGCGTTAGGGATGGTTTGGACCATGGCTTGCTGGTCGACCTCTGTCAACTGGTGTTCAACAAGTCCCAGTTGAGAGGCAATTCCGTTGGCAACGCTGTTCAGCGTCTCAGCTTCAGTGGCCTGCTCAAAGGTCAATGACTCTTCCAAAGCCTTCTTTGCCGCATCTCCATCTGCAGACTCGTCTTCCATTTCATCGACAAACTTTCTTCCGACCTCCTTGTGTGCAGCCCGGACATGCGCCTTCAAGTTTATTTGACGGACAAACACCTTCTGACAGAATGGACACTCGTACTTTTTCTTGGAGGGGTCAGAGTGCAGATTTGCTTGCATGTGACCCTGGAGAGCTCCGTTGCTCTTGAAGCCGGCACCGCACAATTTACAAACAAACTCTTTGTTGTTCGAATGGTTGTTGCGGTGTTTGATTAGCAGAGATTCGCTGAGGGCCACATACTCGCACTGGTCGCATTTGGGGAAGACAACATTTCGTGGTGGTTGAACTCCATGCTTGGTGAACAAGTGGTACAACAGCAGGTTGCGTTTGCTTGCGCGGTAGCCACAGTGCTCGCAAATCCTAGCGTCAATCTTCTCCATGTGCACCTCTTGCAGGTGACGCCTGTATTCAAAGTAAGTGGCAAAGTTGATGGGATCTTCGTTGGAGCCGCAAGTGTGACATAGCCATGGACCAGTGGTATTTTCAGCACCCGAAATCGGTTTTGGCTTCGGCACTACCGGAGGTGGTGTATTTACCATCAGATTCCCTATGTTGTCTGACCTGCTGAAAAATAATTGAATTAGTTTTTCTTCAACAACATGCTTAGGACTTGCACATACCTGCTTCCTGTTTTAATGATGACTTTAGCTGGAGCCTTGTTGCCCTTTTCGCCAGCCTTCAGAACGACATACGAGACTTTTTTATTGGCAGTGCTGTCCTCCGAGTAAGCTCCTTGCTTCATGATGCGTAGCTTGATGTTTTTGTTGTTTTGCACCAAGTGAGGGTACTTTTTCAGCACTTCGGAGATAATTTTTGCATGATTCTCGGCGCTAGAACCTCCGTCCGACCTAATGATTGTCTCGCCAGTTTGCACAATGGTCTCCTGCTGAGATTGAAGCTGGTCGGGTTGGCTTGCCAGCGAGAACCTAACTTTCTTTGCCCCAGGAGAACTATCCTCTGGAACTTTCTGCTTAAGAATGGACTTTGTCTGTGGGGTGACGGTGTTTGATGAGTCTTCTGGATTATCTAAATACTCTTCGTGAGTGTCCCCTGTCCGATCTTCTTCATCGTCGTCATCATCTGCAGTGTCCGTGATGGCCATGCTGGATTCTTCTGCCGCATCTTCCCCGTCTTCCTCGTTGCCAACTATCTCTTTTCTCAATGCTTGCTCCTGAACAGGAAAATCAATTGAATTCAAAATAATTTACAAAAGAAGAATGGACCAACCTTCAGATACTCTTTGACAGATTGGATGTCAATCATTTTTGGCTTTTTCGAAGCCGAATCTGCTTCTGATGGTGCTAGTCGCTTAATGGGAGCTACTTTAGCTTTTACTTCCTCAAAAGTATCTGTGGGCTTCTCCTCCTCAGGTCCTTTAGCAGGCGTGGCAGCTTTGTGCCGCAGCAAAGGTGCCGACTCATATGTAATAGAATCGAACGGCTGAGAATACTCTTCAGAGTAATTCTTTAAAGTCTCCTCATCCTCGGGCCATTCAAACCTAGTAGGCTTTGGAGGCTCATCGTCTTGCTCAAAGACTCGTTCAGAAATCCTACACAGGCAGAAAATAAAAAACTTCAGATCAGCACACACAAAATACTTACGCTAAATTTTCTGGCACTGGATCATCAAATGAAACTGGCGCTTTCCTCTTCTTCCAAATGGGCAACCTTAAACAAAAATAAGAATAATGAATAAAAGCAATTTAGCAGCTATGCAGAATTACCTTCTTCCAGGAAGGGTTTCGGGAAGGTCCTTTGAAGGAACTTTCCGATTTCCGAGGCTCTTTGCTAATATTGTAGGATGCGAGTTGTTGACACTTTTTTCTGGATGACTTTCAGAAGAACCCTGGGCATCTAAAAGTTTTGTCAATATTGGCATATTCAGCCTTCCAGCTGTGTAGTATAATTTTTTTGTGAGGTTTTCCTTGAACTCTAGCTTTCCAGTGTACATAAATCTAAACAGAGGAAGAATTCATAATAATAAAATCAAACGAATTTTAAATTTCAGTACTTGATAATAGGCAAAACTAGTTCCGAAGTAAGGTCCGTGGGCATGACCAAACAGTTGTCAGCGTTCAGCCCATTTTTCTTCTCTAATTGTTGAAAGTAGTCTGTGCAAGAGTTGAGGACTAAACTGTGAACCTAAAACATTGTAAATTTTGATTACATGACATATTATTATTTAAAAAGCTTTATTTTACCTGTACTTTGACATCACTCGCAAATAGAAGAGTCAAGTCGCAGAAGTCACTCTTGTTAAAAAAGTGCTGAAGTCTTTGTAGGAAAAATGGACCCCAGTTGTCTACCTTCACCTGCCGAGTGGCACCCTCGTCACCTTCGCCGTGCATTTTGAAAGTGTGTTAGTTCATCTGAAAATTTTCAATATTGTTCCATTAATCTTAGCAATAAAAACAGAGGTTTAGGAGGTTAGATTAACTAATAAAAACTTTGTCCTAATTATGAATTATTTATCCATAAAATTTAATACATATTGGTACTTCTGTTAGAAAAATTCTCATATGATATTTTTCTTATTTAATAGCGAATGGAGATCGTTCAATTAAATTTCCCATACTTAATAATACTGGGCTTGTTATTGAGAGGAAGGAAAAAAGCTAAGAAAAGGGGCCGGTCCAGATTTGAATAAACAAAAAAATGCCATTGCATAAGTTGAATGCTGTTGCTAAAAGGGAAATCGTTATCTTCATCAGTATTTATTTTAAGATTTTCCTCTTAATTAAAGCAGAATGACTGGAAACAGGGTGCAATCTGAAGTCAGGGGCCACTCACAGAAGGTAAAAAACAACAAAATAAGGTCGGCGACGGGTTAGGCTTGATTGCAAAAAGGCCGCACTCGAGGCAGGGGTGGCGCCCGAATCCGGACTACATCGCCCCCTCACCGACCCTCCGCGATTTCGGCAGTCGGCAATCTCGTGATTGCGAAGGCGAATCGCCCAACATGTTTTGTAAATTGCGAATATACTGACCAAAATCCGAAAGCGAAAGAAGGCTCCATCTCTGAAACGATGATGTCGGCAAATGGAGTGACCTTGCGTGTTGCGCCGCTTCTTTCCAGAGATGACGCTAGCTTACCGGCGGTAATTTCCGAATTATTTCGTTCGCGCCCCTGTCAAGGTGGGCGTGCCCGCTGCTCCAAAAGCAACGTGAGTTTCATGTGGTGAGTTTTTCTTTTTCGTTGATTTCCTTTTATTTTAATGTTGTTTGTTTTTGCCAATTTTTGCATCACCCTTGCGAATTAAAAACCACGAATGCGCGGTCAATTTAGCTGTCGTCAATTGCCGCAGCCGGAAATGTTCATGATTTTCTTGTGTTTCATGGTGCGCTTTGCATGCAATTTCTTTGCAGATTTATTTTGCATTAATTTATTGCCCAGATTTGGATTTTTCGTTTCCTTTCACGCAAATGTCACGGACCACAGTATTGATGCTCAATATCAATATAAATTAATATTTGAAGAAGAAACGTATTAATTTATTAATTCAATGGTTACTTAAAAATTTAACGCTGCATAATTTGAAGAAAAAAACTTCACGGTCGTAAATCTTTTACATCTGAAGCTCCTTCAAAATTAAATTTCTTAAAGTTTTTCTCCAACATCAATGATGAAGACACAAGATTTAATTAATTGAATATCAAATGGACAAATGATTAAAAACGGAAATCTGTGTAAAATGATATATAATAAATTACGAACTATTATTTTATTCGTTGGGTGCTATTATTAGTTCCATTGCATTACACAACTTTGCTATGAGATGGGTCAGATGTAGTCGGGATTGGATGCGAAAAAAACAGCTATTTAACAAAGTTATAATAAATAATAAATAATGGTGAGAATTTTTTATTATCATACATGTTATGTACAAGTTTACAAAATCTACAACTTCTTAGGTAAAAATTTAAAAAAAAAAAATGCAATTCTATTTTAGACACACATTAATAATTACAAATTTAAAAAAAAAAACACTATTTTGGTAATTCTTATAATTTTGAATAAAACCAATATTTTTTTAAGGATATTTTTTTTACATTTCATAATTAATTCTTAAGTGGCATTGCAGAGTCGGAACATAACTTGACAATGTACATAACAATTAATTAAAAATTATCCTGATTATGAGCGTTAAATAATTGGCATCAATGCTTGAAGAATGATTTCTTTTTGCCGCTTCGGTCGGGACGTCTGCAGCGCGGTGAACAAAGGTTTAGCGCGGGTGGCGGGGCAGGCTGAGCAAGTCAGGTTATTTTTGCGACAGCAAAAAAGGCGCAGCCAAATTTCGTCGGCGCTGGTGGTCGATGGCTGTGGCCGGTCAGGCCGGTCCCTTGTGGTGCCGCCACCACGCAACGGTCGCTTTTCGATCTGCACGCCCTCGCGTCCCTTTCCTCCTCCTTCGGACCTTGGCTTCGGTTTCACAAGCACCTCATTCACGGCGACTTAAATTTTAATTTTCCTTTTATTGAGGAGCCAGAGAAAATCGAGTTTATAATTATTCGCACTGCCGCGGTATACGTGGGGGATCGGCTTATTGCACAAAATTTAATGGCTTTTCCTGCAAACGATGAACCGCACATGAAAAGCAGTTAAAGCTCTTTCAGGAATTGAAATAAATCAGTAGTTTGTCTTGCCTTAGCTTCTCCGCCGAACACTTAAAATTAATGTGCTTTTTTTTAAACGCAGGCAAAATTATTTATTATTTTGAAATTGATGAGAATACTGAATTGAATTCAAATTTCATAGTTCATCGGTCGCTTCTATTAAATATATGAAGACAAAAACTTTCATGTAAATTAAACTCAAGTATATTTAATTAATTTTTATTGTGATTGAAAATTGAATCTTAATATAACAGACAAAACAACATTCAATGGAAACCTCGTATATGCTTGCAATTTAGAGTAAAGACTGATGTTGGAAAAAATCAGTTTAATTTTAGTTTTTTTCTCATGAACATTAAAGAAGGTTATAATGAAGAACCAAAATTTACATTCTCTGAATATGATTTTAATGTTAATCTTGGCATTTATCAATATATGTGCAGAATAGGTAAAAGTGAAAATAACCAATGAAATTGCTTAAATTTATGGCGTAATTTTTCCGGCGTTAGTTTTTTAAACAGAACTTGATGTTGTAAAATATTTGAACTTCCAACGTGGGCTTGGAAAATTATGTAGCTAAATTGCTAAATAAATCATGAAAAATGATCGTAAAGCTCATTCTGACAAAAAAATGTTCTTTCCTATAATTTTTCTTACATAATTACCAATAATTCAACTTTAATGCAATTAGTCAAGCAAGGTTTCAGCATTTTCTGAATGCCGTAGCTTGTTTTAATCAGAACGAAATTCTAAGCTTCTTGTTAATTTGTTAGTGTAAGTAGTGTTTTTTTGGAATTTTTAGTCTAGAGTTGTGTCGTGTTTGCGTTGATAAGTGTATTCCAGTTTCAGTTTTAAATTTATCCAAGTTAAAATTTCATTTGAAAATTCTTAGCTTCTGTTGAGTTAAGAATCAATTTTTTTAAAACTATTATTTCCTTTTTTTGTCTTCTTATTTACTTTCAAGACACTCGCAAGGACTCACAAAAAATTAATAATTCAAAAAGATAAAATATTAGTATTAATTAATTAATATTAATATGCATTGATCGACGTAGAAGTTGTGATAAAAAATCTTGCTTTGGCTTTGAAATAAGATTAATTAAATTATTGAAATTTTGCACGGCGTCTCTGAATTTTTGCGCTGTCTTTGCGTGTAATTGCTAGAAAATTTGATTAAATCTATGAAATTAATTATAATATTAATGAAAATTTGTGTTACCTGTCGTAAGGGAAAACTTTATAAAACATAATGTTTTGAGCTTTTTTAAATTATTCCTTAAATAAATAAAGGGAAGGGGGGGGTGACGGATGAAAAATTAATTGGCCATTATTCGATAAAAGTAGAATGAAATTCGGTTTTGCTCGTTTAGCCGCTCTGCACTAGCAAATGTGGTCCACAGGGTAGGGTGGAATGCGGTTTGGCAGGTCTTCTTGCCTGTGGAGGGAGCAGACGCCGCCGCCGCCGCTGTCGTCCACCGGCCTCAGTTAGTCGTGCATTGTGTAAAATAAAAAGAAAGAAAGAATGGAACACAGGCCGGGCAGCAGGTAAAAAAATAAAGACCTGCTCTCGCGCAACTTTACATCCAGACCCTGAGAAAATAAACCATTTCGCTGGGCTGAATAACGCGTTGACACCCTGAGCAGAGCTGAGCGCAGCCATCTTTTTTGCTCCACGGTGGGTACAAAGAACGACATTAAAGTAAAAATTGCTTAATCAATGTAATTTTCTTTTTCTCAACAACATAGAAAAGAAAAAGTATTGATTATTGATGATAAGACTTTTTAATAATGTTAAAAGCGGTTAAAAGTAGTTTCACCCAAAAAAATACTCCTAGAAATATTAATTGAATTTTTCTAATTTAAATTTTATTACGACTTGAGTAGTAAAAATAATAAATATTAACAATTGATTGACTTGATTTTGATGTTTCTCCAAACAAGTAAAAAATAAATATCCACAGTGAAAAAAATTTGTTGGGAGAAAACTAGGCACACAGTAAAAAATACAATATAAGCCTGTTGCAGAACAAGACCTGTTTATAAAACCAGTCCAATTTGAACTCAACTGCTCAGTCGCCAGAAATTTTAACTGCTGAAATATTTTAATTTGAGTTTAAAGTGTAACTTCAATAATGCTTACATGTGGGAAAAATTAAGGTTAGTGTTGAAGGCGCGATTCGCAGTTGGCGAAAAATGGATGCTGTTAGTTTTAACTTACTGGTTGGCGTCCGTATGCTGATAAGACATGCTGATCAAACGATCCGAGAGTGGATCCGCCAAGATGATGTACAAGGTGAATGACCCGGCCCTGCTTTCCAGGTGTCCTAGGTATATAGCGGTACCGTTAAGCAGCAACAGGCCGGTCGGTCGGCCGGCCGCCCACCTCTGATTAAGTGGAAGCTCACATCTCGTGGCGCTTCTCTCTCGCGGGTCAAGCTACTCTCTGCAATTCGGTGCGACCGGCCCATTTATTGAAATTAACATGCATCGAAAAAAAGCCGGCCGTGCAGTCTCCAAAGCCAGAGCTGGAAGCAAACGTAGAAAATTAGATTGCAAAAATTAGTCTTAATTTTTAATTTTCCAGTAAATTAATAGTCTGAATCGAATTTTCCCCAAACACGCTAATAAATCGAGTGTTTGGGCGTGAACACAGAAATGTTGGTGTGCGACGAATCTTGCCTAGTGCGTGACTTCACAGGCTTTCTCTGCTGGCGACAGGTTTCTGGCGACAAAATTGGTGACGCCAATGGAACATGTCTCGCCCCACGATGTAATTAACATTTTAGTCGGTACATTTTCTCATACTGTTTACAAAATATATTTAAATGTTATCAAATAATGAATTGTATTAGCAATTGACAACCGATAAAAACCGGTTAAAATGCCAATTATTATTATTTATTGATTATTGACAACAATTCAATTCGCACCAGCGAATTTTTAATTCACATCACGACTGTCGTTACGAAGGAAGTCACGCAAAAATAATTAACGACTCTGTCACCATTTGAAAGTGCTGCAAACATTTTTACCAACAGAAAAATTGCAATGGCTTATTTGAAAGAATTCGCTCCATTATGATTAATTTTAATTTACCATTGCTACAAATATATACAATTTTCTTACAAATGAATAATTTCATTATCATTGAGGGCAGCCCAAAAATGTGCAACCTGGTCCAGGCCAACTCAACCCGCCACAACAATTCGGGTGGTGAGGTTTTTTGATTGCCTTATTTAAAAAATAAAAAATATATATCCACGTGACAAACAGCAAAATGCACGTTTAAATACACAATTTTGCAGTTTTGCGGCAATCCCAAGATTATAAAAAAACCGACAAATATGTGCATTATAGATAAAAATAAGATCGGTGAATGTTGACCTGTTGCAGATTTTAGCTTCGGTAAACTAGCTTTATGACCGTTTTAAAACACTCATACAGCTAGATAACCAAAGAAAAAAGCAGCACTTAAAAGTAGTCTTGGAGGTCCATCAAGGATGAATGTGTCACCTGGGAAAGTAGCTCCTGGAGAAGGTCGAATTCCAAAGCTTTTATCACTGGTTGCTGCGGGTGAAAGAATTGAACATTAAACACGCGGCACACAAAGATTGAAACAAACCTCTGTGAATTATGAATTACATCAGAATTGTGAAAATATTCAAGTCATAATTAGAATAATTATTATTGTGTTTATTAGCGGCGATTTTTTGTCAATAATCAAGGCGGGGTTAGCAAGAATTTTATAGTAACAAATAATTAACATGAGATATTTTGAAATGGGTGTTAATTTTTACCCAAGAGCGAGGCTAGTTTTGAGTCATCAGGTTGTTAGGCGAATGCAAATGAGGTCTCGGCAGCAGTGCATCGTCACTGCTCCAGCCTCGTACAGTTACTCCGAAGAGCCAAACTTAATACGTACCTTTTACAATTTTCGAGAGTCACATGACACGTTATTCAGATTACTAGAAAACGGGTACAAATTTTTTGCAAGTTGTTATTCTAGAATTTGAATTTAAATACGCAAGAAAATTTAAACGAAGCGACCGAGAGGAAATTATTGGCGAGTGAGCGAGGCTCGATCCAAAACCGATCTGCAGCGAAGGTAGATGTAAAAAGGTAGACGCGCGGCGAAATGTGCAGACGCATGCCTCTTTCTCGGCGCGGTCCAAGGTCTGCAAGGCATGCCCCGTCTAGTCCCAGTCTATGTGGACGCGAAGCACATAAAGTGATTATTTCCATATTATTGTTAGCCTTGAGCGCGGCGCGGAGGCTGCAGGGATGACGTGTACCAAAACCTTGTATTTTTGCACTCGCGGCACGCACACATACCCCTACATGGAAAATCCGTCTCAATCACACAGCATCTTTCGCAGCCGCCGCGCTTCGCCCCCCGCCAAACTGAATCGAAACGGGTTTTGCTCCATTTGCGCGCCGACAACAAAAAGGTGCGACATTCGCCGAGCTTATTTATTTCCTCCAATTAATTGAGACACAATGAGCAAGATGTTCGTTCGACACACACTGCGGAAATCTTTTTTTCTCCGGCATGCAATCGCATTAAGCTCAAAAGTGCACCTGAAGTGAATGAAATTCAATTACGGACAATTTATTAAAAAAAAATTAAAATCAGAGAAGCGAAAAAAACACGTTGAATATTTAAAAATGGTTTTATTATTATAATTTATTTATTTATTTAACTTTCTCAATTGACATAAAAAAATTAAATTTGAAAAAGAGAGAAAAGGGTTTAAACTAGCAAAACGCTAAACTTTGCATACCACTGATTTTTTTAAATAAATTCAATTTATCAAAACTAATTTAAACTTATTCATTGAAAATAATTGTCGGTTTTCTTAGCAGAAGAATAATAACGTACATTTGATTAATTTAAAGTTTTTTCTGGTAAGGTTTATTGAGTTTTTATTTTCCGTAATTAATTTATGAGCGTTTCTATCTCAATTTCAATAATTTTATTATTTGCACCGTTTAAAAATCATTTTGTGCGTTAATTGAATGAAATATATTTGGAAGCAAATTGAGCAAAGTAATTTTCGCCAAAACACTGCTTTACGTCGCCAAAAGATGAATGAAATGTTTCCAGGAAGGAAGTCGCCGATTCTCACCACAATGGCTCAGGGAGGGGAGGGCAATTAAGAGAGACTGCAAATGAAAATAAAAAAATCATTTCGTGGAGAGCGGCGCATGCTGCCTGCATGCTTTTAGGAAGGAAATTAGCACACGTGGCGAACAAAGATTTGCGTGAACGTGGCGCGGATAAAGGTGAGGAGCTTGATTCGCACACATAAAAAAACTGACGCCATTGCAGACGGTCCAGATGCTGCGTAAGGTCAAACCGACTCTCTTCCTAAAACGCGATTAATTCAGAAGAATAGCAAAAAAAAGTACTAACAATAAGCACGAATTGAACCGCGGCGTTTACTTTATCTCAAACCATCAAGATTAAAATAATTTCCTTATATCAAATTAAATTAAATAATTGATGAAGAATCAAAATCGATTAATTATATTTGTTTAAAAAACACAAATATTATTTATATTCTCTCAAATTCTATGTTATTTTTTTTATAAATAATCAATAATCCATTTTCTACAAACGAATGAATTTAAAAATTAAAAAAAACTTTATTTGCAAAAGTTTATCCTTTTTTAAATAAGCCTTGGTAGCTTTTTTATTTTCAACATAATGTGAGAAAGTGTACAATTTTATTCAAGGAAAATTTTGTAGAAAACACCCGCGCCAGATTTTAAGCAGTTGGCCTGCTCGGATGGAAAGATGCCTTTGTGAAGCGCGGAAAGCGGTTTCAAAGCCCCCGAGCGCCGCAGCAGCCATAAACGCGGCTCCGAAACGCCTGACCGGCCCTTGCGAAACCATCACGAACATCCCATAATGCTTCACGATTATTTCGTAACACGATCAGAAAAAGCCCAAGCGAGATGGAAATAAATTCCAACGAAAAGCAAAACATCTGGCGTGTGTTTCGACTAATTATTATTACTCTCACCGGTGATTTGAGATTTTTGTTTGAGGAGATAAAAAATTAACTCGCGGGATTGGAGCACTCACCGAAAATTGATGTCCGTTTCAACAAATTTGATCCATCACAACACTCAGGGCACAATTACCAGTTTCGAATGCACACGGACGGCGCGAGTGCGTGTCTGCCGGCCGCGAGCATGGAACTCTTAATATGACGCCGTGCGCGCGGCCGGCACACACTTTATATGACGTTCCTCTTAGTTACCTGTTGTGCCCTTCTCTTATTGGCCGTGACTAGTGAAGATTTTCTGCGTGGTGGCGGCAAACCAACTTCTTCGCTGCTCCATTGGCGCTATCCGCACATCGGTGACGTCACTTTTTTATTTAAACAGGTTAAATTATTTCCAGCAATTTATTGCTGACCGGGAGGAACCGCATTTTCACCCAATCTTGCGGCCGGCCGGGTTTCCAAGGAACCCGTTTTCAGCCTAGTGATTTTCCTCCAAAATGCGTCCCGAGCTCGCACCGCCAAATAATGCGGGCGAATGACTTGAACCGTGTCCACTCGAGTGACGACGATATTTTCTATAATATATGCAGAAATCTATCTCTGAGCGACAAAAATAAAAAAATCAGAAAGAATCAAACTCACCGCTGATTTTAATCTTTGCAGTCAGTGTGTGATATTGTGATATTCAAGGGAACAAAAAAAAGCAAATTGTAAAATTTATATTTAGTAATATTTTTTTTTTTTTTAATAAACGAGACTTTCTTACTTACTTTTGCAAATATGTCGAGTTTAAGCGTTGCTAAATCGCTTTTTACAAACGGGTCGACGTCGGTGAAGCGAACGACGACACTCGCCCTCGACGACGCGCATATTTATTCGGCCTTCGATTACGCGCTCTCTTGATTTACAGTCAGTGGCCACCGTTCAAGAGACACCCAGAAAAGCCACGTAAAATAAAATCTTACTGAGAGTTGCCCGGTGGACGAGGAAGAAGAAGTGCAATAAACTGCGAGAGAGCCAAGCGGAATATTTCGCCACACGGCAGAGAGATGTTGAGCGCGTAGGCGTAGTCGGCGCGGTTTTTTGTACCTATTGTCGGTCGTTTGGTCGGACGTCTTTTGTATGTGCACTTTGGTGAAGAGTTCAATACGAGAATGAGCTCCTAGCTAGCTCCAAGGTCAGTATGTACAAGGGACTGCATTCCTCTCAGGCGGCGGCAGAGAGAGATGCTGTTTTTTGGAGATGTACCTTTGATATCTGATAAAATGGAAATTTTTTACTTATAACAGCATTCGCGCCGCCGGTTGTGCCAGCGCAAAAGCTCCAGAAAATAAATCATCGACGAAATTAAAATTAAAATCTGAATTAAATAAGTTAAGAGAGGTGGTAGAATTTCACGATCGAGGGCTGATTTGAATTTATAATCGGCTTTTCCTCGATTGGTTTTGCAAGTTGTTTATTGTTTTTTCTTAAACAGTAAACAACTGACAAAACTCATCGAGTAAAAGACGATTTTAAACTCTAATCACCAAGTTTAGTTTGAGTTTGAATTGAAAAGCAAGTGATTTTATTGAGCTATGCACAACATTTATTCTTCTCAAAACGACAGGTTTCTGCAATAGGCACTTTGAGCACATAAAATACACAGTTAAACATCGTTAATATTATATATAGTAAATCTCATGTTACAGCTGCGCAAAATTAATTAGTCCATCTGCAACACCAGAAATTCTAAAGGCCGTACACATTTATGAACTCATGCTTTGTGTTGTGCTCCGTACAGACTAATATACACGCTGCGTGTGTCACACACGAAATCAAAACGTTATTTATTTTTTAGACCGATTAAGGTGCATTTTTCATTTATGTAATGGAATGAAGCGCTTATTTTTATCAACTTTTTTTGGTCTTATTATATACAAAAGATTATTTATTCCACTGCAGCTTTTTCCTCAAAATACTCAACACAAAGTATATCACAGAAAATTACAGCAAACTTACCACGACAGGCGGAATCATTGTATTTGCGTGCAATTTAACATGTTCGTCTGAATCGTTTTTATAAAGCACTGTGCTTCTAGTTCACGGTTTGTTTTCAAAAGCTGCTAAAATTTGCACTACGGATAATAAGCACTCAAATTATTCAAACAAGCATTGATTTATCAAATGCCGACTTACTTTTTTACTATCATTTTTTTGAAGTAGTGGTATGGATTCTATTATTTTACATGTTTATGTGTGTGTTGTATTTTTAAAGTTCGTGATCAATACTCAAAAGCACCATGTAAAAATATAGAACAAATTAATTGAATTACACTGGCGCTCAAAACAGTTTAGGACGAATGCAGAGTTACATTTTTTGTCATATTAACAAACTTTGTTTTTAAATTATTTTATGCTATGAAAATGCAGGTTATGTAGAAAATTAATTAACCTGAAAGACTTGCGGCATGGACAGAACCTCAAAACTTATCAAAACTCAATACCATGCCAAAATCAAGCATTTCAATAATTTCTCTCCAATTACACAAAATTATTTTTCGTCGCTGAATTTCAGTTATTTTTTACTATTATTTTTAAGTTATACAGCAATAACTGTCCATTTGCTAATTGCAGGAAACTTTTTCGATGAACAAAATGAAAATGAAACGATCAAACTATTTTGAGCCACCTACGCGAATTTTAGAAAATTCGTTGCTCGTGTGGTACAATATTTATCACTCCCTTTTCTCTGTTTAACATTGTACAGATTTCTGACGCAATAAATTTGAACAAAAAACGTTTATACATTTTTTAATTCAAATGAAAAAAAATGGGCACTCGAGGAGATTCTTATGTTTAAAAGAAAAGGTGATCTAGTTGAAAATTATGATTTTTGTAGAAAACCAAAATTGAAATTAAAAATTTCAAGTACTTCAAGGCCCGTTTACATTTCATCACTATTTTTTTATTGCAAGGCATTTTGCCAATAACTAGAAAACGTTAACGTTAAAATTAAAAATACGAAATCACAAGTATAATTCAAAATTTACCTTGAAAATTCGTTTATGAACCGATTTTTCAATTAATTCAAACTTTTATTCAACTTTCAGCGGCGGGTGGACGCTTTATTATGCCGGTTTTCGGCACATACTTAGAATGCTTTCAGTTTAGTCCCTTTCCTAGTCTTTCAATGTAATATGGTTTACGTTTTTAACAAACTAGTTAGTTTATACACTTCTAAGAGAGTGTATATTATCTTAACATCAATTACGCAAAACCAGGGAAACGTGTGCTAAAAAATTTGGAACATTACCAAAGGCTACGCTGTATGATTTTAAATTAATGTGACCAACCGAAACACTAGATTTCTTTGTGGTTAGATTATATATTTTTTTAACTATGCAAATAGTTTTAATTTATATTTAGTTGCAAATTAATTGTTCAATTGTGGTAGGAACAAAAATTGTAATATTTTAATTAAATCGTTTGCATAATTTAAGTTTAAAAAATCACAAAAATTGTACAACTCGTCCAATTCAGCGTGTTAAGAAAGTTATAAAAAATTATAATAATAATATGTGAATAAGTCAGCTAATTATTGCTCGACTTGTCTCACAAATATTATGCACTAGGTAAAACTACTAGACGTTTACTACATAATGTATGAATATTCGCGCTTTCACAATCACTATTTAGTACCACGAGTTGAAAATCTAAAAATAAGCAATGTTCTCACCAACATGCCAACAACGTTACTATAGACAAAATATAATCTTGATGAGGTTACTGGTATAGGAGACTGTACTGATCAACTGCTTATTACAATTAGAGGCCAATCTTTCACCACTTGGACCAAAATTTTAAATTTGACCTATTTCATTTGTTCCAGAATTGGCGATTTTATATTGGAATCAAGTAATTAATAATTTTTTACGGTAGGCGCAATTTTTTTTTCATGTACTGTGTGAAAGCATAACTGAATATTAATGTGAATTATATTGAATTTGTTTGGTGGTGAAAAAAATGCTTCAATTTTTGCATGCCACTAAATTTAAGTCTCCCCCACTGAATTCATATGTTTGTCCTCTGATAATACACTTTTTGTCGTTTAATTACATTTTAGAAGAAAAATGGCTGAAAAATATGAAATGTGGTGATTTAGACTAAGTTTAAATATTGAATTCCCTAGCCTGGGAGGACAAGGCGTTTGTGCCTCCATGTCAAGTGTTAGTGCGTTTCCGCATTAGCTCATTGGCCACGTCGTCCACGGAGATGAGCTTTTCAATAGGAATGCATGACAGCTCGCCCTCGACCCTATCTGGGTTGCGTCCGGTCCACTGCTGAGAAGCTTTTGGTGGACTCGAGACCTTTTCCTGCTCCTTCATTGCCTCCTTGGCGCGCCGCTCTTTGAGCTTGAGGGAGAATATTGCCACGCTGCGGGCCCGTTTCAAAAGACTGCTCTTGACTCTGCTCTTTTTTGCGGCCAATTCTTCTGCCGCCGTCAGCTTAGATCCTGAAGCCTCTACCACCTCTGATGTGGATGGCCTTGGTGGAGGAGGCGCCGACTTGACACTCATTGGCACTAGAGCTGCGTTTGAGGGGTCGAGAGACGCGCGAGGTGCTTCTAACCTAGGCTGCAACAACTCGTCTCTGCCGTTAACCTTTTCCAGTGTGCTTGCTGGAGCGCTAGGCCGTCGGACTTCTGGGCCCAAGGTTTGTTCAGCTGGCCCAGGGGGCTTCGTGCCATCCTTTTCAGGGGAAAATCTAAATTTAGACCTCGGCTGCATCCACGGTGGTGCTGATCTGAGCAGGTCAGTATCTGAGGCGGCAGTGTCTTTGGCCAAGATGCAGTCGGTGCTGTGTCGGATTGAGGCTGTTTCCTCACTGGACTCGCTGTTTGCAGATCGACCGCGAGTGTCCAACTGGATGGTGTTTCCGGATTTTCTAGTCGCTGCCGTGTCGAGGCCGAAACGTTTGACCCAGTCGATTCCACCGTGGGGCCCAATCGTCAAGTGGTGGTTTAGAATCTGAGAACTGAGAGGAGGGAAAGGATCCCTTCTTTTTTCATCGCTTAGCCACTCTCTTGATTTGGTCACGCCCGACCGCGGAGAAGACTTGTCCGACTTTTCATGATCTGACTCGCTCGAGTCCGTGTGGCTCCTTCCAGGTGAAGGCGTTTCAGGTTTACTTTTCGCCTTTTCGTCCAACATTTGATTTGTCGAAATAGACTGCGGCAGTGTTGGCTTTGCAAGGAATATTTCGTCGTCAATTTTCGCCTCCGGGGTAATTTCTTTTTTGGGTGCCTCTTCTTGCTCATCCTCTTCGCTGGCTGGAGAAACCACAAATCTAAACGGACATAACCAAGATCAACCAAATTAGTATTTTTATTTGTTCTTCACAAATCAAGTCAAAATCAAGCAGGAATTTAAAAAAAATTGCGGCTTAAAAATGGAAAATAATAAGAGTGAAAAAGCAATTTAATAATTTATTTTTAAAATTATTTTCCTCACCTTCCAATAACAAGACCGGAATCTCCAGTCAGGTCGTGAGTAGGAGAGGCTGTCGATGATGCCCTTCTACACGCTTCTCGACGTGCAAATTCAGCTTTAGCCATTTCTGTCGCCACCCAAGAGGGCAAGTCAGGGATTGCGTATGATATAATAAAGCGCAGAGAGAGCATTATGTGCTGCAATCAGAAACGTTTTATGAAAATTTGTAAAATAAAAATAATTTAAATTTTACCTCTAAAATTACTATAAGAAGGATCGTTTGGGTCGTTGACATTTCAGGAAACATGCGATGAACTTGGCCAGAAAGACCTATCAATGCGCAGTTTACCAAAACAGCAATTATTCCCATCACTTCCATGGCGTCCTGCGATATATTTAAATTGAGAAATAAGGACGAATAATTTGATAATTAGTCGCACTTACCTGCCAGGTTCCAATATTTGAAACACGTTGGCCGAAAGGTCGTTGAAATATGAAACACAATTTGAAGGCATCTGTTCTGATTTCAATCAAATTGTTGAGCATTGCACAAAGCCCTGCCATGGGAAATGCGGATGAAAAAAGCACGACGTATCCGAACTGAATGAACATCTCAAGATGGTCCTCGAATGTACCGTCATACTGTTTGATAAAATAGAAATTAACATAATTGAAGTTATTAAACCGGAAGTAAATGCCTTTAATAGAGTTCCCTCAAGTTCAGCTTGACTCAGATTTCTTGTCTTCCTGTCTCCATCTTTTGTTTCTGAGTCGGCTTTTTCATCAGCAACTTCCGCGTCTTCCGCATCGGTTGATGCTTTAGACTCTTTAGAATTGCTGCTTCCAGGCTCCCTAACTTCCTTTTTGTTCTCCTCGGACGGACTCAAAGCGCCGAACAACTCAAAACTCAGTTTAGCAAGGCGAAATTGCTCCAGCAAGTACGGTAGAGCGCACTCTTTGATATTTCCAATCACTTGGCGAGCAATCAAAAGAGCAGCAAGTTGCTAGGCAAATAAATTTTGTTCAAATCGTGAGGCGCAAAATATAATAATTATTATTTACCTCTTTCAGTTTTTCTTGGTCTTGCAAGTAGAAAGCAATATAAAATAGTGATAGAAATGAATTCACGAACTGGAACTGCAACAAAAGGGTGCATGCGATTGTTAGTTGCGAATTTATGTTTGGCTCTTTATAAGCTGCATGGGAACAAAAGTGTAAAAATAGCGTGTACGTCCGTGTGCTTTAAATTTAGTATTTTGTTCTTTAGTTTTTCACTCAATTATCATAAATAACAATTTTTTTTCCTACTGTAAATACAGTTAGATCCGCTTAAAAGGGATAAAATTGTTTTAAATCTGTTATTTTAGCAGAAATTATTATTTCTTTATTCAGAAACGATATAATCGTTACTTTTGCCAGAAGCATGTTTGGATTTTTATTTACATTAAAATTCTATTTATAGTTTTATCTAACAAGAGTTCAGCATTTGTATTGATTTTCTTCACACGCACGAACAAGCACACAGTTAATTAACGAAATATGAACAAAAATATACTACCAGCCAAAGATAGAAAGATATCTAGTTTAAATTCAAATCTTACTAAAATCATAAGGCTTTTTGAGTATTTTAATATCAACTACAAATCTAAACAAGAGGTCTATGATATAATTGATTTAATATTTTTATCATTGCGCATGCAAGTATTCATTTTCATTTAATTAAAGATTTAAAATTGGTGTAATTTTTTTAAGAAATAATAAAAATCTATTTTTAAAACGTGTTTTTCCAAATTTTTTAAAAACGACCTCCACAGATCTACTATTGTTGTTGATATAAAGATCATGACAAAAGCTAAACTATTTAATTATATAAAAGCTATTCAAACATTACCAGGCCTGCATTGATTAAATTTAATTTTAGACTGCTTTCTACAATTGAAGGAAGTATTTGTGCAAATAAAAAACCTACCGCATAATAGTTTTTACGAAAATAATAAATGATCGATATCTACTAACAGCAGAGTGTGGTTTAGGCGGCTGAAGAAATATGTATAATATCAAGCTAGAAATAATTGGTGTAATTGAAAGCCATGCAAAAACATAAACCATGCGTTTGACACGAAACACCAATTCAGCGTATAGTTACTGATTCGGATACAAACCAATGCTACTTTGACGATTAGATGGTTTTCATACTTGGTCTCAAGTCTGTAGTTTTCTGAGAGCGAAATGGAAAGAAAACTTGTAAAAACGGTAAAAACATTCTCAAAATAATTGTTTGTTTCTTAAACTAAACTTATTAAGCCAAACATAAATATGGTCTCATTATCAGTCTCCCTGGCACGACTCGTCACAAAGAAAAATATGCATTTTAGTCGGTTTTTCAGGGTGAAACACATAAATCCGTTTACCAACGCAAAACATATCGAAAATTATATATAATATTTGGTCTCATGATGCATAACAATCTGCAGCCATCATTTTGAGGTTTTATTAATTTGCATAATGTGAGAGTGACTGCGAAGTAATTTCACGCCATAAAAAACCAAGATCAAAGGCCACAATATATTTTTACAGAGGAAACACTCATAACATAAAATTCGGGAACAGCAGATGGGGGGTGAGCACAAAAGTTTTCACGAAAGTAATAATATGTTTTGTTAGAGATGCTGTTTTTACTGACCATAACTAGCTTAATAACTAGATGATTTTGATATTTTTCCTCGAGCCTATAATTTTCTGCAACAAAATACACAATTGCCCCCGTCTAAGTATCTCATCGAGAGTAAAAATTATGCACAAAATTTTCAATACTGTCCAAATCGAGCGGTTATTTTTCTAAATAAAAAAATAAAAAATCGATTGAAGTAAAAATAATTATAATTTGCTCACCACAGTCGTTCAACCACAGAGCCACTTTGTAGTAGCAATCGTCCATCAATGTGATGACGCAGGCGAGCAGAATTTTAGGGATGTAGCTCAGACAAAAGGGGTATCCCTTGGCCAGAAGCTTCCCATCCCACCATTCCTACGAAAAAAATGCGGTCAAAATCAGCAAAGAATTCGCGGGCTTGGACAAACCTGCAGTTGGAGGATGAGAAACATGACGACAAATACCACAGCCAAACACAATGCAATGATTGGGATGCTGATCAAGTAACGGAACACGTGTCGTTTCCATGCTGGATAGTGCGGCTCGAGTCTGCCTGTGACTGGGCTCTTCTCCAGCGTCCCCTGCGAAAACGAGTTTCATATATATTATACAGTGTGCAATAATTGTTTGCTAGCGCGTTTTAATTTTTTATTCCATCGACTCACAGTAAAAAGAGGCCGCGGCTCAACTAGCAACTCGTCTCGCTGGTCCAGGGTGCCCCAACGGTACGCGAGCTCGGCGCTGTACCGCTTCCACGTCTCCAGGTACACAGTCGCCCAAATCACGTTGAACAGTGAGAAAATCACAAAGCCAATGTCTTCTTTCGCTTGGTTACCACCGCAGATGAACACCTGTCGGAAAATTTCAGCTCATTTTAATTTTTGTTGAGCTGTGTTAACAGGTGCTTTATGACAAAAGGGTCATTTGTATTCCCCAGATGTCGAAATGCAAATGTTCGCGTTTGCTTCAAAAACTCGTTGCATTTTAATGTCAGAGGGCGGCGAAACAACCCTCGCTGTGATAAAAACACATCTGGAAGGCAAATAAAGCGGTCTTACCCAGAAAAGGAACCCCACGATGGCGGGCACAATAAGAGCAGTATTGTAGTGTCCAAGCCACGCAAAATACATCGCAATCTTTACGCCGAAATATTCACAGATCTGATCTAAAATTACAAATAAAATTATTATTTAGATTATTTCATTTTTACATTATAAAATACCATATTAATTTAAAACAATAATTTTGTTGTAAAAATAATAAAAAGACTGCGCTACAAAGAATTGCGTAGCTAGGAATTTCAAAGAATTGTGGCAACAAAGAGGCGAGAGTCTATTTTAAACGGGTACTTACCGAGTGGCTGTCTCTTAAAGATGGCTCGAACCCAGGATTTTTGAAGGCGTTTCAAAGACTCAGTGTCGTGCAGAGGAAAGACTTCAGAGATGATTCCAGCAGAAATACACTTAGGCACTGCAAATTTGAAATTCCCCTCCTCAAACGCGTAACCGACTAAAATTAATACGAAATATTACCAATGGCTTGGCCCTCGATGAGCCGAAGTCCAGCCACCTCGTCTCCGGAAGTGGCGCGCAGCATCTGCAGGAGGTTGAGCACCAGCCACTGCCGCTCCTGACTTGTGAAAAACGAGCCCTGCTCTTCGATTCCCTCAAAAATGTGCGACTCGTGCTGCACGAACTCCTTCTGCCCACCACCATACGCACCCTTCACTTTCTTGGCCAAGTGCAACTCTTCCGCCGCCTTCAGCAGCCTATTTTTATTTTGTATTTATTTGTTTAATAATTTTGCTTCAGTGTGAGATGCTTACAAGGAGGGTGAAGCTGTCAGGTAGAAGCCGTAGCGGTCGGTGGAAGCGTGGTGCCGCACGTGCACCACCAGACCTGGTGTGCTTGACCGCAGACGCTGCAACAACCACATGAGGGTCACGTCGGACGCGCCGGATGGGAAAGTCATCACCATGTCGCAGTCCTTAGGTAAAAAACGTATACAATTTCAAATTTTTTTTAAGATTTTCAGTAAATGATAAGAAATTTTCCAATGGAAAACTATTTATTTTTATTTTTTTACCTGAGTGGGCACGGATTGCAGCCACAATCTGCGCGGCGTCATCAAATGACCTGAGCATGGTATTTTTTGGCGAAGTAATTTGCTTGCTGAAACAAACAACATCTCATTAAATCAACGCACCGTTGTTTATTTTCGTTTGAACTGCGAGAAGAATAAAATACAAAATAATAAACAAACGAACAAAAAAATCACGGAATATTCTTTGGTTAGAAGCGGTAAAAGTAAACTTTCCCACTTCCCACAGTAGCGCCCTTTAAATTCAAATCAGCGAATTCGAGAAGACTTTTGAAACTTTTTACCGTCGACTTTATTATTTGCTCTTCTCATCTTGCTTGTGCCTTGTACTTTTGATGTCTATTGCTGGGTGCAAAAATTTTGCCCAGCCCCTTGACTTGCTCTTTCATGTTCAACTTGAAACGGCAAAGGTCACCGCAAAGCGTCAAAATGATATCACCCACTTTCGGCAACCTCTGCTCGGTACCAGTCTTACAAAGTTCATTCTGTTAAGAACGACCGAGAGCGAAAACCAGATTTTCAATTTCAATATTTCTGCCGTGAAAATTTTTGAATAATTATCTTTTCTGATAATTGACGTTAAATAATTTATGCATAGAAAATAATTTAATAATCCGTACTTTAGTTTAATGTTCGTGAGCGATAGGGCTACTTGTGCCTCTCCGGCGGTCAAAGTTTTAGATGACCCGCACGACGCCGCTGTTAAGCGTGTTGCATACCTCGTAATTTTTCATAATTATGTAATTCATATTCACATGTTGCTCTTGCTTGATTTTAATTGAAATTGAATTTTTTGAAAATTTTTAATTATTTTTTAATATTTCTCATCTCAATTAAGAGCAAATGAATCCTTATAATCATTATTTAATAATACTGAAGTTATGAGCGAAACGGCGGGATATATAATGAGCGTGTATAAAGGGTGACCTTCCCACCGTAGACTGCAACCTTGCATGGCAGATTTGAATGAAGGGGGGTGTGGTTGCACTTCACGAAAGATCGTATCTCTTGATTTTTAAAGACCACTTGCTCACAGCCATGTAGCGAATATATATAAAATATTGCGCACAATTTTGCATCGCAGAAGAAAATCTTCGCGAGCCCGCCCGGGGGCAGCTATCGATCGGCCCCCTTGAAATCTCTCGATCCGACGGCAAATCGGTGCTGCACTTAAACATATGCCCATATATTCCACCCCCGACATACTGACCCGCTGATATTGTGTTTGTAGCACGCGACAAAACTTTGCGTCGACGGAAGGGCGATTGAAAATCGATATTCTCCTCGTTGTCTGGAATTTCAGCGGCGACGGCGCCGCTCTCGGCGCCCTGCTTCTCTTCCTCACCAGGCACACTTTCCATGCTGCTGGTCGGCCGATTGGCGCAGCTCGATTATAAGCTAGGACGAGACACCGTCGGCGGTGTCGCCATTCAGAGCCGATCGCTCGTCCAGCCTATTTTCTCGGTTGCGCCGTCCGTGGTGCCGCCGTCGGCTGCGCTCGCACGTACCGAAATCAACCCCATGCGCCGGACGTGGTGCGCACCCGTCGAGTCTCGTCGATCTTGGACCTCGATCAAACCTCTCGACTCTTTTGTCCTTTCTCAATGACTCAATGCTTATTAGTTGAACAGGTGATGCGAACTTGTTAATCTTGAGCACGTTTTTATTTGTTCACTGTTGATCTTGCTGAGCTAACGCGATTTTTTCACGGCTAAATTAGAGCAGTCTTAAAGGACGGCCTGCCAATTAAGACATATTTGCATTCTCAAAATTTTTGTAACACTTAACTTAGATTTTTTTACGTTTACTGTAAGCACAGGCAAAATTAATGAAGATTAAGTGTGATGTTTGAAGGCAATTTTTAATTCACTGTGTAAAACTTTAGCCCAGACAGATGAATTGCATAGTATCTTGCAATATTAAAAAAGTATAATTAAGTTGGAGGTGGAAAAAACAATAAAAATTTAATCAGACAATTAACTGAACAATTGTCTGTATTTTATATTATATGTAAAAATTGAAATTAATAATAATAGCATTCATTTCACCACTTCATAAATTGCATCAAAAATAATTAAATAATTAAATTTTTTGTATTGACCCAGATGAATAAATAATCATAGTAAATATATTGTTTCACAATAATAATAATAATCAGTGAAATATTGAGCTTGTGGGATCAGAACATATTTAATTAAATAATGATCTTTTAAGTTGCAAAAGAGTAAAGCATAATTTATTTAAGCAATTAAGCATCCAACGTTACTTTGTGACCTTCAACATTAAAAGTTTTCGGCATCTTTGAGTTAGGGACATCAAAGACCAAGGAAATCACGCGGCAAACCTCTTCGTGAGAAACTGCAACACCTTTGGGATTCTCAAGCTGGACTGAGAGCGTTTTTCCTTTGCATGTGACGTCTACAAAACTGAAATTTTCACCTTGTTATAATTTGCCACATCTTTTTGTGTGCGTCAGTAATACCTGCACAAAGAACTGCTGCTAGATTTAATGTTCTGGGTTTGGCTATCTCTAAGCGATGTGACGAGAAGAGTCTTGCCATGCAGCTTTGCTAGCAACTCGGCAGTCACTTGATTAGGACCATCGAAAACCTTGAATTTGCGTCCATTCAGCTGGAAGATTCTATCGATCTAAAAAAGAAATGAAAAGACATAAATTATTTTTCACAGTTAAAATATTTTGGTAAAAGTAGTGTTTACCTCATTCAAAAAGCTTGAGTAACTCAGAGGAGTGCTTCCCTTAGGGTTTTCAAGGAAAATGGTACCTTCTTCTTTTATACCCTTCAACGATTCACTAAGAATCAAATTAATGAACCTGAAATTGGTAAGATTATTATTTCATGGTATGAAGTGATTGCAATTTATTTACTTGGATGAAGGCTGCTGTGAAGCACTTGGTGCCGCATTTGAAAGTGTTCTCTTGACCTCTCCTACAACAGCCAAATACAGCTCCGATCCCATGAGCTGAGATAAATTTGGTGTCATTGCTAATTATCTCAAGTAAACAAAAAAAAAATATGTATATACCTGTTGCCTTTCATCCATGATGAGGTTTGCTTTTGGCATTTGTGCTTTTGGCTTGACGGGCATTTTGACGGTGTTCTCAATAAATGAGAGATACGACTGAACAATGCGTTCAAGATCACTTTTTGCAGGGGTCACTCCATAGAAAAGTGTGACTTGGTCAGTCGGTACAAGACCTGCCTTTTTCCTCAGCTTCTGCATGCGGTTGATAACTTCACGAGCCATGCCCTCTTCCACCATAGACTGGTCAGCTTTCAAGTCCAGCAACACAATTATCTATAAATATGAATAATTTAGATGCAACTCTTAATTCTTTAAATTAGTTTATACCTGTCCAGAAGAATGAGCCTCGTACTTTTTATCCGCTCCTGCTGATTGACCTTTGAATGTGTACATGACACGAATATCTTCAGGGGTTAACTTTTGGCCCAGTAACTCTATGCTGCCTGTGTCCAGGAAATTCTGGATGTCTGCGTCTTTCAAATCCTGAAGAAAAAGTTAAAAACGTTAATGGAGCAAAATTACTAAATGCACAGAAAAGGAATTTAAATTCAAATTTAAGCAAAGATAATCATTTATGAAATTCAATTAAACCCCGTTATACATTGTAAAAATCAATTTCCTGTAAAATCTCACTTTCTTTTATTTTGAACTTTTGATAATATATCATTTTTTTAATTTGTGTCAAAAATACCTTGATGGCCTGAGAGACAGCTTTGAATGTGCCTTTCAAGCGAGACCCAAGAGTTTTGTGGTCTGGCTCGGCTCGCATGACAACCCCGTAGGTTTCTTTGTCACTCGTAACAGTCAGACTGCGAACATTCAGTTCTTCCAGAACATAAGGCTGCAGGGCTCGAACGTCCTTCAAAGTTTGCTCATCTTTGCTGATAACCACAACTTCAGGCAGAGGATACTAAAAAAGGTCAATTTCAATAAGAGACTTGCTAAAAAAAATTGGTTATTACTTTCATTGGCTGAGAGTGCTTGTCTCTAATAACTCTTCCGAGCTCGATGACAGTTTGCATGTTGGCCACGGCTCGTTCAATGTCCTTGTCGATGAGTTGCGATTGTGGCTCTGGCAGCATCACATAATGCACACAGTCTAGAGGATTGGACACAAGGTGCCTTAGATTTTGGTACATGAGCTCGGTGAGGAACGGTGTGAAGGGTGCCATGACACACGTCATCGAGTACAGAACTTTGAAAAGCGTGCTGAGAGCCTGCTTGCAGTCTTCGTCACCACCTTCACCCTAAAATTGAAATTAATTAAATATATTTGACAATATTTGTAAGATCTTGCCTTCAGTCTCTTCCTGTTCATCCTGACATACCAGTTGGTAAGATTTTCAATAAACTGAACGAGTCTGGGGACAACTGTGTAAAGTCGGTACGCAGCCATCTCTTGCTTTACAAACTCAATCAGGGACTGAGTAAAGGACAGAACCCATTTGTCCATGGTGTTGCCGAGTTGGTTGAGAATATTCTCGTCAAACTGAAAGGTGGATCCACTTTCCTAAAATATCATCGTTAGATAAGACAAAAAATTCTTCAATTCCACTTGCCATTTGGAGTCTTTCAACGTTTTGAACAAAGAATCTGTAGGCATTGTACCAGGGTAGAAAGACATCCTTTAAGATATCTCGAACTCCGTCCTCTTTGAAACGCAAATTCTCAGCACGCACTACAGGCGAGTTGATTAAGTAGAGCCTAAGAGCGTCAGCACCATACTTGTTCACCACCTGGTAAAATAAATTATTTTGCCGTGAGCTGCACAAATAGGATGCAAACAGACCTCCAGAGGATCTGGGTAGTTCTTCTTGCTCTTTGACATCTTTTGTCCGTCTGAAGCCAAGACGAGGCCATTTGCGATCAGATTTTTGAAAGGGGGTTTGTTGAATATTGCGGTTGAAATGACCAAAAGGGTGTAAAACCTGTTGATTAAAGATAAATGTGATAAATATTATCGGATAGAAGAAAATGGTGAGAATACCATCCACGGGTCTGGTCAATACCCTCAGCAATAAAGTCTGCCGGAAAATTGTCCTCAAACTCCTTCCTTTTCTCGAATGGATAGTGAGACTGAGCGTATGGCATCGATCCCGACTCAAACCAGCAGTCAAACACCTCAGTTACCCTTTTCAAAGGAGGGTGACCAGGTCTCTTCGAAGGGATTGTGATGTGATCAATACTAAATGTCATAATTAAATTTGAATTCGGCAAAATAAAAATTTTACTCTTTTCACCTCTCACGATGGAGATCCTCGATTTTCTCGCCTGAAAGTTTGCTCAACTCTTCGGCACTGCCAATGCAAACGACCTCTTGCAAGTCTTCGGAAACCCACAGAGGAATGGGAGTTCCCCAATAGCGGTTGCGGCTCACAGCCCAGTCACGGGCATCTCTCAGCCAATTCCCAAATCGCTTCTCCTTCACAAAATCGGGGACCCTGAAGACAAAATGAAACAACCCAGACTTTATATTTAAGCTTTTAACTTACCAATAAGTGTTTTGATTGCTTTCAAGCAGTGATTGGCTCATTTGCTCGACCCTGATGAACCACGAAGGCACTGCTTTGTAGATCAAGGGCGTTTCAGACCTCCAGCAGAAGGGGTAGCTGTGGTTAACCGTGCCAGCAGTTACGAGTCGGTCGTTGTCCCTGAGCATTTTGATGATGCCCTTGTCGGCTTCCTTCACATGAAGACCCTCAAAATCTGTGACAGGGGCGGTGAATTTGCCACTGGCGTCCACAGGACAAATGATGTCTTGTTCCTTGGTGATGACTCCAGCCGCCAGGCACACGCGGTAATCGTCTTCACCAAAGTAGGGCGCCTGGTGGACGATTCCTGTGCCAGACTCCTCGGTGACGTAGCCATCGGTAAGTACTTGGAAAGCGCCCTTGCTCTGAAGCTAATGGAAACTTTGAAACGTCAATTTCTTGTAAAGTGAATTTCAATACCTGAGCGAAGTAGTCGAAAATCGGTTTGTACTTCTTTCCCTTCAACTCTTTACCCAGCATGGAACCAAGAACTTCGTACAGTTCAGGACTCTTGAAAAGAGCTTCCACTCGAGCCTCCATCAGGATATAGATTTTGCCTGTGGCCTTTTCTGAAATTACGAGTTTAAAAAAAAAATTGTCGATCAAGTCGTGCGAATTTACCTTTGACCTTGATGTACTTCAACTCCGGATTGACGCAAAGAGCCAAATTGCTGGGCAAAGTCCAGGGTGTGGTGGTCCAAGCCACGAGGGCCACATTTGGCTCGTCAAGCAGAGGGAAATTGACGACAACTAAATGATTTATAAATTACAAAAATTAACATTCAGATGAATTATAAATTTTACCTGCTGGGTCTTGCACTTCTTTATAGTTTTGGCCCGACTCAAAATTTGACAAGGGAGTGTTGCAAGCTGTCGAGTAAGGCATCACCTTAACTCCACGGTAAACCAGGCCCTTGCTGTACAGCGTTTTGAAAACCCACCAGACACTCTCCATGAAGCTGGGGTAAAGTGTCTTGTAATCATTTTTAAAATCTAAATATAATTGAAAAAATTAAATTTATTTGATTGAAATAAAATATATATTAATTACCAATCCATCGACCAAGGCGGTTGATAATCCTCTCCCAGTCTGATGAGTACCGCATAACAATTTTGCGGCACTCATTGTTGTAGTTTTTGATGCCTAATTTTGCAACATCGTCAGGGCCTTTGATCCCGAGAACTTTGTCAATTTCAAATTCCTAAACAGATTATGAAAGTTTAGTATGGAAATATGAAAAAAATAATCAAACACTCACAACTGGAAGTCCGTGGCAATCCCAGCCGAATCGCCTTTGAACGTGGAATCCTTTTTGATGAGCGTATCGAGTGACGATGTCTTTGATCGTACCTGCCAAAATGTGGCCATAATGAGGCAGACCAGTCGCAAATGGAGGGCCGTCGTAGAACGTGTATCTGCAATTTGTAACGATACATTTTAAACTTTAAACCTCTGTGCAATTTTTTGTTAAAAATTATAACCGTGGCTTTCCCTTCGACTGCTTCAAGCAAGTTTGGAAGGCGTCGAGCTTTTTCCAAAGTTCCAAAACGATTTCCTCCTCTTTGGGAAAGTCTATTTTCTCTGGCACTGGCTGCACCATGATTGCAGCATCCTGCAGAAATTAAAGTCATTAAGAATAATAATTCTTGGAAAATCGATGACAAATGTTTTCGGGCATTAATAATATTTCTCCAGCTTTTTGCCCAGCAATTTGCCAAAAAATTCAATGAATATTTACAATAGTTAATGCATTACCACTCAAAATGATCCTCAGATACGACAGACGGAATGGAAAAGGTAAATTTCCAAAACCACAACACACGAAAATTCTGGCTCGAGTTTCTCCGGCTTTTTTGATGCACGTGTGGCAGAGGCCCAGAGGGGGCGGGGCCAAATTCCTCCACGGACCGGCAGGTGGCGCGAATTGCAAAACACAAAAAAAACAGCTGTCGAGGTCGAAGTAAGTGTTTTTATTTTGATATTATGTGAATTATTAATTTATTTATTTATTAGCAGCGTTCAAACATAAAAGAACGATGGGGACAGCGAGAAAATGAACAAGACGCTTGTGGCTCTGAGAAGCTGTGCCGACGGCAACTCTTTCGTCGTCGCCAAGTTTGTCGACTGCCTCGTTCACCACTTCAGTGGATGCAACAAGGACCGAGTGTCCGTACCAGTCCGATGCAAATTGGAGGACAACTTGCTGAAGATTTTACCTGCAGATCCTGACGACGTGGGAATAAAGAAAAACTACGACCTTTTTAAATGGGACAAAACTGGGAAAAAATTCACTTCGGACAAAATCGACCATCATGTTCTTCTGCAGGTAAAGTTTATCATTTGTGTATTTTTTTTTTAATTAATGCAGAGTTACAAAATAATTAATAAACATACAATAATGCATATAATAATTTTTACAGCATTCCCGCGAGTGCCCAATCGGAAATTTATCCGATTACGACAGAGACTTGATTCCAGCAGATGTGCAAGAAAGGGGAATCGATGTGGCTGTATCAATTTTATTGCAGTCCAAAGACAGCAGGATTTTAATGACTCGAAGGCCTGATCACATGAGAACGTTCCCAAAAGCGTGGGTGCCTCCTGGTGGACACATCGGTATTATCAAATTTTACACTGAGCTGCCTGCTTTTTTTAAAAGTCTGGATTTTTTTTTAAATTAACAATTAAAATTTTCTGTAAAGTATAATCAAACTTGTTGGAAAAAGAAAAGGAGCAGAGGACCCAAAACGCAACCTGCGGCTGCTAGAATTTTAAAAACCTAGGATTTCTTGTTCAAGGTTTTTAAATAACTGCAGATTGCAGTTCTCCTTTTGGATTCTCACGTCTCATTCTAATTTTTCAAAATTAAATTTTTACAAATAATTTTTATTTAGAGGTGAACGAGTCACTTGTTGAGGCCGGCTTGCGTGAGCTGAAAGAAGAGACGGGACTGGAATTAGGCGCTGGCTGCATCATCCAGGTTCTCTGCTTATGGGAATCGGTGTATCCGTTTATCTTGGGGCTGGGATTGCCATCTCGACATCACGTTGTTGTCTATCTTCTTGTCAAGAGTGATCAAACGTCATTCGAACTCACCAAAAGCATCAAGGTAGCCAAAGTTTTAAAATTTGTTTGTGAATTTTTTTTTACAATATTTAATTTTGAAAAGTGCACTCCTTATTTAATATTTATTTATATTTTTAGCTCGATCCTGAGGAGGTGCAAGCATGCGCATGGATGTCTCCCGAGTCTGTGAAGTACCTTTTGGACGCTTGTGAGGACCCTCATCAACCGAATCAGGAAATGTTTTCCTTAAAAGAAGACGGTGGCCTGAAGTCAATGCCCTTGATAATATCCAGCATGTTCCACCCCGCCCTGTGGGGCAAGGGTGAAATTTATTCTGGCTCACAATTAGCCCTGAACTTGTGGTACAATTCGCTGTGCTTAGGTAATAATGCTAAATTGTAATCTTTTTTTAAATTTTTAATCACTTGTTGAAGTCATTTTATTTTATTATTACTTTTGTTGGCTCCAATAATAATTAATTTTTAACGACAATCAATGAAACGGCTTGTTTTGCGTGAATCTTTGAATGAGGTCCATTCCCCATCTGGGCTGATCGCCAGGAACCATGTGTCCGGCGTTTCTAACCAACACCTCGGTCAGTTTGCCCGCAGTCTTGACAAATCCGGCCAGTTCGCTGCCAACGTACCACTGGTAACGTGGTGCCTGCGCATATTCTCCCTGAGCGCTCCACTCCAAAGCCCTGAGTGCTCCGAGTGTCAGGGGGTACGCGACGATAATATCAAGTTGTCCGTTGTAGATAAGGACTCGGTACTTTTCAAGGATCTCCTGAATCCAAGGGCGTACGGACCTGTAATCACAAATTTTGTTTTTAAATCAGTTCCGAATTGAACCTGTGAATTTACTTCATCACATCCTGCTGCAGGAACTCCTCGACTTTCTGGGCCTCGGTACCTCCGAACGTGCGATTACCGACGTGGATCGACTTTCTGACCACGGCGGTTTGAACGAAGGTGCCAAAATCTGCCGTCGGGTCGGCGTCGGCAGGATCTTTGCTGTGCAGGTAGTTGAAGTAGAAATCAAAGCCGGTGAGATTTTTGAACAGAGCTGGCTGAGTGGTCAAATCGCCGTTGATGAGGCCGTCAAAAACTGCAAACGCCTTGTCCCACTGGCCCTGTTTTATGGCGTCGATTCCCTGCTGCTCCTGTTTGTGGAACTCGGCGCGCGCGTTTATGTCGATAAGGCCTAGTTGGTATAGGTAGTCGCCATAGTGGAGCATGTGCTCGGGATCAATCAAACCGTTGCCAATAGCCATGCCTATTAATTTATTTCAATATTAAATTTTTATGAGTAGATTAAGACTTCTACACTGTAAATAAAACTTCTTAACCTTTTCTGATAAGAATTAAGATTAAATGAAAATTTTTTATGTTGGCTGAACTATTGATTTTATATTTCTATCTTAGGGTGATATGAACATGATTTTCTGAAATTTATGTATCAATTTTGATCAAGCCAATTTGAGAAAAAAAAATATTTTAGAAAATTCCCATAAGAAACGGCATATTTCTCCCAGTAAATTCAATTTTTCTTATTAAAAAATGGAACTAAAATCATTGCTAATGTATAGAAAAATTATTATCAATTTAAAATTGATCGGGCTGTTTTTTTTTTTTGCGCTAAAGCCTCACCTAAAAAAAGATCAATTTACCTTGAAAATTAATTTTCAATGATGCTGTTGGGTTTTCTTTGTGGATCGTATAAGAAATGGCTGGAACGTATTTGCCTAGAAACAATAAATTTTGAGTTCAAGGTTTACAGAATTATATAATATACTGACCAGCATACGACTCGCCAGTTACGTAAAACTCATTTTTGACCAATTCCGGGAACAGGTCGAAAAATTGCAACAATGCACTGTACAAATTCTTTCCAACCGCAGTTTGATTGCGAGAAAAACCATCATCGGCGTCAGTGAAACTGAAACCTGATATGATTTTGAATAAAGTTTGGTAATTTTTCTGGATTAAAATAAATTCGTACCGGTGCCGACTGGATTGTCAATGTAGATTAGGTTGTGGGATTTGCTCCACGTATATTGGCGCGTGCTTAGAACTTGATTTGTCTTGACCAGCAACGGTCCGTTTTCAGTGAAGAGCCCGAAAAGGGACGTGGCGCCGGGGCCTCCTTGCAGCCAAAGTACGACAGGGGCGTTCAAATAATTGCTCTGTTTGAAAATAAAAGTGAAGTTTATTCAAATTTAAGGTTGAAAATTACCTCTGCTGGGAAGAACCAGAAAAACATGTTGGAATTGAAGGCCTCGTCCACAGTGAAGTAGCCTGAGTAGCTGACCACGGTCTCGGCGCCCTTCAAGGGTGTGACCAGCGCCTTGTCCCTGGCCTCCTTGAATTTTCCAGCTTTGAGCAGCGGCGTGAGGAAGAGAGGCTCACCTGGGTCGCCATCAAGAGGGACGCTTCGAACTTTGGGATACACTTTTGAGAATCCCAAAGCGCTGGAAATCGAAACAGCCAAAATGAGGCTGAAAACCAACGCACATAGTCGGTAGGTCATGTTGCCTTTGCCGACCGCGACCACTTATGTTTATTAATCTTGTGAGATCGGCCAGCGGCCTCCTTTTGCACTTTGTCCTCTTGCTGGTGGCGTGGTTTATTGTTATGACCCGCAATGATTTGCTTGGAAACAATCGAAACGATGCTGGCTTCAGCTATAAATATTCAAAACACTTAAAGAGAAAGTTGATTTTTTTCATCTAATGAAAAAACATCAATATTTGCTTTTTGAAGGAAACATTTGAGACGTGTAAAAATAGCAACATTGAATTTTATAATAAATGAAACGATTGCTGACCACAACAATATATCTATTATTTTTAACCGCGGTGCTTTGATGTCAAGAGTCAAAGAGCGTGTTCAAGCTGATTTGGTCGACTCTGTGCCTCCTGACGTTGGCTAATGAAATTAAATTTCAAATCAAAATAAAGTTTTGTTTCAATGTAATTTTAAAATATATTTTAGAAAACTCTGAATTATTAATTTGGTGCTTATTTTTTTTAGTAATAAAATGTTAATTTTTAAAGCGTAAACACCTACAATTTTATGCCAGACGCTAATTTTTTCAAGCAATTAGTTTTCTGGTGACTTCACTGTAAGATTCCCTTCACTTAAAATTTAAGATGCATAAATATATGTTATTTTAAATTTATCATCAGTATGCATTAGTGTTCATTAGTGTTGGAAAAACAGTTTAGCCCCTGCGAGTTATGCAACTGGCACACCTCGGCTGCGCTCGGCACGGTCTACGCCAAGCGTTGCAGGCGCTTGTTTGCGGAGGACGGTGGTTTTATCAGCTAATGTTTCTCTGTTAACTGAATTAAAGTGCAGTGCGGCTGCGACATTATAATGAAACTATATGCTACATATTATTTATATTGCATCGCGGACGCAAAAAGTTGCAAGGATTGGGTAGAAGAGCAGGCGGAATGATACGCCCTCGGTTCCCTGAAGTACAGTAAGCCAAGTGAGCGAGCGAGGAGCGAGCGAGCGGTGTATAACTACGCCGGTTATGAATATGCAATCGTCATTGCGGCCTCGTGGGAGCGATTCTTGGCAAGAAGTGTATCTGGCGGTGCCCACGGGAGTAGCGCGGCACGCAGAAAAGAAGAAGTCGCTGGCGCCACTTTAAATGTATGGAAACGCAACGCGACTCGCACACCATACATAAAAACGCATGCAAGGGCTCAAATGTATTTTTATACATATTTCAACGCCTCTGTGCCTCTCGGAATTTTCTCAGGGAAGTGAAAAAAGCTGAAGAAACTAATATTACTACAAGGATTTTTTTTCTCATTATTTTCCATATTTTCCTTGTTGTGTGACTTAAGCTGATGGAAATTGATGAAAAAAATTGCTATGCACTCATATAATATAATTATTATTGATTTTTTTTTGTCTCCAAATGAAGATACGGGTCTTTTAGTTAAGTTGAGTTTAAAATTTAAACCAAAATATAGCTTGCAGCGGCCTAAAGGGTACTTTTGCAACGCTGAAAAAGTGAGAAAGAATTTTGAACCAAAAACATTAAGGTTAATTACAATTATTAAATGGCTTTCAATTTAGAATTAAAGAAATATTATTATATTACTTACAATTAATGCCAGATTATAAAAATAGACGTAATAAAAATGTCAGATAATATATTTGGACTATTTGGAGCAATTTGGGGAAAAAACTATATATTTTGGATTTCTGCAAAATTATTTAAAAAAAAAATCAATTCTTGTCTTTGTGGCACTGCCCGCGAGTTTTCGCGTTGTCTGGTCAAGACCTTCGGAACTCCTGCGGGAGTCACCAAAAGAAAACAGCTGCTGATGCGCGCTGTCACTCTTCAAATTGCACGCGAAGCAATTTATGGCACAAGAGCCGGCCTTGCGCTGGCGTTTTCTTTCTTTCACAAAATGTGCAGCAACAACTGCACAAACGTTCCGATTTTTTTCCTTTCTTCCTCCAACGAATTGAAGCCGCGGCGCTTAATCAAGAGAGCTTCACACAGAGCGAAAGGAGAAATAGCGCTATTATTACTTTCCTTTGTGTTGACAGATGATACGAATTTTTCATGAAAAGTAAGATCAAATTATGGTCATTAATTAAGTCAAAATTTACTTATTAACTATATAAATTTATAAATATTTTAGGTTGATTTTTTTCAACAAAAATGATGTATGGTGTATGTTTTCATATTTTTTGCCGACTTTAGCCAGTGCGTGAGTGAGAGTGTGGCGGGTGGCGTGGGTATTAGGCGTTTTCTCCATTGAGCAGAATACCAATGTTCGATTCGCCTGCTTTATATTGCAACCGCGTTACCTGCGCCTCTCTCACTCGCTGTGTTGTGCAGCAACACTTTATGGTTGCCGCATGTTTGCCTCGGTTTTCCAATCGCTAATAAATTCATTCGTGTTTCCCATCCGAGATTATTTTAGCCAATTAAAACTGAAATGAGAATCACGCCAAATTTGAACTAAAGTTAGTGTAAAATTGGAAGCAATAAAATCTGTTGGTTTAGAAAAAAGTGCACGAGGCAACCCTACAACGCACACTTGTACGATACACACGCACAGGGGATGCGGTTTGACAATATATCATAGCATCCGCGCTGCCGTGTAAGCCTTTGCCACTGCTTGCCCCCGCACAACGCGATTTTTCCTTGCATTATTTGCTCGGCAGTCACTCGCTTCGAAAACTCCGTTACAAACCGATTTCAATCATTTTTCCTTTCGCTTTTCCAAACCGCACAAAACTGGCATTGTTGCTTTTTATTTCTGAAAATATGAAAACACCGAGACTTTTAAAGTTGTTAAATTCAATTCCTGTAAATTTAAGTTCAAATTATTATTCCGCGCAGAAATTAAAACATCAATTTTTTTAAATCAATTTTTATTATATTTTGTCTTTGGCTTGGTCTGTTTTGAGGGTATTTTTTTGTTCATGTTGACGCCTAAAGAAGGGCGCGTGGCACAGCAATTACAGATGGGTGAGCATTAAAAGCGTCTCATTGACCCCGAAACGCGCGCTGCACATTTATTTATGTGCTGCCCTCGCGCGATTCCTTTTGATACGGAAATGCTGCGCTCTCGGCACTCTGCAGAACGGAAGCAAAGCGCGAAAATATTTTAGATGTCATTAAGAAGCGGATGCGTGGCGCGCTGAATAATCTCTTTTTTTTTTTTGCTGCGTGCCTCGGATTTTTTGGCACAATAATGCGGAATACGATATATAGTCGGCTGCACCAGCAATTCATCAAACATGAATAATATTGCAAAAATGTATTGTGTTGTGATGAAACTCCTTTTTTATGTGTGTTTATCGACTTTACAGCTCAATAAAAGGATGGATAATAATAGTAACATCCAAAAGAGGCTTGAAATTTTGAGTATGACATAATATTAAAAGTAATGATGAGATAAGCTAAATATTGTTTTTAAAATGGAGGAATTGAAACAAAAAAACAACAGCAGCTTTAATTCTAATTTTGAAAATAAATTTAAATATTTTTTTTATACAGTTTTGATATATTTCATATAGATTTAGTTTCATAAAATTCTCAAATTGATGAAAAGGTCGATGCATGATTCCGCTTTTTTTGTACAATGTACTTTTTTTGCGTTGTATGTACTATGAATGGAGAATAAATAAATAAAAGGGAAGACAGATTTGGGTTCAGTATTTATATATTTTATTCATTTATGTCGTGATCTTCAGGAGGAAAGCAACAATGAAAAAACACCTCGTTGGCTGCTAAAAATATCTTTCTCGGTCGTCGTTAATTGTTATTTTTTTATATTTTTTATTTTTAATCAAGGATCAAGGAGTATAATGAGGGTAAGGACCATTTTAGTTTTAGAGACTAATTCAAGATTCATTTATTTAATGCAGTTTAACCACGCATTTGAAATTTTGTGTTTAATTCTGAGAAGTTGTACAAATTCACTTTTCACAAAAGGGATTTCGGAGCAAAAATCCGATTTGCCGTCCATTATAATCGCGACTAGCTGACAAAATAAAGAGCGGACGGCCTGCTTTTTTTGCTCATTTCAGGCTAATTGGAATTAGCGCGTTTGGACGGATTTTGCCGTTGCGCCTGCCGCGGAATTCACGGAGCATTTTTCTGTCCGGCGCGCCTCTTCTGTTACTTTTTGCGCGGCTCGTCGCTGTGAATGGCGGCAGATGTTGCTGTAATACTGAATATTAATCATTCGCCGCCGCGTGCGAAAAAGGACAAAATCTTGTCGGCTGACACTGCATTTAATGATTACATTTATTACTCCTTGATAAAGTGTCACCCTCTTTGTGCGCATGGAATAAAACGAATGCCTAGCTCGTCGCGGCTTAAAATGGCGTGCGTTTTGGGACGGACACGCGGCACACAGAGTGAAACATGGATGTCTTGTATTTCAGCCGCGTGCAGACACTGACAGATTGCAGCCGTGTCTGCAAACCGAATTTTTCATCGCATCAGTTGACGCGAACACTTCGGGCCGACCAAAACCAACGAGTGATCCGGACATGCATGTTTTCCGCGCTGAAAAACACAGCATCAGGTGTCATTTTTGCATGTCTCCATATATTTTCCTTATATACAAATAAATTGTTTTTAATTAAATAAAAATTACTGCGAATATCCTTTAAAATGTACCAATGAATTTAAAAAATAAAACAAGGTGAGTCAAATAAATCATTCATTGAGAACGAAATATTTTGTTTCTCTTGATTTATATGATTATTTTAGAAACTGTTCATTTTCTTGAATAACTAAACAATAATATCACTTAAATTATGATGTAATGCTTTGGATAAAGAAAAAGTGGAAAGATAATAAAAAGCATTGTTTTCTTTTGAATCTAACAGCCTCAGTTTTTTTTTTATTTTTCATGGAAATTTGCTCCACTCATGGTTACTTTTCTACGCCACGGATTTGAATATATTACTGACGGAATTAGCAAGTCGCTATTTATTTTTCGGCTTTTTGTCGCCCGTTCCATTAACGCTACATCGGCAACATTTTGCAGCCGCGCGTGAAAAACTGCAGGCGCGGTTTTCATTAACATATTATATAGGGGAAGGCAAAGCAGCCTTTTCCCTAAGAGAAGAAAACATACCAAATCTTTTTAATTAAACAACGCGTTCGTTTCGCGCAATGCATATTAACCGGCAAATCATAACGACGTCTCTCGTAACTCAAACGCTGAAAAAGCTAACGAGAGTAATGAATGGCAAAACGAAATTCCAATTTAGCGTTCAAAGAGAGACATGTATGGCCATTACGGAGATAAGCTGCAGTTAACGAGGACACAATCAAATTTAATGGCCATACTCTTGCGCTCGCCGGCTAGGTCTCATGTGAATGCGAGTGAAAAGGACAAATGTTCCTGTGGCTCACATAATATAACATAATGCATATATTCGTCCGTAACCTGCAAAACCGCGTTTGCATATTTTGGTATCTGAAATTAAATTATTGCGATTTTATTTTAAAAAAAGTTTATCTTCTTTAAAATTCAAATGGATACAATATGGGTTCTCTTCTTCTTTTTATTCATCCCTATATGCAAAAGCGTGGAGCAATTTTTCTTTCCGGAAGCCAGAAAATCCACCCAAACAGTTGATCACTGTCATCATTGCAAAAATACGGACAGCCGGAAAGAATAATGAGCTTTTACTGTTCGGATTACGCAAAAATTTGTCATTCTACCGGATATAAAAGTGACAAATCTTTCTCGCTTTAATAAATGCATCCTGGAGAGTTGGCACTGCTAGCTGAGAAAAAAAGCACATTTTTGGTTACTTGCTGGTATTTTTAACACGAACCAGAATTTTAGAAAAATATAAACTCAAATAATATGGTGAAAGTTTAAACAATTAAGCCAATTAAGTTTATTTTATTTTTATTTAAACGCAACGAGTGAAATTTTTGTACCCACTGTACTTTAATTTGGAACTTTTGTTTATCTCATTTAAGTGACTCTTGTAATGCTAGAACTATTATTTTTTTTAAGCCCAAGAGGGCTGTAATTTTTATCCGTCTCAACGTTTTGCTCCCTTGGTGATGAGCGGTGCCGTGAAAATGTATTAGAAATTCTCATCCGAGGCCAGATTTAAAATTCTGGGGTCGCTTCCAGCAGAGGAAAAAGTGTGAAGTTCCTTCTCATGCCCTATCTAGGCTGCACCATCGTGGTTAGGAGGGTCGCTCAAAACAAAAAGGGCCGCGACGGCACTGCAGATAAAACCCGCCGAGCTTGTAAAGCAAAAGGTACAAAACCCCGAATCGAGTGCAAGAAATCGAACTTATATAATATTCGAGTGATTTTCTCCGAGAGCATTCAACAGTATTATTTTCAATTTTTGTAAGATCAAATTATTTTCTTGCCCATCCTAATTCCTACCGACACTTAAATTAATATATTCATGATTTGAATTAATTTACTAATTTTCTTCAATTGTCTAATTAAATAATTTTGAATTGAATTTTCTTTACTTCATTCAATCTGCCGATTTTGATTTGAGATTTCATCTTTGGAAGATCTGAAATTAGTTTTTGAAATTGTCCGAGTTAATTAACCTGAGGAAATAAAGCCGAACCTCTCTGCGATCAATAGGATCTGATCTATACCCTGAAATAGAGTCTAACAAGTCGTTGTTTTGTTATCACATTTTGCAAGAGAATAAATGAATTGAATAATCATGCATGTACTGCGCATCGAACGTAATCCTAGGAATTTTGGCCGTAGTTAATTTTAAAATTAAGCAGTTGCACGTCTCAAGTAGTACCTTGGCCTTGTGGTGCAAATCGCCGTCGTCGCCGAGACCGGCGACCGTTCCATTCCGAACCAAACGTTGTGAGAATTGGCGAGAATTGGCGAGATACTTCGTTTCGGACTTTTCGGAGTCCCCTCTCCACGTCTTTGCACACGCTCGTGCCCGCGCTCGAGAAATCGCCCAATCAAATCGCTCCGCGCCGAATTGCTCTGATCTGATTGGCTGCTGAAAGTGCTGACGTCATTTCCTGCTTCAGAACCTTCTTCGTCCAAAGTCTCCATTCTCCATGATCGCAGAAATCCACGCTTGGTAGAGGCCGCTCGCCATTTTCTCGCTTCTTTTTTCTGCGAATTAAGCATTTAGATTCAGATTTTGCGCCCCGTTTTTTCTTCACACGAACGCATTCGATATCCTTCTTTCAGATTTTCGTCAATTCGGCTTTTAGTCAGTCGAATTTGCAAGGAATTTCGCAAATTTAGTCTCAAAGCAAAAGATTCAACATGTCGTCCGGCGTGTCTGCAGCTAATTCACAAAGGCTTCAGAAACTGTTCGACGGCGTGGACAGCGACGCCGACGATGCAGATGATGGCTTCTACTCAAAGGTGCAAGAGCCGAAGGCCCATCAAGATGGAGAGGTGTGTTTTTTTTTTCGAAATTGCTTTGTACACCTTTTTACGAAAAAAACGTGCTCGTTTTTTTTCCACGATTTTATAGACTTCGACTAAAATAACGTGACTGTACATAATGGCATGCATCATCATTTTACTTTTAGAATATTTTATAGCTAAATATTTGTTTCTTACGTTTTTTGCATACATTTCAATATAGATGACGAAATTTTAGGCATTACCAATTAACATTTTAAGATCATTTAGCTGAATTATATTCGTCGTAATTACATAAAATGGGTGTCTACATAAATTCTGATGCTCATGATAATTGTTCTCTTGCATTTCTTATTTCATTGTAATTTTTGAAATTATGTTTTCTATTTCAGTCAATTTCCTTCAGCCAGAGCTCAAGCCCTACCCCATCTCAAAATTTGCAGCCAAATGAAAGCTATGCACTTTCTTTTGACAACCCTATGGTAATAACTGCAGATTTTTTTCTAAATTTTCTATAATGTACCATTTTATTGTAGAGCAACCAAGATTTTGTCATCCTCGAACAACCGCCAGATGAAATCCTGCAGTTGCCTTCAAATGATGAAATGTTTGCTGTGATCACCAAGAACAAATCTGTGGATGAATTGACAAAGGAAAATGCTTTGCTCAAAGAGATCTTGATCCAGAAGAATGCTGAACTGCACAACTCGCACGATGTGCTCGAGGTCAACAAGAATTTGATTGCCAGCAATGAAGCCCTAATTTCTGCCAAAGAGAACAAAATTGTTGATTTGAGTAAGGAGAATTATAATCTGATTGAGCTGATTGATGTAGTCCATTGCGGTAGATTTTTAAGTCATTATTTTTTCATTGTTGCAGTGAATGAATTGAAGCACACAAAGAGATCAAACAAAATGCTCCTTAGAACTGTTGTGAATTTTGCTCAAAAGTTGAAACAAAATGGTGAGTTTATTTTAATTCAATATTAACAACCTCATTTTTTGTTTCTGTCCATTCGTATCTTAAAATTTATTTTCTAACTTTTTTTGTAGGTTTGCTCACAAATTACTACATAAAGAAGCTTTCAACTTGGAAGAAAGATCTGGATGAAAATAAAGATGGTAAGTATCTCCATTGAGATTGGTTCATGGATTAAATTATTAAGCTATGTTATTCAATGTGCTTTAAATTAAAATTTCTTTATGTGACAGCATTTCAGTTAAATAAAAATTAACATTTCTGATTGACTAATATAAAGCATGAAAATATTATAAAAAAAATTCTATGAATTGAATTGAACTATATTTTTTCAGGCAACCAAAATCCATTTGATATTGAAGAGGAAAAGTTGCCCCCTGTTGAAGATGCCACAAAAGAAGCACCAAAGGTTGTGGAGCAGCAACTTACCTCTGAGGTGCGGATTAAGCTTATTAGATGTGATGCCGATCAAGTTGAGACACCTGAAGCTGCTCCTATTCTTGTTGAGAAAACTGAAAATGATGTCATGAATGTGCCCGTCTCTGAGCAGGAGGCCTCAAATCTGTCTTCCAAGTTGGTTATAGATGAGGAGGCCCCTGTTGAAGACCCAGAAGAGAATACGCCAGTCATGGGCTCTAAAATGGAGGTCTCTGTTGATATCCCTCAAGTGGATGCCCCTGTCAAGAACTTTGAAAAGGATGCTGCTGCCAAAGACCTTGTCAATGAGGCCCCTGCTGATGTCTTTGAGAAGGTAGCCCCTGTACAAGATGAAGAAATGGAGGCTGATGCTGAACTGCAGCAATTGGAAATGCTTCAGGCTAACGATGATCAAATGGATGCCGATGAAGCCTCCAAAGAACCTGAAAAAATGCAGGTGGACAAAATTCTGGAGCCAGGAGAGGGTGACAAAACTCAGATTGATGTTACCTCTGAAGAAGATGCCAACATTAGGAAGTTCAATGAACGCTTGTTGGTGAGGGTTCCCAGAAAGCATCTGAAGAGGCTGTCTGTGTCCATGAAAACCCCTGTGCTTCTTGGAATTTGGAGGTTCTCTCCCACCTCTGTCACAAAGCGTCTTTTGACGTACAAACCGACCCTGCTCAAGTTGTTCGGTGTGCTCGATGACACTGCGACAAAAACTTGCATTGATATCGAGGCCATTCCATTGGAACAAATTTATGAAATGTACCAAAGTGGCAATCAGGAGGAAGATTCGGCTGATGATTCTGCTACCTCGAGTGAGGAACTGTCTGGCTCGGACTCCAGTGCTCTGGAATCTGAAGATGACATCCCTGCAGTCGTGAGTTTTTTCTAATTATTTAACAAGATTATATTGAGATGAAATAAAATTTAATATTAGGTTGAGCCTCCAAAGGAAAAGGAAAAGACTCGTAGCCAAGGAAAGAAGCCATCAAAGGTTCAGCAGCTGAAGGGCGAGCAGAAGGAAAATTCTGCTGATGATTCTGCTACCTCGAGTGAGGAACTGCCTGGCTCGGACTCAAGTGCTCTGGAATCTGAAGATGACATCCCTGCAGTCGTGAGTTTTTTCTAATTATTTAACTAGATAATGTTGAGGTGAAATAAAATTTAATATTAGGTTGAGCCTCCAAAGGAAAAGGAAAAGACTCGAAGCCAAGGAAAGAAGCCATCAAAGGTTCAGCAGCTGAAGGCTAAAATGTCCAAAAACAACCCTGTTCTCCAGAAAAAGCGTAATAAGTAGACACTAGGTCTGATCAAGATGTACAAGCCTGAGCAACAAATTATAAAGTTCTTAGATCATCGTCTCCCAAGTACGTTGTGAAAAATTCTGCTTTTTTATGTTTCTTTACTCGGTAAAAATTATTCTGCCAAATTGTTAAAACAATGGCCAAGTCAATTAGCTCTATGAAATAAGATTCCGTACTGGGGTGACAAAAACCACTCAAAATATATGCATAAAAATTGCCAGGCTTAAATTTTTAAGTTTTTCTCAAGAGGTACATGTCACTGTAAACATAAAATTTTGAAACAAATATAAAAGGATTTCTAGAAAAACATTTCTCTCTTGTCGCTTCATTTGATGTCATTCCGAAAATCAGTTGCTAAACATGCTAAATTGACGTTGACTTTTAATTTGCTATTATAATATTGGTTGGCGACGGCCCACTTACTTTTAGACGCGCATAATTGGTACTGTTGGAGGTACATTTCACGCTTTTTGGAAAAATAATTTTATTTTTATAGGCTCGCAAGAAAAGTGATCATGCAAATAAAGAAAAAAAGTTAATTATGTATAGTGACGCGTGCACCGTGGACTCGGCGCCGCCGAAAGTTTTATTCAAATTTAATTCTCATATTGAATTCGAAACTCAATAAGGTCGGGACCTGCTATTTTATCTTCGAGCCCGCCACTGCCGACAAAAGGCCATTTGAGAAGAAAAAAACATTTTTAAAGAAAATGAATTATTACTAAATTACTTGTGGCCTGGGCAGGCCCAATTAATTTATGGCTGAAGTTTTTACTTCAAATATAGTTTCTGCAAAAATCCGAGTGTTTTGATCAATTCATTTCCAAATAATACACTTTCAATTTTAAAAATAAAATCTGTTTTAATTGAATAAAATTAATTTCAACTAATATGAATCACGTCTGCAGCTGAAATATAGCAGGATTATTGTTTTTTTTCTGTAGCTAACAATTAAGAAAACACCAGCAGAAAAGCACAACAAATTTTCAAACACCTCATCATAGTTCCAATTCAACAAACATGAATTCCACTTAAATGAACATTTTTAACCAAATTATTTGTGCCTACAATATTTATGCATTAGTCGATCTCCATGGAAACAAGGAAACTACATCAAGATGTTTGTGTTTTGCAAATTAAGCTGCAGACATACGCCTGGGAAAGCTATAGATGCTTAACAAAATGGAACGTTCAAGGGGTATTAGGCCCCTATTATTAGGTATCAACACCGAAGCCAACAAAATCAGAAACCGCGCGTCGGAGGAGTGACGCAACCTGCGCGTCGGCCATGTCGTGCAGGTTGCATAAATTAAATTAAAATAACATTTCATTGCATACATACAAAAATATTAATTGAATCACTGAATGCGAGAAATATGTTTACTGCATATAAAAGATCTAAATTTTGATTGGGACTGAACACTTCATACCACCCATTTTAGCTTAAACAATAATTGTAGTTTGGCTTTGAGCAGTGAAGAATTTTTGCTGCAATAGGCATGTCGTGTGTGAGAAAATAATCATAAATAATAATTAATCACGTGGGACGTGTTTTTGGAGCGGCTGAGAGTAAACAGGTCAAGAAAGTCCAATTTCACCTCAAGTCCAGTGTTTGTTGAGAGGGAACGACGACGAGACCTTCCGCCCGCGCCGCCCGCCATCCAATATAACGCGCGGCACGTGTGTGTAACAGACAATTCGGAACGGGACTTGTTTGCATAACAAAGCTCGGTATTCTGCTTCCGTCTTATTGCAAACCACAAGCAGCAACCAAGAGTGCTTTGTTTTGTTATCGCTCCCAGATTCCTCTCTGATTAGCTTAGGTATCTGTCGTTGGAAATTGATGTGATTCAAATACAAGCACCTCTGGTCTGAAGTTGTGTGAAAAGAAATTCTATATTTTTAATGTGATAAGTTCGACGCGCTACAAAAGTCACAAGTAGCAAATAAACAAGAAGCTGATGAAATTCCGCTTTCTCTTCAGCGAAACGTGACATATTCTTCACTGTCAGCGCGGCGCGGCGCTAGATTCAAAAAGTGCGTGACACGCAAGCAAAACCATTAAATTGCAACGGAACAGCTGCTGATGATTATTATTTTCGTGTGCGTGGGAACTTTTCGAGTGTTTAAATGACGCGCCCATTATTTTCCGCGGATGCATATTTATTTTCTGCTTTTACTCCTGGCGTGCCGCCGCGCGCAGGCATAATTCTTGCCGCCTTCATTATCCTTCGTTGATGAGTTGTACTTTTTCAACGCGCTCGCAGCCCCATTTTCAACCCCGATCGTTTTACCCTCGCCTCGTCCGTCTATTTGCGTTTGGCAGGAAGGCTTTGTTTCGCTCGATGCGGGTTTCAAAAATGCGACAAGATCATTTTGAATAAAATTCTTTAATTAATTTCAAATAACTTGCTGCCAGAAAATAGATTAATTGGAAAATTAATAAAATTAATAAAAATTTGTTAATAAAAACAAATAATTGAAATCATTAATTTTGCAATGGAAATATTGGTGGTTTGCGAATATTTGTGAATATTTCTTTAATTTTTGCATTTGCAATGACTTGAGAGTAATGAACAAATTAATTTTAATTCCACACAGAATTTTAAAAAGTACAAAAATTTCTTATTGAAATGTCTATTTAGAAAATTTGAAATGTAGAAAATCGATCTGACATTATGAAAGAACGGACGAGGGCTGCTTGAAGAAAATGTTCCCCTCTCGGAGTGGAAAAGAAATGCACCAGAAAAACAAGGACGGCGCATTTTGTGAAATTTCACATGTCTTTTCCTCAGGCTCCGAAATTATTGTGTCATTTTTCCAGCGAATTGCAGAAAAGGCGCACATTTTCATTTCGCGGCGCGCGAGTTCTCATTTTCTTTCCTGGCAATACAATTTCGAGCGAGCGAGCGAGTTGATGTTTGTGCCAGCGCCGTGGTGCTGCAGAAGAAAATAAAACGTCTGCCGAGCAATCCCAATAAATATTTTTTCTTGCTAATGGCACCATTAAAATACGCGCGCTAGGAAAACGCCGGCGTTTTTCCATCCGGAGCGAAACCGCTGCTCCTGCACACCCTCTCAAAGAGAAAAGAAAGAGAGCAGCTTTTGGTTTCCCTTAGCTCGCTGGGCAGCGCGAAATTTGCGTCGCCATTAACCGAGAATGGGTTATAACGCCAAATGGGTTTTGACCTTTCGCCTCGCTCGCGTCGTCTTGTTTATTTTTACATTAAGAAGACCTTGTTTGGCCTTTATGTGCTTTGTTTGGGCCGCGTAGCTCATTGGCAGCATTTCCTGCGTGCAAATAAAAATGGCCCATTTCGGGCTGACAACAATTTACAAAAAAGGCCACTTCAAAAGAAAAATTAACCAACAATTTTGTGTCAAATAAATAAAATAAATTAATAGATATAATTATTATTTTTAGTGCATTACTTTATGAATTTAATTTTACAATTCATAAACACATCCTACGAGTTATGATTAAAAAGACACACAATTTGGCACTTGAAGGGACGTGTCTGCTGGGATTTATAGTTTCCATCACGGCACTATTTTGATAGTAAAAATCACCTTCAAAAGCGAAATAGGAAAATAGATATAATTTAACAACGTACAAAGAACCAGTGCTTTTTAACGTGCGAAAACATTTTGAATTTTAAAGATTTCTTGATTTACTGATAAGATTTGTTTATTTCATTGCTGCACTAGTGTTTGACGGTACCAATTTTTGAAAATTTTCCCGTCCCGTTCCCGAATTTTTTTCAAACAATTTCCCGAGTCTGGTCCCGTTCCCGGGAAAGCCTAAAACGAAATTCCCGGACCCGTCCCGAGTCCCGATTCCCTGCAATCAGCTATTAATCGTCCAGTTTTCGTGGTATGCAATGCAAATAGCACTGATTGTATGTACTGCGGGTTGCTTAATTTATATCAATACCTCAAATTTCTAAATTAATATTGTCTTGATTTCTTAATTTATTTATGATTATGTATATTTTTTTTAAAAGAAAGTGCGAAAATGAGTTTGCAATTAGAAAAATATGATATTCAAAAACTTTTAATTTTGACTTGGCTTGAAAATTATGATTCATTTGACAGAACATGGAATTGAAAACTGGTTGTCTTTGCAACTAACTTCAATTTCCCGGTCCCGCGTCCCGTCCCGTTCCCGCTGCTCTTAAAGAAAACGGTGCCGGTCCCGCGGGGACCCGTCGGGACCGAGTCCCGTCAAACGAGTGGTAGGAAGTTCCCTAAGTGGAAGTTGCCGAAAGTGGAAGTTGCCTAGTAAAATGGAGGCAAAAGGTGGGGCCAGGGTAGCATGGGGAGGAAATGGGCAGCATCGACACATAATTTGACAGTAGCTGAAGCCAATGAGTGAATGGAAATCCACATAAGTGTAAATGTAGGTCGAAATTGCGAATTTTTGCATTGAAATAAAAAATCGCATGTACATTGAGTGTGCCAGTGGAACCTCCCGAAAGTGGAAGTTCCCGAGAAAGCTACTCAATTTCCACTTTCGGGAGTTTCTACTTTTGGAGGTATATTTTTTTTATTTTCTGAGCTTTTTAAAATTTCATTGAGTGGAAGTTCCCGAGTGGAAACTCCCTAATAGTGGCTTCAAGTATTGTCCGAACTGGAAGGCAGGTGGCGCTGTTGAATCTGCGTGAAGGCACCTCTTCGCCGTGGAAAAAAATTTATATATTGACTTGGAAATAAAAACAACTTAAATTTATTTGTTTTTGAATATGAAAATGCAAAGGAAAAATAATAATATTATTTTCTAAAAACAAAATTATATATTTTGTTTTAAAATTATTTCGTACTAAAGAGAGTAAGCGACGATATTTCAAATTTAATTATTACATTTCAGAGCATTAAACACTTTTCTTATTTGTTGCCTCTGTTTGCGATTGCTCGGAGCAGAAAAAGTCTACTGTTCTACGACACCAACGGTAAATAAAAATAAGTACCATTCATGTCTGATGAACGAAAAATATAATAATTAGGTTCTCAAATGTATAAGCTCTCAAAGAGCTTAAATTAATTTTCTTTCTTCAAGAGAATCAAGAGAGATCAAATTTCTGTTTCAAATCAGGTTTCCAATTAATTTCTGAAAAATATCTACAATGAGCATTAATTACAAAATATTTTTGACACAACCTAATATGGCAAAAGACAATTTTCCTTGTAAGGTTATAATGCCTTTATTAACCGGATTCAAACTATTATTACTCTTATTATTATAATTAAGAATTCTTGATAAGAGAAAAATGAAATAAAATTAACAAACT